CGAGAATTGTTCCTTGTCATCAGAACCCAAAGCCAACAATAAATAATCCCTACCATTTCCGGTGGTGATGAAATGCAAAACTGCAGAATCGCGAGGTGATGGAATTTCAGATGGATTGCTCGTGCTGAAGTCCAATGTCTCCCATTGACTATCACTCTTGAGATCGTTCATATGACCTTGGGCCAAGTCCTTACTCACGTCATCCAGAGTTCCACCAGTAGGGTATTCCAGGAAGTCGATTTGTCCATGAGGCATCGCATCTGTAGATTTTTCAGAATATCCACTGTACCCCAATCTCCATAATTTTCCTTGTCCGCATGTGAGATTAATTCCAGATGTTGGTGACCCTGGAGGATCTGGTAGTCTGCTCCACTTCCCTTCATCCAAATAAAATGCCCAGAGATCATTCAGACGCACTTGATCAGACGATAATCCTCCATAGATGAAAATGACAGACCCGTCAGGACTGGATGTGCTGACGTGTTTCGTTCGCGCAAATGGAAATGTGGTGTCCGGAGGAGGATCTAGAAATGTCCATTTTGATGATAGTGGGTCGAATACCCACAATCGACCATTTTCTTCCAAAGGCTTCAGATTATCAGAAGGACTTTCACTACCGCCAAATACGAAGAAACGATTTCGAGCAACGGTTGCTGAATGAAATGTGCGAGCTAAAGGTACAGGTGCTGTATTCTGTTCTCCATCTCCGACTGCTGGTATGGATCGCAAAACTGCAGTCGTGGTATTCTCATCAGTTGAGACGTGAAGTTCAAGGACATCATTAGTCGAAGATTGGGAATTTGAATCCTCAGAACCACCAAAAACATATGCTCTATCACTAATCACCGACAATGTATGTCCATATCGTGGTAATCTATCGGTGGTCGTCACATGTTCGAGATGTCCTTTCAAGGGTAGTGTTGATTTAGACAGATAGTATGCCGCGACACCTCCCTCAACTGCTGTTTCGACACCGTAAGCGGCGGCAGTTACGATAGCTGGTTCCATTATGATCTTAGAGTAAATTATATTTGTTCTACTCGAATTAATAAAGTTTGTTGTGTTGTGACTTGAAGTTGTGGTTGGAGGTTTTGCCACTGGAAATGACGTAATGATCGTCGCGGGCCAGGAACGTCCCTTAACTTGCTAAAAGCACACTTTCGTTACCTAGGCTCACATTTCCTCATGGCCAAGGCGGCAAAAGTGCTGATCACGTGCCTATATATCCTCAGGAATATGGTCTATATATCTAGGCTTTGAAAAAATCAAGAATGAGAATCAACCATATATGAGAATCCCTTGCTTATGGAACTCTGGCGTGTAAGTGGACCAAACAGAAACACAGCGGATGAAATTTGAAATATAAACACGAGCTATTGTCCTATCTCTTGGCAAGCTTTCTAGAGTTTGTTTTGACAAAGAACAAAGAGATGAAGGCATGATCTTTACTTACTATATTACACGAGTAGCCAGATAGAACTATGAACAGTCATCGTACGCGGTGCTATCGTACCAACAATATTGAACTCCTTTGACTATTCCGCCCTGCTCGAAAAATTAGACAACTGGGCAATTATGGAGAAGGATTAGACGAAAATTCAAGGAAGATAAAACGTGTGCTAGCACCAAAGAAGAATGAAATAGTCATAATGTTACAACAAGCTAATTTATTACGTTGCCAATACTCAATCAAAAAGAGAGTTGTTGAGATTGAAATATGATCCTCCTTGAGATATATAGTTTGGCAAGTAAAAGTACTTCTGACTGGACTGCCCTGGCTTTCGGGTTATCCTGGAGAATGATTTCAATAGTTGACGATAATATGATAGTAACTCCTCGATACTAATGACTAGATTTCTTCAAATTTAAATTCAGAGTGTCTATCTCAAAAGCGGCCGGTAAATTTTTGTGTAGTGTGAGATTCATTTTAATGCTATACTACTACGAACATTCCAACTTTCACTCCTTCACGAGCAATACTAACGCTGGCCAAACCGACCTCACTAAGCTATACAAGAGGGTCAAAGAAGCAAAATAACTAAGGTAAAGAGCATCCACCTCCACAATTCGAGCCTCCTACAAAATGCCATTGCTAGCAGCCCCAAGTTAAGCAAAGTTTCCTCACCTCGGGTCTAGCTCAACGCCCCAGTTTCCAAAAACGATTCCCTTTCCGCTGCATTGCCGACACTTCCTTTCTTCGTTTTCTTTATTTCCATGTCTATATTTGCGATATCTTAGTACGAATCATCTCGCCAGTCGTTGGTTTGACAAGATCTTCTAAAGGCCTTCTTACAAAATTAATAAACACCTCAAAGCACATCGAAATACACCAATAATCAGCGCTGTAACTCGAAAAGGATTTCGCTGAAAGTCATATCATGTAACTTGCTTGCCACTTAAGTAGTTAGGCATCTCGTCACTTTCCTCACTGCTGTTGTCTCCGTAGTCGAGTAGAATAGTTTTGCGTTTCTTGGATTTGTTACGGGTGCGTGTGGAACGTCGCGAATATTTATTCCTTTCATTCTGCACATGAGCTTCCCCTGATACCGCGTTTCCATGTTCCATGATTGACTCAGAGTCAGACATTTCCGAGTCTTCTCTTCCTAAATCGGAAGATGGATTGTCACTGATGAAATCCTTCGAGGCAGCTTTGAAGTGTTGTGCCAATTTTGGTTCTGGTTTGGAAGCCTGGAATCCATCCTTGTGTTTCTTCAGAACCGACCCAGCCCCCAGGCCATTCAGAACATCTCTTACGGTTGTGACAGCGCCAAAGATTCCTCCTTCTTCGGTAATCGATGCGACAGCACTTTTATGATTTTCGAGGACGCCGGCGGCACATGCGTCCTTCACCAAGACGCAATCAAAGTTGTTATCATTGGCATCCCTCATTGTACTCGTTACACAAACGTCTGTTGTTACACCACATATAATCAGATTCTTGATACCTTTGATATTGAGCATAAGCCGGAACTCTGTGTGTTGGAAAGCGCTTCGACCTGGCTTGTCAATAATTGGCTCATTTGATCGAGGCGCCAATTCATCGATAATCTCATGACCTTTCTCCCCACGGATCAAAAGACGTCCCAGTGGGCCGCGATCACCGATACCAAGTCCAGATGAATTGTTCTTTGAACGGTACCTCTCACGCTCGGAAAGGGTGGACAAATCAGGCCGATGGCCTTCACGCGTGTGGTAAATTGGATATCCTTTGGCTCTGCAAGTGTCGAGAAGTTTTCGGATGTTGGGAACAATATCGAGGATTGGTTTATTGTCAATGTTCTGCTTTGCCAGATATCCCTCAGCAGAAGCAACTATACAATGGAATAAAGTTAGTAAGTACACGTAAATTTAGTTTGTATCCATGGTAAAAGTATTTGGAGTCAAATCTGAGGAGAGAAGTTGGGAGTCTTTGAGCTCTTTCTTCGAACCCCTCCACAAATAACAAATACTATGCAGGATTCGGTATCGGTATACTCCCTAAGTAGTACATGCGTATGTAAAGGGGGTGTTGTGATATACCTCACATGGATCATGCAAGCCTAACAACAGAAGAAGAGAAAAGAATTCAAGACTTACAATCTTTCTGCATGTCAATAATGACTAGCGCCGTGGTGGATCTCTTAAGTGTACCGTCATGAGGCCACTTGTAAGGTATGGCCTGTAGCCTGGTGTGTCTTTGCGGACACACCACAGCAGGACGATGTTCGCCTTCAGTAGCTCCTCGTTCTTGTAATGCAGAGGGAGACATTCTGAAAGTTTGGCAGTGATTTTGTATTGAAAGTGAATGTGGTGGGTTTCGATGGAAATTGAGAATTTTTGATATGAAAGAAGATCTTTTGGATTTAACAGCTTTGATATTTGCTGCAGATACTGCTGTCGCTGCTCGAGTTTTGATTTCGAATTTTAACTCATCGATTTCGTCGTAAATCTTCTCTGAGGTTACTGATGCATCACCGTTGGTATATACTTTGGAAAGAATTTGAGGAGGTTCAACAATTGGAAGAATGGCGGAAGAATTGGTATGAATGTTGATTGACGAAGGAGTGTTTTGTGAAGATGAGATGATTTGTTGATAAAGATTTGGTCCATTTGGTCCTTCCATTTTGAAAATATCTTATGTAGGTGTCAACGACTAAGCAAAGCCCTACTAAGCATAGGTGCTTATTCGACCAAAGTTGGATTCAGCCAGATGAGGAAGGAATCACAGACTGAACCAAGAGAGTATCTTATAATCAAGCTGAAAACAACAAACAAAAAGATGGTAGGGGATAAAGATGTTGAAGAAGAGATGGGTTATGTATACGATATCAATTTCACTTATTGATTGATACATATCTTGATCTGACAAACTTCTTCAATTTGATAGGCCAAGTCAAAAGTCCGATCATGCACTGACTGCAGGTACAGCTGGATCTTGTTCCTGCCACGGGTACCTACGAACATAACCAAAGTTCATGGCGTAAAACTTCAAGTGAAGCAATCATCATTTACGGCTCATTGCAGGCATAAAGTCATGCTGGCTTTGATTGATTCAATTGACTAAGAATGAATCTCCGTGGAGTATCAAAAGAATTTGACGAGTCCCAACTTCCCTTCCTTGAAATTGTATTACGACATTTACTCATCCAAGTCAGTCGTCTATTTGGTCAGATTCTGCACAAGCCTGCTCTGCTACCTACCTGCAGTGCAAAAATCCGGGGTAGTACATGCGGGAATCTTGCAGATTCTGGAATGGGTGTACTAGCCCAGCCGATACTTTGGTCCTACTAAATTGTAGATCAGTACATGTAGTACAAACCAGAATTTCGGATTAGTGTAGAAGGGGGGGAAAAAATAATCATCGAATGAGTTGTTGGGCGGTGTGCAGGTTGCCGTCTCGTTTCACCAGAATGAATAATGGAAAAGAAGAATGGCGCTGGACCTTGCGTAGGTCCCATGTAGATATCCGACGGAAGAAAAAGCCTGCTGAAGCAATTCCCTTTTCCTTTTTCCCCGCGGCGATGAATCTTGTGGGGCCGAGAAGAACAGCAAATATTCAGAGCGTCGAGAAGGGTGCTCTTCATACGAATTGGTCAGCTCAACAGCTTGAGCGGACAGGCTCCAACATTGAAGCTCAATATTGGACGCTGGCAACATTGTTGGCACTCGCCCGAACCCAAAGAGCGACGGGCTCAAAAGGAATGTTTCGTGTACATTTTCAATATATTCAGCACAAGAGACAACGCGTTGTCTTGATGCCGATGGGCAAATGATGAGACTCGGCCATCTTCGGTCAGAGGTATGCAACATCCCTCTCGATTTGTTCGAAAACAATCAATCAATACTTCCCTGCAATTGAATCGTGTTACGATGATGAATTTCTATCACATTTCAAATTTGTATCTAATAACCTCGCAAGTCGGACTTCAAGGGTAAGGAGGCAGTTCTCATTGATATTGAATAGACCTGAAGTCGTACATCAAGGCTAAACCACGTTATGGCTTCTGCGGTGTGTCTTGCTTGTAGATTGAGGCGACCGAGGAGGTTTTCCGATTCGAAAGGAGTAACATCATAACCAAGATTCCGGGCAGTACATTTCCATTCATATATCTATATGCAAGAAAGCAAGCAGGTTAGAGGCCGACGAAGCCAGTGGTAGTACCGTCTTTTTTGTAAGATTACTATATCACGAGAAAATAACGAAACGTAATAAGTTTATGTTGATGAACAACGGAATAAAACGCTTGAAAAAGATCGTCTTGTGGAGAGTATTGCGGGCAAGCCACAGATAAGCCTAAAAAATTATCCTAGCATCGTTTGCCCCGGACCAATCCATTCCTCAACCATGACCCCATCAACCAGATAATCCAACGCTCATCGAGGAAAATATTCCTCATTCTTCATTCTTTTCTCCGATACGGCGATTCAAGACAAGGTGCTAGATACAAACATGCATAAACGAAGCACCATCATGGGTTTGCCGGAGGTGACCGTGATAGATGACATATTGATAGCAGATTGATAGAGAGATTGCTATCGGATACAAATGACAAGATAGAAATTCATATCTTTCTCAGCTTTTGTATCTCAATGACATCCCACACCACAGTCCTAGTTAGCTAAGTCAATATCATTCGACGAGGGAAAAGTCTAACATGGCTATTTCGCAATCACCCCGGCAGTTGTAATGTTGCATCAAAAGTTGCGTCCCCCCCATCCAACTGCTTCTCATACCCGTCAATATGATCCCGATAAGGTATGGATTTCTTGCAAGATGTTCTGGATGAGTTTATAAATACCTTGGGTTGTATCCTCGGACATATGTCTCTCCACTCCTTAATCAACAGTACAACATATTTTGGAAATTGCCACTGCCTTGTTCCAAAGCTGTGGTATTGGATATCTTGACCTCGAGTATCTGCATTCCATTGTGAGGAACAAGATGAAAGAAGAAGGAGTTGTGGGAAAAGTCTTCCCTCCTGGTGTAGCTGAAGATGCTGCCCTAGAAAATATGGGTTATCGTCCAGGTAAGTTGATTTCCTCATGTCCTTATTATCTAGCTGGCCTACTATCTACACATGGCGTTATTTTTTATCATCTGCTGATAAGCATAATTTCAGAGCTCAAGCGATCATTCGGTCTTTTGGGCATGATTGGCTTCTCCTTTTCCATTGTTACGAGGTGAGTGTTCTTCTGCTTATGCTGTGCATTCTCTAAATCCCAACACCGGTGATCGGCACCAGCGCTGCAACCTTGGAGCAGAAAAACGTGGCAAGATGGGACGCTTAACGCTTGCTAACGGCTTCTTGCAGTTGGAGTGCCCTCGGTGGTGTGCTTGTCACAGGTGTCAATGCTGGTGGTCCACCGGTGGTGAGTAACCTTTCACATTTCTCATTCAGATCTTACCATGCCTCCAAATCCAGGCTTAATTCTCCTATCTATGGGTCGATTTTGAGAATCTTAGTCGATTCTCGAGGATGTTCATACATTGCACTGCGCTGGTATTGCGACATAGCCCCAAACATGTTCCACGACGTCCGAGACATGTGAAGTTGTCAAGAATGACAAATTTTATCTGCTATACGACTCGAACTAACATTATTTGTTTACGCAGATGATTTGGGGCTGGGTAGGCATCAGTCTTGTCTCCCTCTGCGTCGTCTATTCCATGGCAGAAATGTGCTCTGAGTACCCCGTTGCCGGAGGTCAATACTCATGGGTCTACATTCTCTCACCGAAATCGGTGAGGAGACAATTCTCCTATCTTACGGGATGGTTCATGATCATCGGTCAGTCATATTCTGTCTCATCATATTAGCATTGAATCCTAGTTGTACCTGAGATAAAAAGTGATACCAAAGAAGCATCTCATGACCTTCCATGAAACTTAACCCCATGTTCCCTGTTATTCATGGCAACGATCATGACTGACGTTCTGTGGTACACGTATAGGTATTCTTGCCATGGGCGCAACGAACAGTTTCATCGGCGCAAATTTTATCCTGGGCCAAGCGAATCTCGTTAATCCATCCTACGTAATTGAGCGGTGGCACACGGTCTTGGTAGCCTGGGTAGTGACTCTCATTGCAACGTTCATCAATCTATGGGGATCGAAGATTCTTGACAAAGTATCTACGGTTGCGCTTTTCTTCAACATTGCGTCGTTCATCGTGACGATTGTCACTATTTTGGCATGCAATACCAATAAACAAAGTGCCAGTTTTGTCTTTCAAGACTTTCAGAATTTTACTGGCTTCGGAACGGCTATGGCTGGTATTATTGGAATACTACAGCCGGCGTTCGGCATGTGTTGTTGTAAGTGTTTCTTACCACGCTGCCTTTCTCATGGCATCATCTACTATCTCCGCAAATTGCTTCGACTTCATTTGATTCACCACCAGGCTAACACGAGGTGACCAACTAGATGATGCGCCATCTCACATGACCGAGGAACTAAAAGATGCTTCCAAAGAAGCTCCTCGCGCGATGGTTCTCTCCGTCTACATTGGAGCCATCACAGGTTTCATCTTCTTGATCGCTGTTTGTTTTTGTGTTGATGATATCGATGCTGTTGCTAACACATCTACTCTGGTTCCTCTGATTCAAATCTACGCCGATTCAACCAACAGTCACATCGCAGCATGTTTCCTAGCATCCATGATCGTAGTCATCAACGTCGCATCTTCCAACGCACTGCTTGCGGAAGGAAGTAGAAGTCTTTACGCATTCGCTAGAGATCATGGACTTCCATTTTCGAGCCATATCAGTAAAGTGAGCGCCAAGCATCAAGTTCCCGTTGTGGCTATCATTATTGGAACCATAGTGCAAATGGCATTTAACAGCATTTACTTTGGGACAGTAACAGGGTTTAATACTGTAATCGCCATTGCGACAGAGGGGTTTTATCTTTCATACGCTATGCCTCTTCTCGTGCGCATAATATCTCATATCAATGGATCGCATCGGCAACTTACAGGTCCATGGGCAATGAGACCAGTCGTCTCATTACTGGTTAATGGGGTTGGCCTGGCGTATTTGCTTTTCGCATGTATTACTTTTAATTTCCCATCGGTGTATCCGGTTACGAGCGAGAATATGAATTATACTTCAGCGGCTATAGGTGTGATTATGATGGTAGCGGCGGGAACTTGGGGGACGACTGCTCGAAAGAGGTTTTCCGGGCCAGAGATTGAGGTTGTAGATGTGGTGACGGGAGTGGAGAGGACAGATTCGGATGAGATGAGTAGAAGGGAAAAGAGGGAGGAGAAGAAGAGTGGATGAGTAGAAGGGGGAAAGATACGGTAATGATATTGATGGATGATCACAGAGAGGAGATGATAGGAAATACACGAGTCACCTTTGGGCGCATTTAGGATTTCCTGTAGGTCTGATTGACGTAGACTAATTCCTGAATGCTATTGATGCCCAACAGTTAAACATTTGAGATGGCTCCTCGCGCCATCAAAAATATTTACATCATCTCTTGACTCGTGACCTTGTCACAGGGTACATTGAAAATAGAAACAAATCTTACATTTGGAAACGTTAATGCGATCAGATATAACTCCAGATTATGATTGGCTCTGATAATTTAGAAGTGGGATATCGTGTCAATGCGAGGATTTGCCGGGTGAAGGCTGGGATTGAGATTATAGGATCAAAGATCGGAAATTTCTTTGTGAGAAAAACAAATGTTATCGACGCAATCTTGTAATATACCTACCTAGCAAGCCTAGGTAACTACAAGAAGTGTAGAGATGTGATTTTTGGAAGGCATTTTGAGGAATTTGATGCGGTCCTTGCCTCACCTAACATGCCCCCCCCCATGACTCGATCCACGTGTAAAATGGAAATGATCAAAAAATGGCCAAACGGAAGTGCAAACGGAAACACAAACGCAGGGAAAAGAAATGAATATCAAACAAAACATATGTGCAATGTTTCTAAGAAGAATTTGCCGGGCTCGCACCTGGCTGTCGAATGATATTAGACTCGTTGAAGCAATATTTTCAACCGCGCATTTCGTATATACTATTACCCTTCATATCAAACCCTTCCGCTCCATCATACTGAGAAAGGGAGCTCGATATGATGAATCCCGGATGACCGTGAACGACACCTCGCTTTCGTGTATCTGGGTAGTCAAGCTTACTTGTACCCCGTATGGTAAAGTCGACAATCAGGTGTACGATATGCAAGGAATAACCGTACATGAATGGCATGAATGACATTGTGCAGGAGTAGGAGAAGCTTTAACTGCGAGAGGAGCTAAAATTATCATGGGATATCGTTTTAACACGTCAATACATTGATGCTAGTGATGAATATTCCCACAATTATCGACTTAGTTGCATGAGCGTGATGACCAAGGGGGTTTGGTGAAAGGTACGGACCGGACGTACTAGATGGCAGGTAGACGGATCGATACCGGCGGGCTGGGGATAGAGACATAGATCTTGATGAGCATCCGAAAGCATTCACACACATGGGGAAGGAAATGTGTAATCATTCCCATCATCACAATAGAAGCTCGTTTGAAAACAGACGTCGACTGTGTTTCGTATCAAAGAGAGAAGAATGGAATGTTCGGGGGGAGAATGTGTAGAAGATGTCGAATGAATTGAAGACTCACCGTTCATGTGACTGCCAGTTGTTTAAAAATGTGGCTGGTAATATTCAATCGTATATGGCTCAAAGCATGGTTGCTGGATCAGCAAAACTTCACATTAACCACATTAACCACTTTCACCACTTAAACCATACTAATCTCTATGGACAGGGTTGTAATTCCCATTCTACCTAGGTACACCTCTCACACCAAACAATATTGAGACTTTGACCAATCAAATGCCTTAGATTCTGATCTTCTCGTGTCTGACTTCTCTCTTTCTCTCTCGGTAGTCTCAGGCTTCACGTCTCTTCCCTTCACTCCTGATTCTTTCTCGAACCTTTCTCTCTTTCAGGAGGTTTCCCGTCGTGCAGTCCAGCCCGACCAGCATTTGCACTACACATCCAACATACATCGCACATCCTGGGACAACATCATCATCGACAATACGAGAAAAGTCTCTTTTCTTATTTCTCTATTTGGTTATTTTATTTCATTTTCAAATCTACATCTGCCGACGCAACATACCTTCTTTTTTTTCTTTTTCCCGGGAGTCCAGAACTCAATCTAACATTAGCGACGTACGAACGACAAACGAACGTCGACGACAACAACAACCTCCAGCGCAACTTCTTCCGTTTCATAAACTTTCACTCACATTTTGATATCGACCTAAGGATTCCTACTTGACTTGGCATTCCACCCGCCAAAGGCTACTGCGCGATATCTACCCATGGATTGAGCGTACTCGACATCAACCTTCAACAATTCACAGGACTATCGATTATCAACTCCCGACCACCACTTGACATAGGAATACCCAACGAGAATACATAGATTGAGAACCCAAGGATTTCCATTCTCAACTCAACAACTTCAGCAGTGTTACAATACACCTTTTCAAATACTCCTACTACATTAATCATTGTTTCATATTATTTGACGGGAAGGATAAAGGTGATTCACGACTTATAACGACCATTATTGTACACGAAATCCAATCTTTTAGTCTTCTTTACAACCTGCAGCCTTCATCATTTGTTTTGCGATCAACATCCAAATAACCAACTTTGATTTATCGACCATCGACATCATAAGATCTTCATCTTGACCTTTGGACGCCTAAACAAGTTTTACATCATTGTGAGGGGTGTGCAAGAGGTCATTCTTTATTTGTTTATGGTCCACAACAACAATCGCAACAGCTGCATATGCGATTGGTCACTAGTTTTGCAAGATCGCAAGTCTAAGGAACGGATGTTACCGCCAAGCAACAGAACGGCTTTAAGATAGTGAGAAGATACGACAACGATACGAATTCAAGACCGGACAGAATCAACAAGAGTAATAATCACCACAGATGTCGGAATTACCATCCTCCCCACCCTCGGATCCGGTAGATGCGATCGCATACTACAAATTGCAGTACGAGCAATTGGAGAATGAATTGACGGAATTTCAGGCGAGTTCGCAGGAGTTGGAAGCAGAGTTGGAGAAGGATGTTGAAGCTGCGGAAAGAAGGGAAAGGTTATTGCAGGAAAAGGTAGAGAGTTTGGGATTCGAAGTGGAAGAATGGAAGGTATGTCATCGTGAAGAGGTGAATGTGGTAGATTGGCAGCGTAGTTGGCTAACCAGAATTTATTTGTAGAAGAAATATAAACAATCCAAGAATGAAGCGAATGCTGCGCAGACCACTTTACAGAAGGAGATCACTTCTCTCCGCGATGCGAATCGAACTATGCAACTCCAACTTCGAGACATTGAAGTTCAACATGACGATATCGAGCGGCAAGCGCGAAATACCTTCTCATCCTTAGAGGATATGGAATCAAAGTTTAACATGTCTATTGAGCGAGGGGTAATGATGGAAGAAGAAATCAAGATTGGCGAAAAGGAAAGAGAACAGCTCCGGATCGAAACACAACGTTTGAGAGATGAGTTGTCGGACCTGAAAGTTGAGGCGGATATCATGCAAGACAAGCTACGAAAACGACAATTTCCATCAATCACAACAGATTATACTGCGCCAAGTACTCCCTCATTTGAGCCCTTTGGAACATCTCCAAGATCCACAGCTTCTTCTCCGATCATCAACACTCCACCAGATACCAAGTCCATCTCAACGACAGATACCGTTTCCGAAACTCCTACTCCTCCATCTCCGCCCATGTCAGAAGCATCGGCGACTGCAAGACACGGACTGAACACATCAATGAACCCACCCCAAAGCAATCTAAAATTACCAGCTGCGAATGCAAGCGCAACGCCTAAACAAGGTCTATCTCGTTACGTGTCTGGCACAGTTCGTAGTTCACGAGGCACAACACCGAACGGCAATTCAAAAGCAAGAAGTGCGACACCAGCAGTGATTCGCCAGACAAGGCAAAAAGCTCCACCTACACGCGGTTTGCCGAACTCAACATCCCTAACTCATATCAGAAGTTTGACGGCGCAAATGCAAAGATTAGAACAACGAGTGCAGTCTGCAAGATCAAAACTACCCGCGCCGGTCACTACTCCACCTCATACTACACCGAGAACAATATCAGCTATGGGTCAAAATTACTTGCCGCCAAGTGGTACAATAAGAGGTAGGAAGAGAACTACAGGTAGTACTGCGAGCGCGAGCACTACATCATCCATGACTGGAGATGAACCAGTAAAACACCTCCCTCGAGTCTCTGTATCTGGAATCAGCAGGCTTTCTTTTGGACCAATTGCAAATAGAGATGGGAACGATAGCAGTCAACATAGTAGTAGACCACCCAGTCGACCAGGTAGTCGTGCCAGTGGTTCACTCTATGAACGCCCACCAAGTCGATCGACCCTCAGTCGCCCAGGCGCTAAGACGCCAGTATCAACTTACGCACAGTCGCAAATTGTGGATTCGAGAAGGGCGAAAAGTAGTATGGGTGGAAATTATGGGGATAGGCATGGAGATGGAAGACCTCATGCGCATTCACAGAGCGTCTCATATATTGGCTACGGCGTGGACGAGAACCGGGAATCTACCTATAAGACACCAGTGCGTAGAGGAACTGTACATGAGAGTTCGGGTGGCACACCACTATCTTCACTCCCTCGAAGGAAAAGCGGTGGACAATCATTATCGATGTCGGGCCTACCTATGCCTAGGAGAACAAGCACAAGTCAAGGATTTCGAGAGGAGGAAGAGAGGATGATTATTAATCCTAGACAACCTGCGGGACTCAATAGAACTCCAACGGCACCAACAGGAAGACAAAGGAAGTTGAGTGGTGTAGGGGAATGTTATTAAGCTCACTAGATGAGGGGGATGAAACTAATTTATCCTCTTCACTTCATCTGTATACCGTTATGGAGAATCCGGGAATTTGGGATCATATTTGGAAGGACGTGGGAGAAGGGTGTTAACTTGGGTTGCGTGCATTGGCTAAGGCGTTTGTTTGTTTTTCTCAACATCGTGCGTGCATAGCTAGGCGGACATGGTATGGGAAACAGTTTGGGATTGATACTGCTGCTATACCTCTTTTTTATTGATTTGCTCTGCTCCTCTTGGCTCGTTCCTTTTTATTTTCCAAGAGGAGAGGGTTTTTCGTTTTCATTTGTACATAGGGGATGGATGGTTGATGACGGGTTTGGGGTTTCATTTGTTGGTGAGATGGTGTGCGGGAGAGATTGGAATGGACTGGACTGATAAGGAGATATGGATGGAGAAAGAGCATGGATGGATGAATGGATAGATGAGATGGAATGTGATGGGATAGGATGAGATGGCTGGAAGTGAGCGCTACAGACACAGACAAACTATAAGAATGAAGGAAATGATTATGATTCAATTGGGTGTTTTTTTGATATGTGATGATGTGAGAGAGATTTGAAATTGGAAAAGAATTGCTATAAAATAAGACGAATGCACTAATTACGGCAGGGTAGTATCGTAGATGATAAGGAATACTACCTACCTACCTAGTAGGTAGATACTCCCTCTCTCGGGAAAGCGAACTAGGTAGGTACCTACGGGGTAAATCAGAACGGGAGCATCTACCCACACAGGTACCTGCGGGTCAATAAACACATACGTTCCTTACCCCCGAAGAATTTTCGGCCTCCGTGGTCCGGCATTGCTCAGCGACCTGAGCTTTGGCTCTCGTTCTTAGAGCACCAGGAGTCAGTAGTGGTAGTAGTAGTAGTAGTAGTAGTAGTAGTAGTAGTAGTAGTTAACAATACTAGGTAGGTAACTTGATATTGCGAAATGAAATGAAATCAATGTAGTATTTTTCATCAAATTTATTTGTGATTTGTGATTTGTGATTTGTGAAGCATTTATAGGATTTATATGATTTATAGGATTTTATCTTGACGCTTCTTGTATCACTCATAGGTGGTTGGTTGGTCTTTGTAGGTTTGGGTGGGAGTTTTGGTGTTGTTTTTATTTTATTTAGCTTGGTTGTGTGTGTGTTAGGTGGTTGGTTGGTTGATTGGTAGGTAGGTTGGTTGGTATTAGGTGGGTGTTATGAGTTTGTGAGTCTGTGAGAGGTCGTCTGAGTCTGGAGGGAGAGAAATGTGGTTATTTTACGTTGTTTGTTGTTGTTCAGTATAACTATCTGTAATGGTTATTCATTTGGCTTTGGATTTGGATTCGGGTAGGGGTTGAGGTTCGGCTTTGGGTTTGGGGAGAAAAAAGTAGATTGTGTGTGCGGATTTATGGATGTATGGTATTGGTAGGATGTAGTTATTAGGGTTTATTTTGTGATTTTTGAGGATTTGATTTTTGAGGTTGGTTTGGGGGTGGTAAGAGGGAGGAAGGGAGGAAGGTAGGTAGGTGCACTTATGTGTATTTAAAACTTAGAAGGGATGGATGGAGTTTATAGGGAAGATGATGAGGTATGTATATGTGTATGTATATTTGTATGTAGATATAAAAGGAGAGTTTATTTGAGAATATTAGATTTATATAAGAATTTGGAGTTTGGAATTTAGAATTTGGATTTCTTGGGGTGAGTTACTGAATGGTTTACTGAGTACTGGGTGGGAGATAGAGAGGTAGAGAGGTAGAGAGGTAAAGAGGTAGAGAGGTAGAGAGAGAAAGAGAGATGGTATGCTGGTAGTGGTAGTAAAGAAGTAAATCTTTTTTAAATCTTTCTTCTTCTACTTCGGGTGAGTGAGTAGAATGGAATGAATGATGCAATGAATGATGCAATAAATGGACGGGTGTGTGAATATATTATCCACGTCGATACGTAAACCCCAGTTCAGGATTGGTACTGCGGTAGCTGGGGTGGAAGTTCGAGCTGGAGTTGGGAGATTGTGAGTGTACGGATCTTTTTTCTTTGATGTTCTAAGCGTAGGGGGAGAGGGGCGATGATGATTCAGGATTCTATGGAATCTGGAATCTGAATTCGTGGGTGGAAATCTAATTCTTGATTTATTGTTGAGTATTAAGTACTGAGGGAAGATTGGCTAGTATCTATTATCTGGCAGTCTAGCGAGGAAATGTGTACATGAGAGACGAGAGAAAGGAGAGGGGAGCTCGGAGGAGGTGAGGGGAGGGGAGGTAGCTAGCTCATCGGATGTCCGTGGGGAATCGGGGGAGAGATGAGAAATATCTGGTAGCTACCGTAGTTCAGCCTCACGCAGCTATAGAGTAGAGAAGCGGACTTGTGAGACACGCCTAGAATTGTAAAATCATACCGCGATTGTTATCAACGAAACTATATAATTTAATGGCTGGTTGTCAGCTAGAATGCATACTATACGACATGGGTGGGTGATTTTCTGTGTTGAAGTTTCAGAGTCTTCGAATGTGCACGCATATTTGGTTGATAGGTTAGATCAGCTTGGTGATAGCTACTTTGCTGATGTTCTGGAATTATTGTCGTGGTGACAGATGCAGATATCAGGATTTTGGGCTGCCATTGAATTGAATTTGATTGGAGGGGGGTGAAAGGTGGATGATAATAATATTTTGGGTTGGAGCTACCCACCTAGGTACACACTCGTATAGCTTGCTGGAGCGAGACCAAGCTATCGGAGGATGTTTATATTTGCTTGGAAGATTAGTTTGATGGCTTCGGATGGGAAGAGCAAGGGTCATGATGATATAATGTTTTGTTGGCCGTGAACTATCTCAGAAAGGGAATTATCGAGCGCAGCGAGCTACGGGGGTTTGGGGGCTTGCCCCCATCCACCAATACCGAGTCAATGATTATATAGGAAAAGGATCAACGACGGGTTCCATATTTTGGAAAAGCTGAGAGTTAGTCGCGTGTGTGTATGTGTGTGTGTGCTGCTGGAGAGTATAGATAGAGTGAGTATACGACGTAAAAGTCCGGTGCTAGGAAAGCTGGAGATATTCTCTTGGTATATGTACGATGTATGTACTTTGTAGATAGATATGTATGTATGTATGTATGTATGCATGTATGGATGTCTGTAGTTTTGAAACTGCATCCCCAGACCAGGTATATGCATTCTGGTTGTAAGAGTGACGAGTAAGAGACGATATCAACATTACATTGCATTATGTACGGAATGAAGTATTTTGTCTTTCATGACTCTCCCTCTCGATGTCTTTTTCATCTCGCTCGGATTGGTACAGCAAACCAAAGGTTCTATGGGATTCTTGATACTTTGGAATCTTGACCCCTGTTACTCAGGTATGTAGGAAGTATGGATTTGGGTATGGATTTGGGTATGTGTGTACTCGCAGGTGCTAAGTAGTGTTGGAATTGATCGACCGGGTAATATTCATTCCAGAAGCATGGCCACGACCCCTAGCCTGGGAAAAGGTAGAGGGCACTAGGTACTTAGATGATTGTGATTGTTTGGTGAATTTGATAAATCGAGATTAAATCAATGAGATATGAATTTTTGGGTTTTGATTGTGTGTGAGGATTGATGTGTTGATTGTTTATCTTGTCAGACATGTCCTAATATTTTGTAGTTTTGTGGTGATTTAATATAATATGACATTGTCCTCTGTTGTTGCCCTTCTTCCACTTTCAGCCAGATCTTTTGACGGACCTCTCAAAGGCTTGTTACGTGACTTACTTTACTTACCGTGCTTACCCTTACCCTACCCGGTATCTACCCTCCCTACCTAGTATGGAAGTGGCTGAGTGGGTCTCTTCAAAACGCCAGAACTCACCAAATTCGTGGTCGTTGGGAGACGCGCTTTACTCGCTTGGGTTTAGTGGGGTAAAGTGAGGGATGGTTGAGAGTTTTGAGAAATTGGAGAAATTCAATTTTTGATAGTGAAGTGTGAAGGGTGAAGGGTGAAGGGTGAAGGGTGAATTGAGTGAGGGATGACTTGATATTGAAGTGACGACAGAAAACTCAAGACTCAAGACTGATGAAACGAATAAGAATCCAATATGAATGGTGATACGTACACTCGCATCTCGCATCTCGCATCTTGCATCTCGCATGGAAATGAAAATGAAAATGAAAATGAACAAATAATAAGACTCGGTCAAGGATATCGATCGAGCATGGAATTTCACGCCATGTAAGACTTGTTACATAGAAGAAGATGAAAAAGGAACCTGATCGCCATAAACTTGTAACTTTGTTTTGCTTCTATTCTGTAGATCAACAATTTTGAAACTTGTTGATTGTTGATTGTTGTGTTGTCTACTATTGTCCCATCCCCTCATTCGACGATACTTGAAGTCTCTCGACTAGTAATAAGTACATACATACATACATACATACATACATACCATCCCAATTCTACCTCCTCGCGTTGTACTTTTTAAGAGATACATTGATACATTGATACATTGATACATTCTTCATTCTTCCCTCTTCCCTCTTCCCTCTCCTCCCCTCGTCTGCTCTCCTCACACATCCATCAATCATATACCCAACCATTCATCCACCTACCTACCTTCTCACTCACTTACTCATTATCATATCGTCACCTCAACTCTTCTAAAATCCTAATTTTCTGTATATCCTTCCTCCTCGACTATACACAGACTCCTTGGTAATATTCGAACATCATTCGCCGAAAGAAGGGACTGTCTCCAATCTTTTTTCTGTCAAGCATTCATTAGATTGAGATACCCCAGGTAAGATTATAAAACCTTCATTAACACTTCTCCCCTTCCCTTTCCCCTCAACCCTCAACCTTTCCTTCGAAAACTTTAAACTTCTACTCTTTTTGTATTCTGTTTACAGTTCAAGTTTAATCTTTCCATTTTCTTACAATATACAAAGGGCTTCAGATTCATTTCCGAGTTCTTTCAATTCCTCATATCTAGAAATCTTTCGAGGGGATTTCGGAGTCCGTTCCTCAAATAATTATCTGACGCTCAACCATTTTCCCGGCTGGCTTAAGAATACAGCTTCCCCTCCTTCCACCATTTCCAACCCTCAATTCTTTCTTTGGCACAAGTTCTCTTCTCTGCTCTTCATTGAGCCCTGAATACTTTTCAAAGATATACGAATCTCAAATCACATTCACAATGGCGGAACCACATACAAACGGAACGGTACCAGTAGTGTCCTCTTACGCCGCGAGACATAATCTTGCAGATCACTTTATTGGAGGAAATAAATTAGAAAATGCTCCCGCGAGTAAGGTTAAGGACTTTGTGGCAGCAAGTGATGGACATACGGTTATTACAAATGTGAGTAAAGACTTTCTCGAGTTTGGATGTGGTGACGCTCCGCTGGCCCTCCGGGGGCCATTGCCATGGAGGCAGACTGTGCAAGAGGAAGTATATGTTTGATTTGAGCTTCTGAATACAGTAGTGGAAGAGGAGGAGAGGCCTGCTGGGTGGGTGGCAGATAGAGAGGGCGAGTAGTGGAGCATGGTAGAAGACTTATTTCCCTACATATCTTGTGTTGGATACCTCGTCTTTAGATGTATATCAAGAAAGCTTCGAGCGTAGCGAGCTATGGGGGTTTGGGGGCTTGCCCCCATTGATAACGGACGACGTACAATCTGCTTCCTTGTTGCATACTGGGAGTTCTGGGACCGGCACGTTCACACTTAGTTTAGAAACATAACTAACATTCGAGAAATAGGTTTTGATCGCAAACAACGGAATTGCTGCTGTAAAGGAAATTCGATCGGTACGAAAATGGGCATACGAAACATTTGGAGATGAAAAGGCTATTCAATTCACCGTTATGGCCACTCCGGAGGATCTTCAAGCCAATGCAGATTATATCCGTATGGCAGATCAATATGTTGAAGTTCCGGGTGGTACGAATAACAACAACTACGCCAATGTCGAATTAATTGTTGATGTGGCCGAGAGAATGAACGTTCATGCTGTGTGGGCTGGATGGTAAGTTTTTGCCCCTCGTACAATCTTAAACAAAGATCATTCGGAGAGAGAAACTAATAAATCTATCAGGGGTCATGCATCAGAGAATCCAAAACTTCCGGAATCCTTAGCTGCGAGTCCGAAAAAGATTGTATTCATTGGCCCTCCAGGTTCGGCCATGAGATCGCTCGGTGACAAGATTTCTTCCACTATCGTTGCACAACACGCCAAAGTACCATGTATACCTTGGTCAGGAACTGGTGTTGATAAGGTAGAGGTTAATGAGGATGGTATTGTTACCGTCGAAGACTCGGTGTATATGAAGGGATGTGTTCAATCATGGGAAGAAGGTCTACAAAAGGCAAATGAGATCGGATTCCCAGTCATGATTAAAGCATCTGAAGGTGGTGGTGGAAAGGGTATCCGAAAAGCTGAATCCGAAGAAGGTTTCGAAGCCCTTTACAAAGCTGCCGCGAGTGAAATCCCTGGTTCTCCAATTTTCATCATGAAGTTGGCTGGTAATGCGAGACATTTGGAGGTTCAATTGTTGGCTGATGAGTATGGAAATAACATCTCCCTCTTTGGTAGAGATTGTTCCGTACAAAGAAGACATCAAAAGATTATCGAGGAGGCTCCAGTTACTGTTGCCAAACAAGCCACTTTCCAAGCCATGGAGAAGGCAGCTGTTCGTCTTGGTCGTCTTGTAGGATACGTTTCCGCCGGTACTGTTGAATATCTCTATTCGCATTCCGATGACAAATTTTACTTCTTGGAATTGAACCCAAGATTGCAAGTCGAACATCCTACAACTGAGATGGTCAGTGGTGTTAATTTACCTGCGGCTCAACTTCAGATTGCAATGGGTCTTCCCTTGCACAGAATTAAGGATATCAGATTACTGTATGGAGTTGATCCTTCGACCACCACCGAAATCGATTTCGATTTCTCCCAAGAGAAGAGTATCCAAACTCAAAGAAGACCAACACCAAAGGGACACACCACCGCATGTCGTATTACATCCGAAGACCCAGGAGAGGGTTTCAAGCCTTCGAGTGGTACTATGCACGAGTTGAACTTCAGAAGTAGTTCCAACGTTTGGGGTTATTTCTCTGTTGGTACTGCTGGTGGCATTCACAGTTTCTCCGATTCGCAATTCGGTCACATTTTCGCCTACGGTGAGAATCGATCCGCGTCGAGAAAACATATGGTTGTCGCTTTGAAGGAATTGAGTATTCGTGGTGATTTCAGAACTACCGTTGAATACTTGATTAAACTTTTAGAGACTCCTGCCTTCGAAGACAACACTATTACCACTGGATGGCTTGATGAACTCATTTCCAACAAATTGACTGCTGAGAGACCGGATCCTATGCTTGCAGTTGTTTGTGGTGCCGTTACAAAGGCCCACATTGCCAGCGAGGCTTGCATTTCCGAATACAGAAATTCTCTGGAGAAGGGTCAAGTTCCATCGAAGGACATTCTCAAGACCGTTTTCCCAATTGACTTCATTTACGATGGTCACAGATACAAGTTCACTGCTACTCGATCCAGCTTGGATAGCTACCACCTTTTCATTAACGGATCCAAGTGTTCTGTTGGTGTTCGTGCATTGAGTGATGGTGGTCTTCTTGTTCTTCTCAGTGGACGTTCCCACAACGTGTACTGGAAGGAGGAAGTCGGTGCCACTCGTTTGAGTGTTGATAGCAAGACTTGTCTACTTGAACAAGAGAATGACCCCACTCAACTCAGAACTCCATCCCCAGGAAAGCTCGTCAAGTTCACTGTTGAGAATGGAGAACACATCAAGGCCGGTCAGCCATTCGCTGAAGTCGAAGTCATGAAGATGTACATGCCTCTGATTGCCGGAGAAGATGGTATCGTACAACTCATCAAGCAACCAGGAGCAACTCTAGAGGCTGGTGATATCCTCGCCATACTTGCTCTTGATGATCCATCGAGAGTTAAGCATGCTCAGCCTTTCTTGGGCCACCTACCAGATCTTGGACCACCACAAATTGTTGGTACCAAGGCTGCTCAACGTTTCGTACTTCTCCATAACATTCTCAACAACATCCTTGATGGTTTTGACAACCAAGTCATCATGGGTTCTACTTTGAAGGAGTTGATCGAGGTTCTCAGAGATCCAGAATTGCCGTACGGTGAATTCAATGCTCAATTCTCAGCTCTTCACGCAAGAATGCCACAAAAGTTGGATGCTACCTTGACTCAAATCCTTGACCGTGGTAAGTCTCGCAACGCTGAATTCCCAGCCAAGAACCTTTCCAAGGCTCTTCAAAAATTCTTGGATGAGAGTGTTGCACCTGGCGATGTTGATCTCCTTACCGCTTCCATTGCCCCATTGATTGAGATTCTCAACCGATACCAGAATGGACCAAAGGCTCACGAATTTGCCGTCTTCTCTGGTCTTCTCGAGAAGTATGCTTCCGTCGAGCGTCTCTTTTCTGGTCGTACCTCGCGTGATGAGGAGGTTATCCTTAAGCTCAGAGACGAGAACAAGGATGACATTTCCAAGGTTATTCAAATTGTTCTCTCGCACAGCAGAGTCGGTGCAAAGAACAACTTGATCCTCGCTATTCTCGAGGAGTATCGACCAAACAAGCCCAATGCCGGCGATGTTGCTAAGCATCTCAGACCTTCTCTTCGAAATCTCACTGAACTCGAGGCCCGTCAAACTGCCAAGGTTTCCTTGAAGGCACGTGAGATTCTCATCCAGTGTGCTCTTCCATCCTTGGAGGAACGTGCTGCACAAATGGAGCACATCCTTCGATCTTCAGTTGTTGAATCAAGATATGGTGAGACCGGATGGGAACACAGAGAACCTGATATCGAGGTTCTCAAAGAGGTTGTTGACTCCAAGTACACTGTCTTTGACGTCTTACCAATTTTCTTCGGACACAGTGATCCTTGGGTCTCTCTTGCAGCTCTTGAAGTTTACATTCGTCGTGCCTACAGAGCATACTCTCTCAAGAAGATTGAGTATCACAACGAGAGTGCCGAACCTCCTTTCATTGTCTCATGGGACTTTGTCTTGAGGAAGGTTGGAGCTTCGGAATTTGGCATGCCAGTTCAATCTTCTGCTCCTTCGACACCAGCCACCCCTTCACATGAGTCAGGCAACCCATTCAAACGTGTCAGCTCCATTAGTGACATGACCTACCTTACCAACAAGCCTGACCACGAACCAACAAGAAAGGGTGTTATTGTACCAGTTCAATATCTCGACGAAGCTGAGGAGTACTTGCAACGGGCTCTTGAGGTCTTCCCTATGTCTGGATCTAAGAAGAAGGGCAATGGTCTCTTGCCCGAACTTGGTGGCAAGCGCAAGGTTGCACCTCCGCGCCTTGACACTGAAGATGAGCTTACTGCCGTCTGTAATGTCGCCATTCAAGATGCCGAGAGTCTTGATGACAATGAGACTGTCGCTAAGATCAAGCTGATCGTCAACGATTATAAGGAGGAGCTTCTCAACCGTCGCATTCGTCGTCTTACATTCATCTGCGGTCACAAAGATGGTTCGTACCCTGGATACTACACTTTCAGAGGCCCCAACTACGAGGAAGATGAGAGTATTCGTCACAGTGAGCCCGCTTTGGCTTTCCAACTTGAGTTGGGAAGACTTTCTAAGTTCAAGATTACTCCCGTTTTCACTGAAAACAGAAACATCCATATTTATGAGGCTGTCGGAAAGGAAGCTACAAGTGACAAGAGATACTTCACTCGTGCTGTCGTTCGTCCTGGAAGACTTCGTGACGAGATTCCTACTGCTGAGTATTTGATCTCTGAGTCTGATAGATTGATGAATGATATTCTGGATGCTCTTGAGATCATTGGAAACAACAACTCTGATCTTAACCACATCTTCATCAACTTCTCTCCTGTTTTCCCTCTTCAACCTCCCGAGATCGAACAAGCTCTCGGTGGTTTCTTGGAGCGATTTGGTAGACGTCTTTGGAGACTTCGTGTTACTGGTGCTGAGATCCGTATTATTTGCACTGACCCATCCACTGGCATGCCATATCCCGTTCGTGTTGTCATTACCAATACTTCTGGTTACGTCATCCAGGTTGAGATGTACGCTGAGCGTAAATCTGAGAAGGGAGGTGAATGGGTCTTCCAAAGTATCGGTGGTACCACCAAGATTGGTTCCATGCACTTGAGACCGGTATCTACTCCATACCCAACCAAGGAATGGTTGCAACCAAAGAGATACAAGGCTCATCTTATGGGTACTCAATATGTATACGATTTCCCAGAGCTTTTCAGACAAGCCATTCAAAACAGTTGGGTCAAGGCCGTCCGCAAGCACTCATCTTTGGCCGACAAACAACCCCCTACGGGTGAATGTATCGAGTATAGCGAACTCGTCTTGGATGACAATGATGGACTTGCTGAGGTTTCGCGCGAACCTGGTACTAACACCCACGGTATGGTTGGTTGGCTCATAACTGCCAAAACACCAGAATATCCTCGTGGCCGTAAATTTATCATTGTCGCCAACGATATCACTTTCAGAATTGGTAGTTTCGGACCAAAAGAAGATCAATTCTTCCACAAGTGCACGGAACTTGCAAGAAAGATGGGTATTCCACGTATCTACCTTTCTGCCAACTCTGGTGCTCGTATTGGTATGGCCGAAGAGCTTATGCCTCACTTCAAGGTTGCCTGGAAGAATCCTGAGAGACAAGAAGCCGGCTTCAAGTATCTTTACTTGGATACCGAAGCCAAGAAGAGATTTGAGGATGGTAAGAGCAAGGACGTCATTACTGAGGAGGTTGTTGAGGATGGTGAGACAAGACATAAGATCGTTACTATCGTTGGTGCTGAAGATGGTCTCGGTGTTGAGTGTTTGAAGGGTTCTGGCTTGATTGCCGGTGCCACTTCAAGAGCTTACGAAGACATCTTTACCATCACTTTGGTAACTTGTCGTTCAGTTGGTATTGGTGCATACTTGGTCCGTCTTGGTCAACGTGCTATTCAAATTGAAGGACAACCAATCATCCTCACTGGTGCCCCTGCCATTAACAAGCTGCTCGGTCGTGAAGTCTATACTTCCAACTTGCAACTTGGTGGCACTCAAATCATGTACAAGAATGGTGTCTCTCACATGACTGCCAATGATGACTTTGAGGGTGTTTCCAAGATCGTTGAATGGATGGCCTATGTTCCAGACAAGAGAAACAGCCCTCTACCAATCGGACCTGCTGCTGACTCTTGGGATCGCGATATTGTTTACACTCCACCTGAAAAGCAAGCTTATGATGTCAGAAACCTCATCGCTGGTAAGGAAGACGACGAAGGATTTATGCCAGGTCTTTTCGACAAGGACTCCTTCGTTGAGACTCTCGGCGGATGGGCAAAGACTGTTGTTGTTGGTCGTGCTCGTCTTGGTGGTATCCCAATGGGTGTTATCGCTGTCGAGACCCGCTCAGTTGAGAACATCACACCTGCCGATCCAGCAAACCCAGATTCGACCGAACAAATCTCCAACGAAGCTGGTGGTGTCTGGTATCCTAATTCCGCTTTCAAGACTGCTCAAGCTATCAAAGACTTCAACAATGGTGAGCAATTGCCATTGATGATCTTGGCTAACTGGAGAGGTTTCTCTGGTGGTCAACGTGATATGTACAATGAAGTTCTTAAGTATGGAAGTTATATCGTTGATGCTTTGGTCAAGTACGAGCAACCAATCTTTGTCTACATTCCACCATTTGGTGAGCTTAGAGGTGGTTCTTGGGTCGTTGTTGATCCTACAATCAATCCAGAATTCATGGAAATGTACGCTGATGAAGACGCTCGTGGTGGTGTTTTGGAACCAGAAGGTATTGTCAACATCAAGTACCGTAAAGACAAGCAATTGGAGACCATGGCCCGTCTCGACCCAGAATACGCTGTACTCAAGAAACAATTACTCGACAATGCTGCTGGACAGGAGAAGTTGGCTGAAATCAAGGCTAAGGTTGAGCAAAGAGAGAAAACATTACTTCCTGTCTACAATCAGATCTCGCTTCAATTCGCTGATCTTCACGACCGTGCTGGACGAATGAAGGCAAAGGGTGTTATCAGAGACTCATTGAAATGGAGAGAGGCTAGAAGATTCTTCTACTGGCGTGTACGAAGACGTGTTAACGAGGAGTACATCCTCAAGCGCATGTTATCCGCCAACTCGAAATCACCAACTGGTACCAGGCCAGAGAACTTGAGAAAACTTGCCGCCTGGACTGCCATTCCAGCATTCCAAACAGATGATAAGAGTGTAGCCATGTGGTATGAGGAGAATAGAAAGGTTGTTCATGAGAAGGTTGAACAAATGAAAGTTGAGGGTGTAGCTGCTGAGGTTTCGGCTTTGCTTAGAGCTAGTGGACCTAGTGCTAAGGGGGATTGAGTGGTGGTGCTATGGCTGGTATCAGACAAGTCTTGTCTATGTTGCCAGTTGAGGAAAGAGAAGAGGCATTGAAGTTTTTGGGAAGACCTTAAGGTTAGGGTTATGAATGCCATGATTTGAAACGAGGGGTTCGGCATGATTATATGACCATTTGAGATGGGGGATTTGGGATGAAAAGAGGATTAGAGGATGATACAACTTTTACTCTGTACTCTATTGCAATTTCTTTCGTTTAAGCCATGTTTTTGGTATTTTGATAAATGATGGCCGGTTTATAGTCTTTAGAGCACTGCATTGCGTCGCGTAGTTAGAAGTATGATAAGATATAATTATTCTTAGATATTTGGTTTTCACTTGTGATGTAGCTACCTGTTTTAAATTTGATTGATGATTGACTTGTGTTTGATATTAGCTTGATGATATTCTCCATCAGTAGCATGCCGTTCATTGCCGTTCATTGAAACATCAAGCCTCGCAACTAATCACTACCTAGGTATATTAATTAAAATAATTTCATTTCTCTTAAAATAATTTCATTTCTCAACCTATGACCTCCGTCATATCTATCTATCTCCCCATGGTAGAACAATTCCTAGGATACTGAACAGCTCTCTTAATCATGCTCTTCAGCGTATCACCATTGATGCGATTGACGTAGTCAACCTTGCGCAGGCCGGGAGGCATCAGCGCTTCTTGGTAGGCGTGGATGTTGCCGTAGGAGGGAGAGCCGTAGGATGTGTCGACGTCAACGTAGACTGTGGGAGGGGGGGAGGGTTAGTGAAGGGACTTTTTTGGAGGGGGGGGGAGTGAAAAATCAAAGATAACTCACAGCTTGTAGAATTCTCCACAATCGATCCGTCTACCATAATCGCGGCAGCAGTCTCATCCCAAAACGGAAATTCCGTTCCATAATGTCCCCACACCAATTCTGAGTACGGACCACTAACTTCCTTGATCTCGTCCAAGAAATCCTGCGTGCTCATCACCTGATTCGCGACATTTCCTGCGAAAGTGATTTTGGGAAAGTTGGCCGTGAAAGCGATTTTGGCGGCTTCGGGATCGACCATCAAGTTGATGTCGGAGCTGAGGTCGGCTTGTAGCACGCTGCCGGTTACTTGGAGGAGGTTGTCGTCGATGTAACCGCCCATGATGACGAGTTCTTTGGCGAGGGATGCAAAGTTGTCGTCGGAGCGGACGGCAAGAGCGACGTTGGTCATGGAGCCGCCGGCGTCTGGGTGGGGTGTTAGTTTGGGTCCTTGATCGTTCACTATGAGGGAATTGAAATTTATAAACTTACATATCGAAACTTGTCCCGGATATCTATGCACCATTTCAATCATAAATGCACTAGCACTCTGACTCTTCTTCAATCCGTTAATTGAATAGTTACTTGGCATTCCCTCTACAAAAGCCCCCTCTACAACTCTGAAAGGGTTATCTCCCGATGTGGGGTCACTTCCTTCTGCTTCCGCTGTAGCATTATACGGAGCAAATACGCCCTCCCAAGGAAGTTTACCATGAACCGCCTCCCATGCCTGGAATCTCGTGGCGGTATTGATAAGCGGGAATGTAGAGCCCGGAACTACGGGGATACAGCTCGTCAGGTTACCGAGAGAGAGGGTAGCTAGTGCATGTAGTGCGACTTGGTGTTGCCATGTATCTGCGGTACCTGAGAGGGGAGAGAATTGTCAGCTGAAAATGTATCTATAATCATAAGGAGGAGATACGCACAGGATGTTAAACCTAATACTTCCCATCCGGCATCAAGAGCGATGAGGAATGGAATGAAGCCAGTTGAACTCCAATCATTGTCCATAATAACATATTTGGTGGCATTGCTGGTAGCATAACTAGTTCCATATCCCATAGCACTAGAACCGCTTACCAAACTTCCCAAGCCCAAAAGCCCCGAGACGATCCGTGAACTTATCATCTTGTCTTGTCTTGTCTTGTCTTCCGCGTAACAGAGGGAAATTCTCAAGATGGAAAGAAATGAAAAGGTGAAGAAAAATCTCGAGAATTCTCGTCACGAGATATATATATGAAAGTAAATGACCTACCCACCCTACTTCATTCAATCTCACATCTAGCTCAACGGACGTCACCGAAAATTCTTTTTTCGTACCCACCGCTCCTCGTGGAAATCGAGAGAGATCGTCAGGAAACAGGACAAATGCAGTTACTTAGACGATTTTGTATCTATCGCTAGGCCCCACATAGATATTGATTGCACCGACTCTATGAAGTAATCAGAGACTCTTAAGGTTATCGTCGAGGAAAGATGGGGGCTGGAAGTGCCGCGATTTTACCGGGTACGTGATACGGATTGGAGATTGGAGATTGATAGATGAATGGAGGGGAGATCCTAGTCTGTGATACGAAGGAGAAAATTAGTGGAATTGTTTGCTGTCTTTTGAGACGACTGATTGTACTTTAAAATTCTGGAGAGGGATGAGATAGAAGCTGAGTTTTTCTCGTGATGTTGCGGTGCGGTGGTGCTGTGCGGAGAAGATCACAAAAACACTACTGTATTCTGGATTCAATCGGAATCGTACTTTCCTGTCTTGAAGATCACAGTCCGGGCCACGGGGTACAGTAGTGTCATCGATAGTGAGTTTATTCAGGAAAGATCGATAGATGTAACTAAATTTGACCACTCTCTTTTACCATGTGTTGAAAGGTAAACGCTATCCGGTGACATTCCAGAGAGGATTGCATTTACATGAAATCGAAACCTAACAGTAGCACAGACAGATTGCCTTGATCAGAACATCCAAAACTATCGATTTTGCTTACCTTTTCATCTTCCAATTCTGCCAGTCCGCTTCAATTATTTATGCTGGACAAGTCGAGAGGCATTCGTTCTTGATTTTCGTGTCTTTGATTGAATTGATTCTGCATACTATGGAGCTTCTTTGCGCACCATAAAACAGTCGATCGGCGACATCTCCAGCGAGACTGTCTCGCTGCTGTCGCTTTCTTTGCTTTTTCACACAGACATCTATGTGTCTTACTGCCTTTAAACCTTCAGACAGATATTATGACGTAAAACAATGCGCTGAGAAGATGACGAATAGAGTTGCATGCTTTCTTGTGGAAAGTCAATTCACAAGAAAAAGACTACCACTTTCCGGCGTGAAGATTGAAGGTTCATCAGAAGAGAACATTGGTACCAAAGCCAATGTCCAAGCACAATTTGAGGAAATAGTCGTCATCGAACTATGCTAGACTTCACAGCTAGTTGATGAACGACCGGAAGATGCGAGGTCATCTAGTCAGAAATTCAATGCGGGGTTGTCGGGCCCTTGTTCTATCGCGCGCTAAACACCCCTGAAGATGAAACGAGAGTCACATGTCATTCAGCAGTGCTGGAAAAAACTGATGATTTGACGGATTTCATGTATTCTTTTCAAGATTGGTTTCACTTGAATTTGGAGTCGGTATAAGAAGCAAGTTTTCATTGAATTATCCAGATCCTGCATCTTATAACTGTACAAGACTTTTTTCCACCGAAGTCAAGTTAAAGTCACTAGAATTCCTCCATCCCTGATGAAATGAGGCGATAAGTTGGACACCATGCTACAGGGCCTACATTGCTCAAGATTCTGGCAGATTGGCACAGATCCAGTAGATACCTACTTCGTGTGGAAGTTAGGGGCGGGATTATCAAGAAATCGATTCACATTGAAAATATTTTCCTCGATTAATATTGGAATCGATTGAATTACCTTAATCTCCTCTCATACATTATTGAAGTAGTAGCCCCCAGATGCTCTGTGACTTTTCAATCAGAAAGATGGAGAATAACATCTGTCAGATTTCCTGAGCTTCCGCGCATTTGTTCCTCTTCCAGTTGGCTTGGATCTCTCGGGCTCCATGGGCCATGATTTGCCTTCATCCGGAAAATAAATCAATACTGCCATTGAATTATTGTTACAAATCTTAGTTTTCCGATATTTTCTGTGAGAAAGGAGCCATTCCTGACCACCGTTGGAAAGTAACCAACGGTACAAGTTTGAACGACGATAAGACGCAGCTAGTTTCGCCCTCATGCGAGTCCAAGAGTCCCAGCTCAAAACTTCATTCTTGAATTGCCGTGCAGCGAGACGAAACCAGCTATCCGCGCTCACACCAAAAGGTTTTGGAACAAGAGGAATCAATTTATACGTCTCTTCATCCTGAATATTCAACGTCTTATAGTCTTGCCATCGATCATCCAAAGTTTTTTCCTCCACTCCTGGAAAATCTCCATACACGGCGCGCGATAGAAAAGGTGTTTCAATATACCGACTATCAGGGCCAATACGACGGTAACCTGGGCCAATCCAGGTTTCAATCAACTCGATAAAGCAGTATTCATAGAAAGAGTCAGCTTCCCATCTACCGAATTTAATAGATTTCTTCCACGGTTTGCCTTGGAAGAAATTCCAGCAGGTTCGACATGTAAGAGCAAGACAAATGATGGTAGTCCTTTCATCTTGCTCTAATAGTATATCGAAGAGTATGTTTATAATGTCGAGTGGAAATCCTTTGAATTCGCTCTTCTTGGTTGGGGCAACGGTAGCTAGGGGGTAATCGTGTTAGCTTTCGTTGTAAGCAGGCACTTCTTTACATGAAATGATAATGGCAAATAGTAGTTGTCACAAAGAATAGAATTTACTTACTGGGAATGGCAACGAATTCAGTTTCCGGCGACTTACATCCAGTCTCTTGGTTCTGCTTTTTGGGCTTAGGGCGGTGTTTCCAGACCATTGTGCGTGTTGAGTATTTTTCAGTCGGTATCTATCGTGTTTCGAAGAGTATTTGCAATTACCAAAAAGTAATCGATGTCTGTTACTTAGTTCAGATTTTGCTCCTATCGAGGAGGGCTGAGAAATTAATGTGGATGTTAAGGAAGGATATATGGAGAGCCGAGATCTTTAAGTAGAGTTCGGTTTAAGTCAATGCCGTATCGAATATTCTTTACGACGTAGGTAATACTTTTTACCACGTTGAAATTTTGGGCGTTAGTGAAGATGATTCACTTTACCGAAGTTTGTACAGCAGTATTGCTACGACAAGTTTTTTGCCTGGGGACTTGCATATACAATAAACACGTAATAGTCTGCTGGTTGATGAGCCGACTATTAGATTGATTGGAACTATCACCGTAGCTCGGGTATGATCATGTGTTTAAGTAAGTGGTATCCTGAAACTCATAACAATAAACATGGGACTATTAGACCTGCTACACTTTTGATACGTCACAATGGCAATTTCTTTTTGCAGCTGGAGGTCATTAACCAAGCTCAGTCAAGTACTTTTGAGAAAAGCGTTTGTTTGATCCCTCTGGAGATACAAGCGAAATATCATTAATTGCGCACAAGTGGACTGAGTTAAATTTTATTGTTTATTGCACATTTCTGCTGAAACTAAGATTCATTGCTAATGCCTATCTCGAATTCTCTCGATATGAACCTGATATTTTGAGTAAACCTGACCGCGCTGACCTCTGCAAACAGTCTGAAAAGTCCATCCATTTCCCTAAAACAAGTCAATTTCTCCTGTAGAACTAACCTTTGAATGCAAAGCCTGGAGAATGGTATATAACCACCTGAGAGATCGAAAAAAGCTTCCTCCCATATATCGCAACCATATAACCTAAGTTTGCACCCTCAGGTCCACAATCTAGCCTATTCATTGCTTTTTCGAACCTCAACTCCATCAGCAAAAAGAAGAAAATACTGTTCCCAATCCTGTTTTGAAGCTTGAAGTATTGCCTCCCAAAAACACATACGCCTAGTTTTATTGAGTACATTACCACTTGGATCATGATCTAGAATCCGCGTGCTAACGTACTTTCCCATCAAGTGCCAAAGGTGAGTTTTTTGCATTCCCGTAACTCTTGCATACTGGTCTTTGACCGCAAGATTGGTCATCCTCAAGTTCTCTCGCAGTTGATCTTGGTTGGGTGTTTGACCGAGCATCGTCTGTCCAGGCATTATATGTCCAGTCGAAGTTACTCCAGGATATGGTATTCCATGTAGCCATGGCCTGGTCTCCGACGATGGAGCCATGTTGACTAAACGAACTGGAAGTCCCGTCGACGTGAATGTACTCATTGTTAGTCCAATCACAGAGATCCCGGGCATTACGACTGGTACATATTGCATAAGATTACTACTGACTGTGGATAAATCTGGAACAGCTTCTTCAACATGTTTGACGAACTGGCGAACTGCTGCAAGATACCAATCGGTTCCCATTCCGAATGGACTTGGCAAAATAAGTTTTCCGACTATGCGTCCCTGTCTTGATATAATGCTATGATAGTCGCTCGTTCGCTGGATCAGATCCCACTCTTTAGGAGTACCGGCTTCATCTCCATAGACAGAGCAAAGAAGGAATTGATGGAGTCGCTTCAAGAATCGGTACTCTGGAACTAACGAATCGTGTAGAAGTTTTGCGAGATTAGGCGGAAATCCCTTTGGGCTATGAGGGTATGGTGGTCTTGAAATGAGTAGTACGTGTTCCGGGTGGACTGAGCGGAAGAATCGATAGTAGGTACGACCTGTAATAGCGACACAGACTGCCGTACATTCATCGTGATCGTTAAGAAGTAATTCGATAATTTGGAAGATAATTTCAACAGGGATCCGAGGATCTGCAGATACATGAGTTAGTAACAAGTCTACTGTGAGAATGCAGTATTGTGATTGATTGGATCGTCTTGTTCAAAGAAGTCTATAGCCTACTTTCGATTTTTTGTAGTTGCTGGTCTTCGATTTGGCTAAGCCATTTTTCAACGCGGGACTGGACTCTGGGATGCGCTGTTGATACGATATCATATTCCCATTGATTCTCTGGAAAACTGTCTAGCTCGACTTCATGTCTATTTGAAGAGGTCATCTTGTTGATTTCAATGTTGTACGGCTACTGTAAGTGTGTGGTGTCGAGTATTGTTGATACAGGGCTGAAGAGATGAAGCAGGATGCAGAGGTAATCATTATTCTGCCTACTAGGTACTTCCTAACACTTTTAGGGTAAGATTGAATGAAAGGGCTTATCCTATTGGCAGTGAAAGCCCTTTCATTCAAAAAATCATTTTAATCTTTAATTTAACATTCACTTCGAGAAACTGAATACATCTGTGAGCATCCGGGGATTATCTCGGCAATAAGGGGGGAGCCCTTTGAGCCGAGGCCACCCGAAAACATTTTTAGGTTTGGTTGTACAGAAATGTGATATACAGCAGGGTGATGATGTCAAGTAATATGATAAAGACTCAAGCCACCAGGACCTCGAATTTTGTTATTTGAAGTAGATCCATCGACTCCTATCGACTCTATTTCCTAGCCTGTCAACAAGTATTCAGAACATACAATTAAGAATTATGAATACTATTATCCTTCACAGCAGCGCAGCGCCCTTGAGACGGGTGCCTACAGGTAAAATCCTTGAATTCCCTGGAGTTGTAACTTTTACTCCTTTCCCTTGTCAATAGAACTAACCAGTTTCGTTTAATTTCAGTATACGAAGCTCAAATCATTCATTTCTATACCTCAACCTATCAGGAATCTCGCCGGAGACAAAAGTCAAGATTATTAAGTGATCAACTGGAAACCGTTCTTCTTCCGGGAGAAGGAGCTGCTGACGAAGAAGGTAAGATCAAACGTAGGTTCCTAAAACAATGCTAATGCGATTTACTCAACATAGGATCGAGTGATGGTTCAACGATGACAGCGAACGCCCAGATACAAGAATGCGCGACAGCAGAACCATCCATTGTTGAAATTGCACCTACCGAAATTATCGATAAGATATTGAACAATCTCTTCGAAAAAGAATTTCCTGATATCTGCTCAGCCCTTTGTTTCGGCTTGACTTCCCGCAGAAATTGGGCAATACTTCGTAACCTGGACCATACAAGCTACCTCAAAGAACATATGGACCAGATTCCAAGTATTATCGATTTCAAATACGACAAGATCCCATTGTTTAATCCGCATTACGAGTCATACAGCGTCCTTGAGCAAAGTATTATACATAAACTTGTTTTCTACCCCTATTTCTTTGAGGATAAGACAGATATCAACCATCATATTAAGCCTTCTCAACGTAGGCAACTCATGTTATTCAAGAAGTGGATGGGCCCCAAATATCGTCTTCCATCTTCTTCGGTCATCCCTTACTATCTATCTTGTGCTGTATATGGGGAACCGGGTGTAGAAAGTATCGAAGAAGCGATTCATCGGAGACGATACTCTGATTTCATACGTTATATAGAATTGAAGCAGAAGGTTACAAGTCCGTTTGGACTAGGTGATATATGGATTGCTGTAGGCAAGTCAAGGTGGGGCTCCTGGAAAAGACCTGATTCTACTACGCGTCTATTCACAGCATTGGGGTGGTAGACTGCAGAATATTTACAGCTCGGTTGGTCACAATTAGAATGGATTGCAAGACTACCAACTACGTTTAGCATTTCATCGGTCGTCTTCTACAATCAGGGGCACTTGCATTGCATTTTACACACTCATAGTCCTATGGATTATCTTGTCGAATACCAACTGATACTTTCACATACCAAAGTAAACTTTCTGACTTATGAGACTTACATGTGACCTCTCTCTGGCTATCAAATTAGTGAAATCATACAGTGCTTTCCTAATCTCATGGAGTAAACATGCCATGACCTAACTTAACACCATGGCTGGCTTTGTAAATGACAATAAATCAACTGATATGTTCTGTAATATGAAACAGACCAATCAGGAATCATTTTAGTATCTTTCTCTGTTAATTAGATCACGTTTAGGTCTAAATGTAGAGATTTAGATAAACCAATGAGAGCAAATTAAGCGAATTGTCTGTAAAATCCCCACTAACCATCCACAGATATGATCAGGCCAATATCTTTAGGTAATCTTGATTTTGGAACAACTCGGCTCTTGAATCATTTTAGGCATATCAAGGTTCCCCGCCGCCAAAATCCAACCGACCAACCACACCACCAAGGACTCTCAGTCCTTTCCTTCAACTTCCATTACTTCCACCTTCGATACACCCAGAAAGAAAATACCTTCAGCGCAAATACAACTTCAACGTTCAAGATGCCTCCTAAGAGTCGTCCGCCTCCGAAGTCAACGCAAGCCAACTTGGACAACTTTGTCTTGCAAACTTCGGCATCGAACACAAGCAATACACCAGCAGCTGGTAATAACTCGTCTCTTGCCTCGGCTTCTGCAAGGAATAATCGGACTGCACCTGTCAAAAAGCGATTCCAAGTTCGCGGTCCACTTCTTGCAAACCTCAGTCAGGGTGATGGAGCTGAAATTGACCGCGAACAAGTGATGCGCCTTCGTAACATGGTAGTACAAGAGGGCCTTAACACCATGCAAAATTTCCTCAAGTGTGACCCAAGCCAAGTTAATTGTATGTGACTGCCGCTAGTCTCCTCTTCCTTCTTCTACTCCTGTCTTTTTCCGTTTAAACGCGGGTTAAGTTAACTAAAGCTTTACTAATATTTCGCAGATGCGTGCACATCTAAGAAGAGACCAGCAGAAAAGACGAAGTCGGAGGAAAATGGAACCGGCGATCAACCTGCTCGCAAGAAGAGATATAATACTGCTAAGAGAAGAGGTTAGACTTTGTCATTTCATAGCTGTCACTCCGTTTTGATTTTTCGTTTTTCTTTTTAACTCTCAACCACTTCAGCTACTCATACTGTCATCATTCCACAATCTTTGGTGTCAGTTCAACTCCAGTCCAGAACACTAAAAGATAAACCGTATCATGGTTTTCTGACCTGCAATGGTCATTTTCGTTAAAGAATACACCAGGTCGTCTTCTCATTCATCTTTCGTGCTCTCTCCTTCTTATCATGCGTTCATTCATCTGAAGAACCACTTCATCCATATTCGAACACTCTTCCTGCATCTCAACCTTCTGACCTCAACTTTTTCCAAAGTTCATCCTCAACACAAAAGAGCTTCAGCTAATACGTCTTCTATTTCTAGCCGCCAAATTTAATTTCCCAACAGAAATCATCCGTCTCATCCTCCGATGTCTCATCTCCGAACATCAAACCTTCGAAAGCGACTTCTGCACCGCGGTCTGCTTTGCCCTAACCTGCCGTCCCCACTGGGCCATCTTCCGCTCAATCCACAGCCCCAAAGTCTCCCTGCTCGTTCAATCCCCTAAAACATGGAACCCTAAGAAAGCCGGCGTTCCCCACAGACTCGGAGATCTCCTGATCGACTGGATGCTTCCAGCATACCGTCCTCTACCCTGCCGATTATTGCACGGCGAAATGGTACTTCTTGACGTCATGTCTATCGATGTCTTTGTCAGTATCGCCGCATATCCCGACGTGGGAGGTGAGAAAGATAAGAGGCTCGCAGAAAGAATATATGAATATCGACGCAATTGTTTTCTTGGATTCTACTGCATCTACAATGGTGTTCGTTCTGATGGCTTTGGACAACCTGCAGGTCTCAACTGGTTTGTTCCCAACCCATATAGAATGGGCGAGAAATGGTATTCAGCCACCACTCGCTTTCTCAAACATACTATCTTTAAATGGAAGTCTGATTGCCATTTGGATCGAGAATATCACTGGCTTAATGACAAGGAGGAATATAGTCGTCATTACCGAGTCTGGTCGACTTATAAAACCTGGATGTTGAGAGATTGGGTTGAGGCGCAACCGGAAGCAATGGCTTACAAGAGATCTCGAGGATTGGGTGAAGACAAGGCGAAAGTTGGTATGAGAGATGGGTTTGAGATGTTGAAGTTGGTGGATGTGCGAAGCGAGGAGCATAAGGATAAGATTAAGCAGGTTGTTAATGCGATGCTGAGGTTGGTCAAGGGCAGTCAATTTTATGGAGAATATTAAAGGCGTGGAGGAGTCTATTCGGGTTATTCTGAGGAATGGGTTAAAGTAATGTACCAGCCCGCTCTGTCAGGGCTGTGGTATTCATGCAGTATCGTTGCTGCTTCGAAACTTTCTCTTCTTCTTCCGAGAAATTATCGTCAAAGTAATGACTACTCTTCCATGGGTAACGTCAACTTTGGCATAATGCTTCGACTTTTACCTGGCGAAACTGGACAATCTCTTGTTGGCAATTCTGGGGATACTGCGCACACATGACATGGGTATGCCGTTGTCTTCAGATTGCTAATAATAGCGTTGAGTTGTTTAGACCGTCTTATTTTAGTTTAGTTTACGAATAATGAATCTCCTCTCTTCTCATCTCATCAGGTCTTCTTGCGTGGAATTATAGTCGTATGTGAAAACGTTAGAGGCCGAAGAAAGACACAAGCAAGCAAAGATTTCTAACAATGCTGAACCAATAATGCTAACTTGCGTCTTGCGTAATTGCCGGCTTGATATGCTTTAAAAGCTACAAGATATTGAGATATGTTCTAACACACATCCTCTACGTGTAAAGAATATAATTGTATAGTATGCATGAAGAACACCATATTTTCGACTCACCGAGTTTTAATACATACGATGAGCGAGATGTAGATATGGGGCTTTGAGTCAGAATTGCTGATTTGTCTCCAACATAATTAGTCAGATAATCTGGCAATGCTATAATTTGATTCATACTATCAAAACTCCAAACGGGATTCAAGAGCATGTGTCAAAAAGCATTGAATCAGATATCTAACTCTCCTGCACCTATCAGAAGCTTAATGAACAATGTTTCCAATAGTCCGGACTGTAGGACGAACTAGATTATTTGAATTAAATAGTTAAGCTTAAGTTTAGCTAGATATTGAATAGTCCGTCTATAATATTCAAAATCCCCAATAAACTAGATTATTAATCTAAAAGTCCAGACGAGCTGAACTAAATAAAGGTTTATATAATATCTTGTAATCTAATTTTCTTTTAAAAAATAATAAAACTTCAACTTTCTAATTTAACTATTAAAATATAATTACTTTAAAGCTTAAACTATATTATATAATTACTTTTATATAATCTAAAAGTCCAGATTATAATCTGAACTTTATAATATTAAATTAATTAGTTTAAACAATATATATTGAAATCTTTCTGATAGTTTATGTAGTTCTAGAGAATTCTATTTAGTTTGTTTAGCTCGCTGTTCAGATGGAATACTGGCAGACTATTGGATATACTGTTAATGAAACACAACATACCCAATTTTCATCTTATCCTATCCTATCATTCAAATTCCAAGTAATCCTCAACTTAACACCACAGTATTCCTCAGCCTTGAATTGATCTTTCTTTCAATTTCACAGAGCTGAGCGTCCGACGTCTGTATATCTTCACGTCGTGTAGATTCGATTTTATAAAGTACTTTCATCAAGAAGCTAGAGCATCTCATATCCAACCACAGCATCCAAATCCATCTTCAAAAGTTTATGTTTCAAGAATCTACTCACAGCGGGACAAAAATCCTAAACAATCCCTTGGGAATCGGGAAGGAAACCGAGTCGATGTATTGATGCAGCGATATGCGTCGATACATTCTATGTGATGTCGAACGAGATACCGAGTTGATACATCGATTGATTATTCTCACGTGTTCTCTTCATTTTCACTCAATCAAAAGGTACTGTTCGATACATGATCAATATTCTAGATAGTATTAGTTCATCCTACCCGCAAAATACTTCCTAGCTCTCCTTAAACCTAACCGAAAATGTCTTATCATGTGATACCAACCCAAGTGTTATATGAATATATAACCACATATTACATGTCTTTGTTAGGGTTTACTTTCAATCACATAACTCTATCATTTTTTATCCTGACCCGCGTCTCTTGTTTCTCGTCTTGTAGGATACTTCTATATGTGTTCGTTTTCCGTATCGCTTTACTCACTTTCCCCCCCAAAATTATGCCACGGACACACACACCAACTCTCTCTATTGCTACTAGACTCTTTAAATGTGAATTGTGTGAACTTAGCTCTAACCTCCTTACACACCAGTAGTTTTTTCTCATCCTCACCTCCATACCTAACCTCTACAACCCTCTTCTTTACCCTCTTCATTACACCTTTCACTTCTCTGGTAATTGCATGTCTCCTCTCTTCACTTTATTTAGTATTGAGACAGATCATTAGAATGTAATAACTACTGCTAATCTATATTCCCTTGAGCTTGAATAAGAAGAATCACGAATTTACACTCATCGATATTACATTTCATATCCAATACACACTACCTCCTCCCTTTAAGCAGATACCTAATTAATATCTACTTTTCATTTCATAATCCATCGTTCTTCCGATGACCTCATAATCAAATCATCAATACATTCAACCAATCAGACTCTCTGGGTATGACATTCACGTGATCTGCAAATTATTCTGTTGCACATCTGAGATTTGAGGGTCGAGTCCTACGATTCCAAAAATCTGGGGTGGGTGGTAAGTGGGGCTGAATGGATATCTCTATCTCTGTTGCTGGTCGGTGTCTTGGGAATATATTGTTTGTTGTTTTGAGGAGGATAATGCATCGTATCACAGATGTCATATCTGAATGATTATGCCGTTTATATTCTTTATGCTTCTATTAAACTATCTATGCTTTATTAATAAAACTATACCGCAAGTGTAAGTAAGTAAGTAAGTAAGTAGTAAGTGTTGAATCCAACTCAGATAAATGTAACGTGAACCAGATTCATACCGAAATTCCCTCCCAGCACACCCCTCCGGAAAGCATACCCGAGATTTGTAAAGGGGAGAGAGAGGAAAGCGATCACACGTTCATATAAGGGCATATACAGAAGCAACAAGTATTTTGGAACTTGGTCAGACGCAACCAACACATCTACTCGTTGGCTCTGAGATGTGCGTACCTAGGTAAAATATCCAATGAAAGACCAGTGAAACATAGGCATCATGGATGAATTATGTAAGTAGAATGGATTATTGATGGCTAAATACAAATTGTTGATTGGGAAGTGGTATTGATTGCAACTCCAGACTGCAAGCAGCTGTTTCAATCTGATCAGCTTCTTGTATACTGTCTCGACTGCACATCTGATATTGACATTGACTCGTGAAATGATCAAGTTCCTTCGTATGACTTCGTATGACTTCGTATCTGTGTGCAGGATCTTAGCTCAGCAGCCTCAGCTACCCAATTCCTGGGCTTCACCGGGAACTAATATGCGATTCGGTTAGATCTGAGCCACGTGGTGCATGATATACAGATTAGAGGATTTTATGACGAAGATTGACTGCATGTCGAAGCATTTAGCAATTGGTGAGGTTATTCCAATATCACGATGGGGTAATGAGATGAGATGATCTTTCTTGGGTGTTTCTTGGAGATCTCGGGGAATTTTCTTAAGGTTCAGCTCTCAGCTCTCAGCTCTCAGCTCTCGTCTCTCGAGGGAGACATGGTAATCATTGTCCCCATCCATGAGTGACGGTAACTTGATTGATTGTGTGATCATGATCATCCAAAAGGAGATGCGGAGAGTGGAGAAGTATTTTGGAATGACGGCCAAAACAATGGAGGAAGGAGGCAGGATATTTGATAAAAGCAGCATTGGATTCAGGGTCTCCTTCGCCGTGGTGAAGGGTTACATAAGGTGACATTGACCGAGAGAAAGAGGCGAAAGCAGTAATAGGAGTTAAGAACTCGATAGATTATGACAACATCTCGAAAAGAATCTCGCGGGCGAATGTGATTAAAAATCAAGATGTAATTATACTTCGGACGTGTTCTGGAATGAATTAAATTTGAAATACAATTCTTTCGCTGGCAAATTCTGTTCAAAATTTGGAGTAAAATTTACATAATTATTAGACTTTTCTATGGAAAAAATGATCAATTTTTAATTTCTATCGCGTGATATGGAAACCTGAGGCACTCATCGATCGCACGCCATTTTTAGATTATCTGTCGCCTCTTTGGGGTGAAGGGTGAAGGGTGAAGGGTGAAGGGTGAAGGGTGAAGTGAAGGAAGGAAAGATGAGTGAAGTTAACGTATTGACACGAGAGAAGACAGAAAACAATACAATGCTATTTTAATCGCGTGGTGATTGTATAAATTCCATAACAAGAATAAGAAGAGGACTATTACCCCATGAATCAAATTGTGTCAAAAGAAGTACCGGCAGATACCACCTTCATCCACAAGTCTTCATACCTTTCACCTATACGTCGTAGTGCTCTTTTACCCCCGGATTTTCTTATCCCAATATCCCAATATCCAACTATCCAATTATCCAAATATCATACCTAGTGACTTGCCTACCGACCTACCTACCTACCAACCTGGGTAATCTCACCCTAAAAATCTTGGTCCCCTGGTCAAAACAACACCGAAGCACGCAATAAACCAAAAATTGACCTCAACCTCGCCCACCATCCCGGCTAGCTACTCAGCGACCCTCTATTAATCTGACTGGTGATTGATTGCGCAAGCAACAGAAGACAAGAGACAACTCAGCAAACAGAGGAGGAGAAAAATTATAATCGATGGTTTGAGTTAAAAAGAGACTGTTCATGATTATCGAATCGAACCTTCCTTCAACACATTGCGCGGTCGAGACATTCATTACATTATCTTACTCGCCCTGGTCTAAACGCCAATCCATTTCGCAATACTACTGGACCTCTCCACCATTCCTTAATATTTCACCATAACATGGTCACTATGGCGTCAAATCATGACGAATCTTCAGCATTGCGCCATAACGTCGAATTGGATCTGGAGCGGTCAAGGAGGAATACTTCAACAGGAGACATTCAAGAATTATGTTTAGCAACAAAAGAACAATCGAATCGCGAAAATCTTGATACTGATATAGTTGAATCCATTGAACCTCTTTCAATGGAGGACAATTGCAGAGCCGATCACGATCATTCCGATCCTACAATCACCATCTCGTCGACAAGTAAATTGGCAGGTCAAACAGTTGCGCCTTTTCTTGCGAAACACATTCCAGAACAATACGCTCCTTTTGGACCCCCACAAACTACATCAATCTCCCGAAAAGATCCAAACACAAAATATTGTTATCGACATCGACCAGATTCGAAATGTCGAAGAACCGCAGATGAACCTACCATGGAGAATTTACAAAGAGTGCGTCACACAATCTACCCCTCGCCCCCTCACATCTCACCCCTCTTACGGTCCCCGTACATCTACTAATATGATCATAGGAACTTGAGACCTTGTCGCAATCAGATCAACAAGGTATCTCTCATGTTTGGACACTATTCTCTGCTGCGCCATCGAAACATCGAAACCTTATGCTTCAAGGCATCCTATCGCAATGCTGCTTTCCACAATTATCCTACCTCTCCTCCGCTGTCAAGAACCTCATACGAATTGACTTCATCACAGCTTTACCTTCCGAAATCTCCTTTAAAATTCTCTGCTACCTCGATACAACTTCTTTATGCAAAGCTGCTCAAGTCAGTAGACAATGGCGAATAATGGCGGATGACGATGTTGTTTGGCACAAGATGTGTGAACAGCATATTGATAGAAAATGTACAAAGTGTGGTTGGGGTTTACCATTGTTGGAGCGAAAACGATTGAGAGATTGGAAGAGACAACAACAACTGCGAGCTACAGGATTAGGTCTTAATGGTCAATCGCCTCAGATCACAGCCATGTCGGATACTTTGCGCAACACGGGAACAAGTGTTGTGACATTAAATGCTTCAGGGAAGAGAAGTGCCACTGAGTCGGAGTCCTCAGGAGAAAGCTCAAAGCGACAACGTACCAATCCGGAGGAATCATGCCTTGGAAGACCAAGATTTAGGCCATGGAAGGACGTATACAAGGATCGATTCAAGGTTGGAACGAATTGGAAATATGGTCGATGCTCGTTGAAAATATTCCGAGGTCATTCAAATGGTGTTACTTGTTTACAATTCGACGACAATATCCTCGCTACTGGATCATATGATACCACCATCAAGATTTGGGATATCGAGACGGGAGAATGTTTACGAACTTTACGTGGTCATACATCTGGAATTCGAACATTGCAATTTGATGACACCAAGTTGATCAGTGGAAGTCTCGATAGAAGTATTCGGGTTTGGAATTGGCGTACTGGAGAATGTATGTCGTCTTATCCGGGCCATACTGATGGAGTTGTTGGTCTTCACTTTGAAGGAAATCTTCTAGCCTCAGGTTCTATTGACCGAACGGTTAAGGTCTGGAATTTTGAAGATAAATCTACATTCGGTTTACGGGGTCACAAGGACTGGGTTAATGCCGTCAAAGTTGATTCGGCTTCCAGAACATTATTTTCTGCTTCTGATGATTGTACCATTCGACTTTGGGATCTGGACACTCGACGTACGATCCAGACTTTTGAAGGTCATGTGGGGCCAGTTCAACAAGTCACCATCCTACCACCCGAGTATGAATTTGATGATGTGGATGTTGAAGAAGCAGATGATGGAACATCAAGTACAGCATCATCAACTGAACTCAATCGACCAATCGGAGAAAGTTGTTCTTCGTCTCAAGGCTCCTCTCTATTTGATTCGTGGCCAGCAGGTCGTCCTCGTCCTCCCCGCTATATCCTCACCGGTGCGTTGGACAATAATCTTCGTCTCTGGGATGTATCAACAGGTCGCTGTCTCAAAACACTCTTTGGTCATGTGGAAGGTGTATGGGCACTTGCAGGTGATACATTGAGAGTTGTCAGTGGAGCCCAAGATATGATGACGAAAGTATGGGATGCGAGGACGGGAAAATGTGATAGGACATTTACGGGTCATAGAGGTCCAGTTACATGTATCGGATTAAGTGATAGTAGAATGTGTACAGGAAGTGAGGATTGTGAAGTTAGACTTTATAGTTTCAAGGGGAAGTAGAGGGGCAGGAAAAGGGGAGCGAGGGCACGGGGTTTATTGAGGAGGGAACGACACCTTGAGGGGAAGTGAAGAGGATTTTCGTTACTTTTGGGTTTGATTTAAGTCAATGGTCAATTGGCTATTTATGGACGGATGGAAAGATACCTTTTTGCAATGTTCATCTCATCGTTGATGGTTTTCTTTCACGAAATTTTTGGCAAGCATCAAATGGAATTTATGATGGGAGTTTGGAAATTGGGGGTTGATATAAATCAATGGGATAGGGTTCTCCATTAATGGATGAAGGTGTTTGGGAGTTTAAATAGGGAAGGATTGGACCTGGAGTTTTGATTGTTTGCTGGGTGCACAACTGGGAGGTTCTTTGAACTGCAAATTGTGAGTTGATGGATGGATGATTAGAATGGAAGGAATGAATGGATCGAAAGAACGATATGATATGATTGGTTAGAGTTATGTGGACATAGTTATATAATCTTTACTTTGTGGTATGGGGATAGGGGACGGATTAGATAAAATTCATTTACGTAGGGAAGTTGTAATGAATATAGTATGAATTATTATTGAATGAACTGAACTGAATTGAACTGAGCTGGGATTGTGTGAAAAGAAAGGGAGAAAAAAAATGCATGGGATTTACAATGAAGAGTTGTGGATGGAATTCTTTGATATATGAAAGGAAAGATTGTTTGATGGGTGAGTGTGTATTTAGGTGATGCTGTTTTTTTCTTCTTTTTCTTTTTTCTTTTTTCTTCTTCAGATAGTATGGGTTCGGATAGTGCTCTGATATGGCTTTGGAGATGTATGTGGAGATGGAAATTGTATCTTTCTCGGCTCTCTAGGCTATTGGGTGTTAAGGGAGTTGGGGGGGAGATGATGGGAGAAGAGAGGAGATGATGGGAGAGAGGAAAGGGGAGAAGAGGGAAAAGACGAGGGAAGAAGCTTCAAGGGGGAAGGTATGTGGAGAGACTTGGAGATAGTTGGGGGGGAGTGTGGATTTGGAGGATGGATATAAGTGGAGGGGGGAAGAGGAAGAGGAAGAGGAAGAGGAAGAGGAGTTAAAGATAGTAGGTGGTTTAGTTGATGATGGGGTAGAGAGGTAGGTAGGTGTATGTGCGTATAGGTAGGGTATCGAGGGGTGGATGAGTGTGTGAATAATTATGTAAATGAGTGGATTGTGTAGATGTATGTATGTTTAGGAGGAGGAGATGATAGGGGAGAGAGTTGGGAATATGTAGGGATGATGATTCTTTCTCTGAAATGGAGATGGGGATGTGGAAGTTGAGATGGGGAGTTTAAGGTTAGAAGATGGTGCTGATGTAAAATAGTGTGGATAAAAGATGGTGTGGGTGAAAAATGGCATAAATGATGATGGTGAAATGATATGACTAGTTGTTTGAGAGGGGAAGAGTCTTTTGGGATTGAAAGGGGAGGGGGAGTGATGAATTCTATTTGATAAGGGAGAATAAGCATTGTAGAGTGGAAGGGAGTTGAATTGAGAAGAGAGGAGGGAGATTATGGGTTGGGGTAAGAGAGTTAGATGCGGAGATGGTCATATTATGAGTCGGGAGGATAATGTATAGAATAAAAGTGACACAGGTGATATAAAACGACCATTTGTTTGGGAGAGGGATATATTTGGATAGAGAGAGGGGTGATAAGGAATGAGGAGTGAGGAGTCTTAGGGAGAAGAAAAAGAGGGGAGGGAAGGATTGAGTATATTAGAGTAGTAAGGGTTGGAGGGGGAAAAGAATGACAAGGATAAAAAAGGGAGTTAGGTAGGGACGGAGATAGAATTGTACAAGGTGGTTAGGTATCTGTTTTAGATAGAGAGAAAGGGTGGTGAGGAGTGAAAAGTTCTACGAAGCGGAGGAGAGAAAAGGGAATGGATCGAGGATATTGGGGCAAGGGAGCTGGCGTCTGGAGGGGAAAACAATAGGAAGAATATATAAATGAGATCCGTGGGAGGGAAAGCAGAAGATGGGAGAGTTTGGGGGATAGATAGTGCTAAAGAAGAGGAGTGGTTTTGAGAATTTAGTTTTTGCAGAGTGAGTGAGCCGGATTGGAGAGGTTGTGGGGGTTTGACGGCTGAATGGATAGATGCATGGATATATAGGTAGAGAATAGGTAGATGAATCATGAGATTTCTCTGGTGATGTAATGGTGAGTTTGAATGATACTGTGCTGTGATGTGTTTTTTTATTTAGGTGTGGGTGTGTATATGTGTGTGCTACATGATCACTTCATCTAACTGTTCACTTCATCTTGAACACATCGAGACTTGATTCTTTCCTTTGTCTATCTGTTTTGGGCTTTTAGTATATACATAGCCATCTACTCAACTACTCTACCCCTTACCCCGTATCAGCTGTATACATTCCTGCATTCACACACACACACACACATAGTATCAAATCAATCGAATCTCCTATTCTCAAACTTGTCGTCCTTTCCCCTTTTCATTTTTCCCTCCTATCCTGGTCATAACCAAAACCAAAACTAAAGACATAGAAAGATTGAAATCTCGGGGTTGAGTGGAATTGAGCTGAGCTGAGTCGAGCTTGCTTTAAACGAAGTGGAAGAGAAAACGGAGTGAGGAGAAGGAATTATCTGGGACAGAGAGATATCTTGAATCTTGGTGTTTTTCTACGAATATGGGTAGGTAAGTGTATGGTAAACGAGAAGATGAATGGGAATTGAGAAGTAGAATTTGAAGATATAGAAGATTCATCAAAGCTTCATCTCTTGAGGCTTCTGACTTCGGCTCTATGAGTGAGTCATCGAGCTGTACGATATATATCATGATACATGTGGAGGTATCATATGCATATCTGAAGCTAAGCCAGTACCTTGTTGAGTCGAAGCTCACCTGAACTAGGTTGTCCAGTTGTAAGTAAGAGATTTTTTACCTATACAAATTAGCCCAAACAATTAAATCAGCCTATTAGTCACTGTTTTCGCAATCAGAATTTACTGACCTTCTTCTTTATCATCCACATACTTCAACTTCAACATCAGAATATCAAACTACAACTTCACTTTTGGAGACTTGAGTAGGACCGAAGTATCGTCTTACCTGCAGTTCTTCCTGGACATACAGGCGAGTTCCTATGTTCCTATCCTGAAAGTTGTATGGCAAAAGGGAAAGCATAGCGGAAAGACGGCTAGAGGAGAGATACATGGATCGATTGCGACTTTACACCTGCAGATCGACCCCTTCTACTGCTGGCTTACCTTCTCAAAGCATGTCTTCATATTGGAAAGAAGTCCTAATCCCCCTTGGAATGGGTGAGGCGTGGTGCATAGAGGCAGCAAGACAGATGTGTGCCGGCTTAGATTGTTGTCTTATAGCGCCAGTTTTGGGTGATAATAGTAACTGGAGTAATGATGCGGCGTGGAGAAGTTTTCGGCAGACTCATCTTTACAAATGAGCTCATTCTCAGGAGCTCTTTCCTATATCAAAATTCCAGGAAAATATCAAGAATCGGCTTAGGTCATACGAAAAGAGCTATGGAGAGTGTCAGGACCATTTTCACTCTTCCGATTTTCCAGGTGAGTCATATATTTTGTCGGAATACCCAGATCTCTTGCCGGACTTCACTGTTCTTCTTCTCCACGACACTATAATGATACCACTCTATACTATTCTTTTGTATCATTCTTTAAAATATGATATTATGATTTCTATCGTATTGCTCACTTGTTCGTGGGCTTTTGGGGTGGGAAGAGTTCCGCATGATGCCATGAATTCACTGGTTATAAAGTTGGACATTTAGATGAGAGCATGACTTCTAATCAGAGAGAGAAATATATAGAGAGCTGCATCGAAGTTCAAGGATCTTTCTGGACATGGAAATCTTCTTAAGGTGGCGCCTCTGACTCAGGGTATTATCTCGTACATCGCCCCGCATGTACACGCTGTAATCGAACCAAGGCTTGACTCGAAGTCAATTGTTTATATGATATCAGTGATTAAGACCCCACTTACATGATTTGAAATCTTTATTACCTACGGAACCGTGGCTGAAATCATTACCTGTATTTTGGTTCTCAAGACGGTGCAGAATGAGACGAATGTCTATTCGCTTAGCTATAGTGCCAAGGTTCGGACCTAATTTTGATTGGTCCGGATGCGTTGGACATTCACTAGCCGATCGAGGAACAGGTTTAAATTTATGTAGGTCAAGCGTGTGATTACATACCCAAATAGATGAATAGCCGTAAGAAAAAAAGGTATCAACTCGCAAATTTTGAGTTTATGGATACATTTTCCAAACATCAATCTTCAAACTCTTGATATCGACATTGCAAATTTTGAAACATTCAACACCAGCAGCTTTCTCACCCCAAGAAGCAAACAGCAGATATTTGTATTCAACTACTCTCTTGTTTTCACAGTTTAGAAGAATTACGAAGTAGATTTTCTCCAGCATAATCCAAAAGAACTTCGATAAATGAATCGAAACAACCACGCTACATTTAGACAATCCACTTCCAAAATTCTCCTTCCATCACCTTTTAATCGTGTCCAAACATCCGCTAACTTTACGAGCGCCCCATCTCGAAATAATTCCAGAGCTGAAGAGCGCAACAGAAAAGAGACATTCGAGAAAGAAGAAGGCCTAGATGACTGGGTTCATATTATGCCAGAGTTTATCAAAGATCACGATACTGAATTCAAATGCCATACATCCAAGCTAGGATCTCCATTTCAATTTGTTGAGAAAACCTCTGTTAGATTGAAGCGTAACAGAAGACAGCGTAGAGGCACGAAGTTTGTTCAGAATACTCGACCTGGTCGGCGTTTAAAGTAGACGGAAGAGCCTAAGAAATCAAACTTGTGAGCATACACCCGTCTGGACAGGCGGGTGAAGCTCCGATCGACAAATTAGAAATGGCACTGGGCTGCGCTGCTAGGACGAATGGGCTTAGGGTTAGCTGAGATGTGTCATGGTGAGATTAGCAGAAGTAGTTGCGCAGAATGGATCGGTAGATATTTTCGAGTAGTTAAGCAATTGTTATCAATTTTCCAAAAGGAAAAAATGTCATTCCAGTTATCATGAATAGAAAATCAATTTCTGTTTCTTACTGAGCTGAACTCTTCAGGCACAAATTCTACCACATCCAGGTAAACCTAGGTTACAGGTCTTTGCAAACATCTTCACGGATCATTGAACTGAAATGAATTTTAGTATCTGTGGATGTATATAATGTGGATTTGTATAATGTGACCTCTCAAGATATTTGTGGAACAAGAGTGGGTCATCGTATCATTTCACGCGCCGATATCATCTTGCAAGATTCCGAATGCTATGGGCAGGTCAGGACCATTGAGTTGTGATTAGTGTAATCTTTATATGCGCTCAAATCGTGCAGCGATCTGCTGCACACTAGTACATCCATATTAGTCTCCCAGAACTTTATGAAATGCCACAAGAAGAAGCAGGAGTATTAACAAAAAGCTGTGAACGTGCGCTTAAGGCAATGATATCGCGGCTTCCGAATGAAAAGTGCAGCGTACCTTTCTGACATTTGCAAGATTCTACAAATTACGCTTGAACCGTAGTAGGATATATCTCAAATGGACGAACGGTAGCAGAATATTGTTAAATTCTCAAGCCTAACTTATGCTAGCACGGCAAGCATTACAAAGCCGGAATCAGTGATACTGATTGATAAACCTTGCCAGAGCCGTATGTGGTTGAGGGAGGATTTATGTAGGCTCAAGGCACACCAAGATAAAGGGTTCTCTTCGTCACATACTCGTAAACATCCCGATCTGAAAAAGTCCGAGGTTCATTCTGTCTCAATTTCAATCAATCAACATCACGTAAAATAATACGATCAGAGTTTCCAATTGAATGAGCGATCCCGCTTATGTTCTGATCAAACTCACCCCGAAACAACCAGAGACCTATTTCTCCCCTCAATATGCCAAAAAAAGTCAGAAAAGAGGTACCCCCGCGACCATCGCAAAAACTTAATCAGTTTTTAAGTCGCCTTTCCCATTCTCTATACCTACTCCATTCTGAGGCCAACTTGGCTCCCTCTCGGAATCGCTGTCTTGAAAAAAGAAAGGGCCTACTCGCCAAAGCCAAGGAAGCTCACGGGCGCAAGACCAAAAGAAGACTAGCTTTTAGGAGAAAACTCGAAAGGGGGGTTGTAATCTGCCGAGTTCGTCGAGAAAATAATAAAAGCTTGCCATTGACAGTCAATAAATCAAGTAAGCCTCGAAGAGAAGCTCCTGTGATCATAAACTTGGTGTCAGAGAGTGAGGATACAGGCGTTGAGGAACTAGAGAGCGAGGAACACGAAAGTGAGAATGAGAACAAGGGTGAAGATGGTACTGAAGAAGCTGAAGAGATATCCAGACCAATTTCGAGCGGTTTAAAAGATACCCGGAGTATTCCAATTGTTGCGAGCCATTGGAGTCAGGCACATTCGCATCAGCGTAGTAGCAAAACTGTAGATGGTGAAGGAAAAGAAGAAGATCGCTCCGTTCCAATTAGAAAATATACAGCAAAAATCGAGAGTCTGTCGCCCAATAAAGACATACAAGAAAGACACAAGAGCAGTACTACTGCTTTCATAAACGAAAAGGATCAATACAGTGAAGAGGGCGACGACAGCGAGGAGGATAAGGGTATTCATTATCCGCTCTCAGCATATACAGGAAATTCACTGAACCTTCCGATCGCTAAGGGCACGGTCCCTGGACCCAAGTATGGCAGAGAACTTTTGTTGGCACTTCAACGGCTAAACGAACGCGCTATTTCAACTTCAAGGAATTCAAGACAAACAACTCATTTCACGAATCGTCATAGCAATGTGACTCATAAAGGTCAGAGATACACCCATGGAAGAAAGCCTACGCCGAAGATTCAAAACGTAAACGGGAGCATCATCTCATCGTCAATGCCAGCACTCAAAACAAAGAGACTCTCACGCGGTAAAGATATGATGACTCGCAGAGTCAAGCGAGGAAGTAACGGCATGTCGAAGATACCAGAAGATAAGGAAGACAGTGGAACCGAAGAAGAGAACAAAGGTGATTCTACAATCCTTCCCGTACAGTCACATTCAACTCCCTCGAAAAAAACATCGCCAGCACATGCCAGCATAGATCTAGAGCACAAGTGGAAGTCGAACGCCATGCCAAGTATTGCACAAGAACACGAGGATAAGGGACAACCAAATTATCTCTCCAATATATCTCCTCCTTTACTAGATGGATCAAGAGCGAAGCGCCAAAAGACAGCGGCGGTTATTTCGCGGGACGAAGTGAATAAGGACATTGACGTAGTGCTTCAGGTTGAGTCCATGATTCGACACATCCCAGAGAAAGTTACAAATTATGGATCTTCTACAGAAAATATCAGAACCAAATCAGCAAAGAGCTTTGCCGATCTTCCAGGTTTGGTAATTCGTCAAATCGTCGATACCCTTTGTGAGCAGGAAGATGGAAAAATCATCTCCTCAATATGTTTCGGGCTCACTTGTAAACTTCACTGGGCTTTTTTCAAGGCCCGATGGTGTCCTCCGGGTACTGATATTATCTACGAGGGATATCTACCAAAACAAGACGAAGCACTTCTCGCACCTTTGCTGCAGAATTGGGTTCCAGAAATATATCGAATGATGTCGGGGAAGGGTGGTGAAGGTGGCCCAAGCTTAGTCCCAATGTTTCTTTCAAAGAACCAATACGGGGAAGGGTATACGAGAGAAGAGGGGAGATTGGAGAAAAGATACATTGCCTGTCTCTCCATCCTCGATGCTACGAATCAAGATGGTCTGCAGCTAAAGCCCAGCCGCGGCTTACATACGATGATAGATAACACGATTGATTTGCCAAGCCCCCATGGAATGGGTCATTCTTGGTACGATGCTAGTGCCTCTGAATACTTATTCCTGGTTGAGGAATGGGAATATTCAACACTAAATGGTGATGGTCCTGGATTCAAAGCCATTTGTGAGTCGTGGCACACTTTTCAAGATACTTGTTTATGGGATTGGGTCAATGGGAAGAATTTCAATCAGTTTCGTGAAGATTGAATGGATGATGAGGGAATGAAAGGAAGGCAGAAGGTCAAACAGACTTTACTCAAGTTTGACAAGAAGGTGAAACATTTTGAGGCAAGTAATCGTGATTTGGAAGATACGATTATCGGTGCTGCTGTTGATGAAACGGTGATGGAGGATATTATCCAGGTGTTATGAGTTCATGATGGAAGCCATTAGAAAAGTCAGTTTGAGGCATGGATAAGCACTAGATGAAGTTTCAATATTATTTTATTTCTCTGGAACTGTAGCACTACCGCTGAGATATTTCCAAAAGATGATTGAACTTTGCCGCCCGCCAATACCTTCCTAAATAATTGTCCAACTATTATCAAAACAAGACTCAATGTGTTTGCCATATTGATATCTCTAGCCCAAATTGCAACCAGCTAGTATTCATCATCCTCCTCTTCCCATAGCCGATATCCTTCCAGAAACTGCTCTTCATATGCCTCTAACTTTTGTTTCGCAGCGAAAAGCTCATATTGGCCACCATCGTTGGGCGACTCGTCCTCCGTGTAGTCCCCTACCCAGTCTTTAAAAGGACTGGAGAAGTAATTGGTCCAGAAGTAATCCAAAGCTTCGTCCCAACGAACTCCTGATCCTTGCCTCCAGAGCTTCGCTCGCTGCAAAATATCATTGAGTGCTCTTTCGTTCCACTCGACACCTTCGCCGAATGGTGAGACAAGAGTTCTGTAGAGAGGGTATCCTCGACCCCCTGGTTGCGGAATCTGTAGGCTAATACGACTGCAGTATCTGCCAGTCAGAGTAGTCTCTTCATCGCTATCTCTCTTCCCGTAAACCTGTCGCGATAGATACATCACGTTGCATTGATAGCCAACTGCAAGTGACAAGGTTTTCTTTGAGGCAATTCGGTAACTCAAGCCCATCCACTTATTCAATCGTGGTGCCAATGCTATCTTAGTCAATGGTGAAAGCTTTGAGTAATTGCGATGATGCTGTCGCTTTTTATAGCACCAAAATGCTTTTCTTGCAAGTCCCAGGCAAATCAACGTTGCGATGTCATCCTTTTCGTAAAGCAAATTGAGAACGCGGAGAAATACTTCGTGCGGAATCACCAAGTCTGTGCCGTCATCTCTTATGATTAGAGCTTAGCCGAGAATTAGTTTCAGTAACCTTCAAGCGCAAACTCTATGATCTTGGTGGCTTACCTTGTGCTAGGTCTCTGTGTCTTTCCTTTACTTTCAAGACTCCCCCAACAATAACTCCATCCTCTCCAGCCTCTCCTTCCAGGGCAGGGATGTTGCGCCTTCGCTTCTGTTGTCTGGCTGAGGCTACCCGTTGGTCCAAAGCCCTCTTATTGCTAGGTTTAGTGGCGGACCTTAGCACCCGCCCCGAGGTCAGCACTTGGCTCATCATATCATTAGATGGCGCCGAGCCTATTGGTAACTCTGCATCTTGTAGAGAATGCGAGTTTGAAATATTATTGCTCGTCATTGTCAAATTCTGGTGGTTGAAAGTCTGGTGTGGCTTAAGTAAACAGAAAGCAAGTAGTGGTCAAAAGAAGTTTTTAGAAGTTTTATGTGTGTCAATAAAGTAGTTAGAAGACTAATATGTCCAGGAAGTAATCTTTTGGTACACTAGCTCGACCTAATTTAACAGCTGCTGTAAAAGGTTTATAGTCACAAGCGAATCCGAGGGCCGAGGGCCAAGGCCCAAAATGTGATTTCTAATGGCTATGACATAATTGAAGACTAAGATAAAGGCTTTTTAATGGTGATCAAAGTAAAGAGAATAGTTTTTTAAATTATTTGACTAGAAAATTGTGAAAGTATGCAAAATCGCATCTTGTGTGCACACTAGGTTAGGGATTGAGTAATTCCTGTATATATTCTAGAATATATTATAAATTCAAGCCTAAGTATGCGATTTTTTGTTAAGTGTCTCTCTGAATAGAAAAATATAGAGAGCATATGTTATCAGTGACCATGTAGTAATAAAATATGGAAATCAAAAGGCTTTGCAGAATGATAGGGGATAACTGTGTATAACACTATAATTGCTAGATCAAGAACAAGGAATAGTTAGGAAAGATCGATAGAGTTACAAGTAACCATATAAGCGTAAGATGTGGGAGAGCTACTTATTAATACTTCTGTGACATACTGGGACAAATTCCAGTTTGGTTGACCTTTAGTTTTACGCGATTTTTGTCCCGAAATCAAGCACTATGCAATCAATTATTGTTACAATAACACAGTTTGCATTAGAAACTTCATCAACTCAATGAGATACAGTAAGCCGTTGTTGGTTAAGGATAAAGATTGATCTGGAATTAGACAGACAATCATCAAAGTATCAAGTAGGAAAACACACCCCTTTCTTTCTGAATGCGAATAGCAATTTTCACAGATATACATGAATTGACCATTTTGGTTAACACACAGGATTGATTGCACAATAGAAACAAATAAAACAGTCATAAGATGATTATATTGTTTGTAATATGTCTTTAATTGTTGTCTAATGAGAAACAATTGCTGAGGGAGAATTGATGTTATGAACAACTAAACACAACGTCATACCACAATCTCCACGATCATCTGTGAAATTCCCTTTCTATAACATAAACCAGAATGATTCTCCTCCAGAGTACAAGTATCTTTTATCATCCTAGGATGGAAATATTTAGATTTGCATGACGCTTTTCCTTCGCCTTACTTTTGATCTTTCTGTTGACAAGGCTACGCGGTGGATTGTACGTAGACTCTACCCTTCTCAACTCTTTCTTGACTTTCAATACCTCAGATGTGAGACTCTCTTCGTTATCCTTGCTCATTGCCCATGCCTGAACATCGGTTTCTGAAAATAGGACCAAGCTCTCAGTGTTCCCTCTCTGTCCCATCCTTTCCAGCAGACAACGACCTTATTGTAATAATTGATAGCTACAGCCTCATACCGAAAGGCTTGGTCAGTCTGAGATCACGTGGAAGCTTAGAAGACCATGTAGTATAAGGGAAATATGATTCCGACCTCGATCTATATGACGCACCAAAGATCAAGTCAAATTGGTTCATCTCTCTTCTCTCGCGTTGGTAACAGGGAGCTCTTTGTAAAATTATCTTTCGGTCCGTATATCGCTCAACTAATTTTATCCCTTCCCCATCCCAATCAAGACCATCTCCATAGACTTCGGGAGGCAAGAACAGCGTGTTGCCATGAGTGTGGCGCGTAACTTCAAAATCTACAACGCTACCATGTCCAAGGTTTGCGATTCGCGCCACTCGATATTTGGGTAGCATCCAGGGTTGAAGTTGAGATAGCAGGCTTTTTTCTAATGCACGACGCCGAGTACTGGTATGATTGCTGGTTTCCCGAAGGGTAAACCATATAGGCCAGGTCAGAGGAGTCTTTGTGGCACAATGCAAAAGAGCCCAATTGTCAGAATTTGTGTGGCCCAGCCAGACTGCAGCTACAACATTCTGCACAATACTCTCCTACGATTCTGCAAAGTTGACTCTCGGTACATCTTTCAGAAGGATGTCGAATATCTGCAGAAAAGTCTCCTTAGGGAAAATGAGTTCCGTAAATATAGAAGTCAAAGTGGAGACCTTATTATCTGGAGTAGGTTGGATTTAGCGGCTATATCACATATGCTTAATCTAGGGTAGGGCTCAAAAGTCGCTATGATTTACCTGATTCGTCCATAAAGTCTTTCGGGTTACTGATTCATTAATGATTCTCTTTGCCCTCAAGAGTGCTGATATTGTGATCAAGAGTCTCCTAAACAACAGAAAGAGACTGCTCTGAAGACAAGCTGTTTTCGATAGCCATGTTGGCTCCTTCGAGCTCTTGGCGCTTTTAGGCCTTCTTGGCACGTCGTTTCGCTGCATTCATACAACCCATCTTTTGTGAAATTAGACCAAGAAAACCTTGAAAGGGGGTGTTATTTCTGGATGCGAGTTGCTTGCATACCATTCATATTGAAAGATTTAATGAGCTAGCTAAGATTGCTCTCAAACAGGCAAAAATATTAGGAAAACGAACTATATAGTACCTTTCGGATGCGCCTGATAATAGGTATCTCGGCTAAAAAAAAGAGGCCCGGAACCAAGCTAATTATATTTCCAACCAACGTCTAAAATCATCAACAGGATTGTTTCTCAGTCTCTTCCAAGAATTCCAATATTCAAATTCACTCAATAAATATTCTAGTCTTGATGTTAGAAGCATGTGCTGGGAGCTGTAGTGGTAATTTTTCTCAAAAATCTGGCACACTAGAATATCTGCACCACTCTTCTCTTCCTGTATATACTCTGTATAGGTACAGTATCAATCTAACAGTAACATACATTTGGCTTTGGTTTAGCATCTTTAATTAGATTTATTTTGTCATCTTGTAGAATCACTCAAAGACGAAGCTCAGCATAATTCCATGTTTCTACATACGCAGACTAACAAAGGCAATTGGTTTCTTGGTATTGTTTCAAGTAGTTCTTGCATTTTGGAGCAAATAAATGCAAAGGAACAATCTATCATCTGACATCTTTGTTACGATATTTTGGCTTCCAAAATCAGTGATTTCACTCAATCCTGTTAAGCTAGTGAATATAAATTCTTCAATAAGACCGGAAATTTGTGGTTGTATTTCCCGAGCTCTAGGTCGGTTAGCCAAATTTTACTTTCTCCTGCACAAACTTTAATGTCTCAACAACAAAACCAAACTTTTAAGAGCTTTCCTAACCAGTGTACGAAAGATTTTCAGACACGCTTCACATTTTAACGGCATCTGTTCCTCAAACAAAAATGGGAAACGAAGTATCAACACAAAGGGTTACCTTTGGTTCACGTCCACCACTTCCACCGTACAAGCAAGTTCAACAAGAAGCCTCCCTGAATAAAGATACTCTCTCCACCAACAAACGCGAACGTGAGGATTCTGAAGAAGATCACTCAAGTCAAAATGTCAGCAAACGCAGGAAATTGCACCAAGACGAGAATGGTAGCCATAACATTCTCACTTCTAAGTCTTTGATAGTCATCCTGAGATGTGGTAAGTCTCTTTACCTGTTTTTATTTCTACCTAAGCATTAACAAGATTAAAGATTCCTTATCATCACTTCAGAGTGTGTCTCAACAAAAAAACCCCATGAGAACAAAGAAAGACAGTGGTTCCAGTAGAGAAGAAAACAACCCCCGTGCAGTTCTAAAAGGGTTGGTCAAACAAGAACTCGAGTACATAAACAGGGAGAAACAAAATCGAAGACGCTTGAGAAGGCAACGGGAAAAAGCAATGGCCAGCAATCCTGGACGTGATCCGATCGGAACCCCATCTTCGGCCGATCTACAGAGTATGGCCCTCACTGAATGAATCTCTGTCTGATTTGGTTTACTGACTATTTGTTAGCTAACATCTCGACTGATTTTTCAACTGTTTCAGAGCGTACAGCTTCTGCTGCGAATAAAGACGTTAAGATCAAGGAGAGTCCCGAGATTAGAATGAAGTTCAGATTCAAAACTTCCCCAAATAAAAGTGCATCAACAAGCTCTGCTGCTGCCGAGAACAAGGATCAACTGATCGTGAAGTTGAAGTTGCCAAAAGAAGTAAGTGGTTGCCCTGCTTCTTATGATTGCATTCTTTGTTCCATATTATCATAGCTAATGGATATCTGATTAGCTCTTTTCACAGACACAGTAGCTTATACCTTTCAATGGATTCAGATGTCGGATTAAACGAGTACTAGTGGTGGACAAGAGAAGTGTAACAGCAAGGCACATTGGTGGAGCAGTAATTAATAGGATATACTGTTGTTTGAATATAATTTCATCTCTTCTATGGCCACAAGTAATCTCAATGAATGTAAATTTGGATATCCTCAGTGTTGTTCGAAGAGTTCCACAGCTATTGATGTGAACTGTTGAGCTTGACTTTAAGAACCCAAGATTCAGCTCTCCCTGAGTCTTGAACATGATCGACTCTAAAATTGAATACATTCAGGAACTATGTAGACAGTTACACAAAGCAAGTCAAGTGTTTTGAACGTTAGTTGGAATCGATTATGATGAAGAATACAGTCTGATTTCCTGTATATTGTGTTATACGCTGTAAACTTCTCCCAAATAAAATTAACAGGTTTTCTTTGCCATAACTGTTATCTCGGCAGATGTTCTAATCTCCACCATTTACCTAGGTACATCTCCAGTTCTTTGATACAGCTTGGCTGGCTTTTAAATCTAGCCGAACCCGACACTATTCCTGTTCCTCTTCCATAATATTACTCTTGGACCGCGCAATAACTATACTACTGATTGATTCAACAGATTTCGTCATTGCTTGGTTTTATTTGGAATTGATGCAAATCTGCATGAAATATTCATGCGACGAATGTATCGTTTCTCTCAACGAAACTCGCAACCAGCGTTTTGAGCTATCTTTCCTCTCAGCCTACACAATCAATAACGCGATCACTTACTTTTAGTCTTCCGATACATGAGATAGAACGCGTTAGCCACTAGCATCGGCCATGGCGCAATGTTCCATAGAAATCGACATCCATGCTCCAATGATCGACTATCCAAACACAGGCAAAGAATCAATTACGACAATGGCAGCAGCTACGCCCCACAGCAAACAGCTTATACCACCTGAGATCATTCTCCGGCTCATCGAAGTTATGGTAGAAGCCGACGACGAAAAATTGAATCGACCTACAATAATCTGCCTTGGTCTTACTGCGCGTTTATATTGGGACTTCCTAAAGACACAGTATCATATGCAACAGAGATCAGCCACGTCATCATGTTTTCCGACTTCCTTGGAACAACCATTTCTTGATAGATACGGCATGAGACGACTCGCGCAGGCGCTGAAGACATGGATTGGTTCTGACTATCGCCAGGTCTCAGAACTGTTTCTCAACGAGACGATTGGCTGCCAGATCATGTTTTTACGCCGCGAGGTCTACGGAGATGTATTTGAAGACGGTTCCATCCACCCTCGTGAAAAGAAATTAGCAGAGAGACTTCGACATTGGAAAGAATTCCCGTTCAAAAGTTGGCCATCAAATATGCCTTTTCATTCCCCGATACTCAAGACATTGTCAAGTCCCTTCGGAATGGGTATTCAATGGTATCCCACAGCAGCCCGAGAATTACTCAATATAATCGTCAGCTGTAAGAGATATCAACAAAACAATATTTTAGTTGTTGGCCGTCATCCGGAATACATTTCGTATGAGTTTTATCTTTCGCATTTTGATAGTATATTGTGGAAATGGGTACGTAATAGGGACAAGAAAGATACAGCAGAGTTGAAGAAGCTTAAGAGGGAAGTGAGACATTCAGATCATATGTTTGGAAGGCTATGACACCAGAAGCCACTGTGTGTGATCAGGAATACTGGCTATGATACGAAGGTGGATATCAGAGATACCAATGATACATGTTGTGCAGTGCTAAGCATCATTCTCAAAATATCAGGAGATTCTTTGTTATTTGGTTTGTTTTTATGGACCAATTCTAAGATTTGATCAGTGGGCTGGCTAGTTCAATTCAATTCGTGAAGTGTTTCTTCTTCCCTCTTCAATAATCTGCACTGCTACTTTACCGTTTCTGCAAGCCATCGGGATGAAATCAGGGGATATAGTGGGGGTCTTCTAATTTGTCAATCATGTTACATATCAAAGGCTCCTGCAGGACAGGCTAGCAGAGGAATCAACTGTACTTATTACATCTCCGCAATGCAGTTATGATGTTGCTCAGAAACATACATTCTCAACTTCATAAAGTATGTGTGAAATGAACATAAGTGTGAAGTAAATAGGCTAGGAATAATGAAGAAGTAAAATCACACACAAGCTCTTGTATCAGACTAGTATAAAGTGCTTTTACTGCCAGAAATGTGAGCAGGCGCCAGCAGTCTATTGTTTCACTCCCGCATCGAACTCGTACAACTGGTCATGCTCAACGCATTGTCCAACATCAAAGTATCAGGAATAATTCGGGATTTTGTATTAATTAGAATTACACCTTGTCAAGCTGCTAATTATACATGAGCCGAGCCAACTCATGATGAAACCCTACTCCCAATGGCACGCTACCCCCAAACTGCCTGCATGTAGAACTATTAGAAGCATGGCAGAACAATAAGTCCGCCTCGTCTTCCTGCAAACTCCATATCTCTAATCCAACGGACCCCAAGACTCCTCAATGTCTCTCTCAAAGGTTCTCAACACTTCTTTCATCGAGGTCTCTTTCGGGAAACAAATAGCCTTGATAACCCAGCTCTCGCCATCATGATGCATCAGCCATCTGAGAATATTGTGATCTGGTATCATCTGCATAACCTCCTCCTTGCTTTTGCCCTCTTGTATATATTGACCCCTATGTAAATTATCAAAACCGCTGTACGTCCAGTTTGGCTTCATTGAATATGGCAGATTATAATGACCCGGTTCGGTACGTAAAACCTCTTTCTGCGAAGGTTTGCCTCCAAACTCTTCTCCTTCGTGATGAACCCATGCTCGTAAACTACTGTGCAAGTATTCTTGCCAAAAGTGTTGACGAGCAGGATACTCTGGTGATTCTCGACTCTCGAACCAGGAACCGATTGGTTTTCCGCTGCCTTTGTCCCAATTTTGGATGATGTAAAGCAATAAGTACTTAGCCATCTCCTCATACCAAGCTGTTCCCTTTCTAGTCGGATCTGGAATGTGGAGATCGTTGTAGAATGCAGGCCTGGAGGGTGGCCACCTCAACGGACCTATAAAATTGCCGTAATCTTCGAACCTCTGGCACAGAGCTCGTTCCTTTGCGATTTTGTCGCCGTAGATTTTGCGGGAGAGAAACATGGTATTGTTCTCGAATAGGAGTGCCGAGTCGATTGTGTCGATGGTCTTTGAGCGCATGATTCGGTATTGATCTCCCATCCAGTTCTTGAGAAGTGGAGCTAGCTTTTTCTTTTCCTCTGTGGTAAGACGAATTCCAAATCGATTGCGAAATTTGGCGACATAATCATAGTAGATGCAGGCGGAGAGAGCAATACACCAGATTGTCGGCATGTCATGTTTCTCGTAGAGGATATCAAGGATCTTGTAAACAATCTCAGGTGGAACAATTCGCTTTTGGTCTACAAGAAGATTATATATTGTTAGTCACTTGAAAGTAGAAGGTCAGAGATGGGAGTCTGTCTTACCGTATTGAGATGAAGGATTTAAATCCAAATCAGTAGTGGCTACAGGACTCATGCCAGCGTCTACTGTCATGCTTCTCTTATTGTGATAGTTCATATCTCCAACCTTCTGGTCGGCTACCGCGTCTTGTTCAGATGTCGCGATAGTCATCTGATTACAGATGTCCATTGTGAACTGATTCATTTCTGGAGGTGCTTGGCTTGATGAAGTGATACAGAATTCTCACTTTGTATTTCGAAGAATCCAGATGATTTGAGCAAGGTTGACGAGGGTATCTAGTTTCTGGGACACAAATATGTGGGGAACAAGCCCCTCGGTTATATAAATCAACAAAGATCAGTCGATATTTACTTGTACGTGATGATTATGTGGTGTTTGGGCCTAGATAGAACTATATGGACTTCACAATGATGGAGGAACTTCTTATTATGAAACAGTTGTATTTTTGAGAACTATATTAAATGCTGATGAGATTATGCTAGACTCCTTCTAACTCTTCGTGAGCAAAATTCTAGGCCAAACAAAGCCAAAGTGTGCTCGAATTAGTCACTGCTATGGGTTTCCCAAAATGATATGCCCCAGGACTCATTGATATCTCTCTCAATAGCCTTCAACATATCTTTACTTGTGGCGCCCTCTTGACGACATATCGCGCGATGGAAATTATCCCGACCGTTGTAAGTCCATTCGAGGGGTTTCTCCCGTCGGTCATAAGCAGTTATTACGACACCGTCCTCAATTGAAACGATGAAGTTACTGCCGTCTCCCTTGCCTTTGAACTCCGATGGTCCCCTGTGGTAGACCCAATCTCGCAAACTGCTGTGCATGTATTCCAACCAGAATTGTCGCCGTGCTTCGCACAAGCCCAGGGGGTGATATGGTGGAGTGTACACTATTCTTCCAGGGTCGAACCAACCGCCAATATCGTTATGGCTTTCCTCATTCCATTCACCCATGATGTATTCATGAATGATGAAGTGTGCCATATCTTCGTACCAGTCGACTTTGTTGCGCAGCGGAGGTGGAAAATATGGCGTATGGGGGACGAAGTTGTACTTGAATGGCATGGTCATGTTATAATAGTCCATGTGTCGTTGAGGCAAGACAAACTCTTGTTCCCATGTATCATCATATACTGCACGGGAAAGAAACAAAACGTTTGGTGTCTCCATGTATTCTGAAGCACGCGAAGTTAAACACAAGGCTGTGATGGTTTTCGGCGAGGCAGTTCTGTAGTCGCTTCCAACCCAGTCTTCCAAGAGGGGAGCGAGCTCTAATCTCTGTCCTAGATCAAGGTCCCATCTCGAGGTACGTCCTCGGAAATAGCAGCCTTCCTCTGGCTCTTCTCCTCCTTGTTTGAGATGCTCTAGTCTTCTGCGGGTTGTTACATAGTCGTAACAAACTTTCGCTGTTAGAGCGACACAGATAATGGTTGGGAGGTCATCTGAGAAATCGAGATAGTCGATGATTTGAAACAATATCTCAGGTAAAATCCTTCGCGTGCCAACTATGGTAAATTCTCTGTTAGCCGATGTAAATTAAGTGTTAATAATCAATGGAATATGCTACCTTGTTGAGAACCAGAAACTAGGACTGTGGGAATGGTCTCTGTATCTGGTAGAGATTTTTCCAAGGCAATCTTGGCTGCATACTCTTTGGTGTTTTGCTGTTCAGGTTTTGGAGTGATTGTTTGGTCCGAAGGATCCATTGTAAAGGAATTGATTCTTTGTGAGATAGAATCAAGATGGTCTGCTTCTGGATTTCTGTCCATTTTGTAAGGAGTACAGAGTCTGAAGGGGATTTTAAGACGATCTGGGTATTGAGTATTGGGAATAGGTTGTAGGAGTTTCGGGGTTGAGAGAAAGTGGCAAGTCGTAAGATACAAGTAGTAAGATGCAAGTAGTAAGATGCAAGTAGTAAGTAGTAAGTAGTAAGATATAAGTTGTAAGTTGTAAGTTCCAAGAGCCTTATATACCTACCTAACCCCAGTCCACTGTATCGGTTTCTAAGCGAATCCGAGCCAGAAACATTGAACGAGTTTCTGTATCTACTAGCTTCGCTCAACAAATCATATTACGCAATGAAACCCTTATTTCGAACCTACTATTCATTACAACAGTAAGAAAAATTAATTCACTAGGACTTCGAAGCAAATTATACCAATTAGAAACTAATACTCCTCTAACCACCCCCTATCAATGGCTATGAAAATTGGTTCAAGTACTGTGAAAGACTAGTACAGCTGATCCAACATCATGCTTCTATGACGTGGGCAAATCACCCCAAAATATTGAATATCAAGCCTGGCCAGGTATCAAAACGAAAGAAAAAGATTGATTCTTCCTTGATTCTATATTAGATAAATAAAGGAACTTCAATTTCAATGAGCGATGAGAATTGACTGTCTTGTCAAGAAATCGTAGGACAATGTTGTTCTGTAAATTCATTATATTATTTTCATACTCTCCAATTAGCCCTATTATCTCTTGGCTACTCAGTTATTGAATCATATACAAGTGACTATTCTAAGAAAATGAAAGAAAAAAAACATATATCTAGAAACTCTGAATTTTCTTTGCATCGTTGATCCTTCAATTCTGGAAACTGCCAGGAATGCTGAGGGCATTATATACAAGTAGGTGTACAAACAAATCAGAACCGCTTGCTCGTGCCAGCTGAACACACACACAGTTGTTCCCAAAGTGAAGACTCATCTTGAAACGAATTAGACAAACAGAAAACAGTTTTACATTGATATCTTTATGCTCTAGAATGTCTCTTTTGACTAGCAACGAATATATCCCTTTGCAATACACCTAACTCCGCAAACGCCATGCTGAAATCGCGCTCTAGTTTCCAGTAAATCCATCAAACTCCCTAAATCTCTTGCAAAATACTGACTTCTAATCCCACCACCAAGGACCATGTCCGTTGACTCCATATGAAACCAAACACTTATGCTCATAATATCTTTCAAACAATGTCCGAACCCGAAAATTAGACAAGCTGAATACCAAAATGGTTGATCATTCCAAATGCTCCCCATTCCCATCGCTCTCTTCCAGTACAGAGATCTCATTATCATTGAGAAAAGTAGTACGTCCAGACTCAAAAGCCCTTACGCCTCCCAGAAGTAAATGCGTATCCACATCTTGACCATCAAATCTTTGTCGCCGATCTTTAACTGTATGTTCTATGTTCAATTCTCAAAGACATCCAATCGGTGCATTCGAAGCACTTCTTGCATCACCACTAATATGCTGGAAAGCCAGATACGCCAGGTGTTCAGACAGATCATAATCGCAAAGATATCTTTCAAGCGCTAGCGACTGTGGAAATCCTGATTTCGCCTTTTGATATTTTGGTCGATCTGATGTAATCCCGAAAGGCTTGAAATTCGGTTCGATCATCCAAGTCAGTTGCTCTTCGGATGCCCTCCCACACTCCCAAAGTTCAAAAATTGGCCACAATAAATGTTGTTCTTCACATCTTTGGTGGTTAGGGCAATCTGGCTCTCTTTTACAGGAATGCCCCATTGCCCTATATATCCGGTGACGCGTATATTCTGAGAAATGCTCTTGCAATCTTTGTCCTGGTCCACAAGTCTGTTTGTTGTTCAAAAAACAATTCGGCGGATCAAAAATGTAGTTGCCCCTGTCTCCCCAAAAGATAGTGTCGGAAGATATAAGAAGACTTTCATCTTCATACTCCTCGGGGTGTTGATGCAATGGACCAGAGTAGGATGTCTTGAGTACTCTGCGAATCTTCCACTCCTTGGCTGGGACATGAGAACAAAGCTTGGATTGATTGTTAAATATTACTCCAGATAGCAGACGGTTTACAGAGTCAGCTACTCTTCGATGGTGAGATTTCAGATGGTCTCTCAAGTGGTGCATTCGATCGAAAACCCGATGGTTTCTTAAACTATCTTCTCGGGTGCAAGGCTCATCACATTCAGTACAATGTTTCCAGCGAGATTCAAAGCAAAGCTTTCTGTCTCTTTTGGGATGCACTTTTCGCCATTGTTGAAGCCATTTGGAAGATTTCCCACGCTCTCTTGAATAGCTTGAATGCGGGAAAGAAGAATAAAAATATCGAGGACTTATGTGTCTATGTTAGCATTGAGTAAAGACCTCCTGGAGTTCAATGCAGCATACCTCGGTAACTGATATGCAACCTGTGTAGTTTCCATCTTACTTATCATACCTTCCAAGCTTATGTTGCGATGCGACTTATCCTCTGGCCGCACGTACGCGCCATCGATTGTCTCGAGGCCCGTAGTAGATTCCAGCAGATGATTCCAGGGCTTAGTGTCAAGTCCATTCATGTAAGAGGTACCTATATTATCGTTAAGGGGAAATTGAGGATGATGAGAGCTGAAAATAATCCACTTACCCGTTTGAACCGTCTGCAAAACTGTGCTGTCTTGGAAGGCTCTCGACACCGCATTTGTTGACTCGTAGTTTAAAGCATCATTACCAGTAAAATTTGGGATTCTGATGAGTCCGCTGACATAGGGTACACAGCGCTCATAGACAGGAATGTATCGTTTCATCTTCTGTCGACCTTTCCCAAGGCAGTTGAGGCAGCTCTCAAGTGAGTTCGAGCAACGTTCTTCATATTCAATATTATACCGATCCCATCCCCCTTCATTATAACCCCAGTCCAAGTAGCCATTAATTGATAGGTTGAAAGAGCCGCTATTGTCACTGCCAGTCGTGCAGTAAGTACTTTGCGTAGCTTCATATGCAGAATACTTTCCTCTGTCATATTGGTGCGAATGATCGTCATCATCATCATCATCATCATCGTCATCGTCGTTTCTTGGTGGTGAGCCTGGCTCATCCTCGGTTTCTCGTCGTGGATTGTGCAATGAAGGATTCCAATTTGAGATGTCAGCGCCTGTTTTGAAATGCTCGGCAACATGGTGTTTTCTCTCTTCCCAATCTTTGAATTGGTATGTACAGAAACCACAGTACCTTGGCCATTTTGTTTTGTGATTGTATGTCCAGGCTGCAGAGGTCTTGTCGAGTCCAAGACAATGATGAACGTCGACAAGATGGGCTTGAAAGTGATCCGTCTTTGCCCCTGTGAACGTCTTGCCCTTTATTCTTGCTTCAATACAATTCAAGCTATGACTGTGCACTTCGTCAATTGTTGAGAATGCTAAAGAGCAGTAAGTGCAGCAAGGATTTGAATCTTCGTCTGATTGTGTTTCAGCGCAGAGCATACACATATAACGCTTCTGGGGCCAATGTTTCTCGGATTCTTCGTGTCGAATCCAATCGGACTTTCTGCTTGTAGCATATGGACATCGTTCGTCTTCAGGTCCATATGTACATGAATAAATAGGCGGCCAAGGCTGAACTAGTCTAGGTGTTTCTTCATCCAAATGAAGTTCCAAATTTTGAATACTGGATGGTGCAGTAGCCTGCCTTCCAAGGTGAACATCCTGTTCCTCAAATACAGAGCTCGAAGCGTCCGATAGTGGCATGTCAGAAAATGATTCATATGCTGAATCCGCCTCCAAATCTGATGCTTCTGAAATTGAGAAAGAATCCGATGCATCATCTGAGCAGATGGCCTCATCTATAAGCTTCTCCAACTGAAGAAACAAGGACTCGGACTTTTGTCTGAAGTGTCTGGACGACTTGGAATAAGATTTCAGAGCCTTCTTTGCCTTCTCAAGTGGAGCAAATGCTTGAAACAGATGCGCTTTCCGTTCCCTCGCTCTTTTCCTGATAACAGAGGCACTGGCGCCCGAATACTTTTTGGTTTTGCCAATGCGAGCAGATCCCTTGACTCGATTAGTAGCACCGGATAAGTGGGTATTTGTGGCGGGCGTGCAGGTATTGGATTTAGATTTTCCTTTATTATTCAAGCTCGACATATGGTTGAGAGGCGGTTGAAGAGGGGTAATTGCTTGAGATGAGTCCTGAACCGGTTCAAGTTGAGTAGCATGAAGACCATGTACGAAATTAGGAATTAAGCATATGCTCGACTCGATCAGATCATTAAGAAATGCAAGTTCAGGCACATCCTGCATCAGATCATCCGGGTCGTTTGAGGAAACGTGCGATGCACCCAAAAATTTAGGGATTGACAACCAAGAATCCGCATTCCATGATAAGGCTGTCGGAGATGTCTGCTCCGCCGAAGGTAAAGTCATTGTGAAGGTGGTTTTTATCGAGTTTCAGTATGATAAGTGGGATTGAATATTTAATCAGGGAACAAGTCAAACGGTGTACTAATAAAGAGGGATCAAATTGGACAATAAATGGCATTATGATGGTGGTAACATCGAGGGCACACGGAACAACGAGGGCGCGAGAGCGCCTGGGCACGAGGGCGTGCATGATGACCGCGGATGACGAAGCACACGAGGAGGATAAACCAATCATGTAGTAAAAATCTACAAAAGGAATGATTGAGTACTAACGGTGGCTTTCCTTTCGTGTGAGTACATTAATTAATCTACAACCCTCTGATGACAGTCGTAAGGTGGAGTTTATGTCAATTCATGATGGCTAATCTTTAGTGAGAGTTTGGTGGAACAAATTGGAAAATAAAGTTCATTGGTAGCGACTAGGTACATGTATGCAATAGCTGGAAGCACAAAAACATGAGCACGGAAGAGATTCCTAGGTAGGTAGGTATGGATATAATGCAATTCCTGATATTACCCGTGCAAAATTATGCTAAAAATAACGCGATGCTATGCTATGCTATAAAAAGAAAACAGTGTCCAAAGACCACGATGCAGACGGGTATATGCTCAATGAAAATCCAACCTTGCGGTATACCTGTATCCAAACTCCAAGCAATGCAAAGTATGATATGCAATTTCTTCACGACACGACACAATTCAAAGTGCCCAGTGAACCTTCTTCTTTGGCTTCGGACTCTCCACAGCCTGACTGAGAACCATCGAGGGCATCTTTCCACCTTCCCTCGCTTCCTCTTCGTCCTCACCCTCCTCCTTTATAGACCTGAGGTCAGGACTAGGTTCGCGCCATGAGTGGGGTCTTCTTAAAGGCAAGCTTCGTGTCTGACCTCGACCGCGGCCTTGTGGAGGTGTTGGCCGTGCCTTTGCTCGACCTCGGCTGGTTGTAAAATCGGAAATAGAGATTCCGAGCCCTTTGAGCTGTTGATCCATTCGGTGTGCAGCCCGTGATTCCCTTCCATTTCCATGCACTTTTGTAAAGTCCTTCAAGCTAAGAGGCATGGGAAATCCACATAGAATATCCTCCTCATCATCTAATGGCGCCCGCTGTAAGGACGACGGGGAAATCTCCCGGACATCAGATTTTCCTTCATCATCGGACATGATACCGGCAGAGAAGTCATCGATGTCGTCATCTGTGATCTCGTCTGGCGATGTGAGGAAATAGGAGAATGGGTCTTCATCGATCGCATCAATGTCTGCGTTTTCGCGGAGATGAATAATGGTTGGAGGCCAGGAGTCCCGGCGCTGGAGCTCATTGAAAGGCATTGTGTGTACTTTGAGTGATAGGTAGGAGATTAACGCCCGCAATAGATCCGGCTCAAGGCCGGTCTATGTACTTGTGGCGAATGCGGGGGACTTGGTGATCTGAATTCGAAAAGGATTCGAATGTGGATATTCCTGCGATTATAAAGGGCAGGAATGGGTACAGGAATCAAGGACGTATTCGGAAGGGCATGTTCACTTTATAGTCAGTCATGCAGTAGAATCGCAAGAGGAACTAGTCATCCTTTTTCGTATTGCGCCTTGTTAGATAAGGGCATGTGGGAATATGTGAATCATCTTTTAGTGAGACATCACACCCACACCATAAAATTCTCCAAAATCATATGGGCAGTGTTAAGAGTGTGAAGCGTGTCAAAACCTTGGAAATAACATTAAAAGGGTAATTAAGAATGCAAAATCGGAAAGAAAACAATTCAAGTGTGACTCCATAATGATTTAGTTTCGCGCAAAGGGCGTCTCGCTGGATGATGCTCGTGATTGTTTGGTCAATCAGAATCGTAAGCCTGTCACTTTGTCCGGTGACTAAAATCGGATTTTGAAGCCACAGGCACATTCATGCTTCAATGAGAACTTTGAATGGTCAAAAAGAAGTACCCGGGCAATCCGCGTTCTCGTTCTAATGCAGGTGTAAATGATCAAATATCGATCACCGTGGCATTAAGTATCCATAAAATCTGCACGCTGACGATTAGATTTTGAGAGGGCATTCGCATTCGTATTGTTTACGATGAAGTGGTTGGGTGATGAGATGATGAGGTTGGGGTTGGAAAAGTTGCGGTTCGCGAGTGCAGATACCAGTGTCAGTGCCCCTCTCGCACTAAACCCCAATTGATTTTTAGTCATGTGATGCTCGTGGATTCTATATTCCTGCTCTCTTATTTGCCGATCCACACAATGTTGCATATCGCGTTTCTACAAATAAAGTGATTACGTATCCCGCGACTGGAGAATAGCCCCCTCATTGTCATCAAGATCGGATCATATGACCCGTAACTCAAATACCTTGCTGTCTGGCCAATAACCTTCCTCCACCTTGCTACTTGCAGATAGCTATCTACGGCTATAGCTATACTGAATTCCTCATATACTTCTGCGCATAGCGACGTGCTAAATTCCATCCGGTCACTTGATGCCGATGTGTTTTTAAGAACTATATCAACAGTTCTATCATGACATAAACCTGTTCTTGCAGCTTCAATTTTTCAATTTTTCTCATATTCTTTGGGGATTACCCCTGGACCCTTACATACGAACACATTCATCGTGGGTTGTAAGACGAAAAACACGGTTACTCACTCGTCATATCACTAGGTTGAGCTTGATCAGACGTTGACAGCAAACGATTGTGGATTCAATCATTGATTCCAAAAATACATTAACCTCTTACTCCACTCATCATAACGACATGACCCGTGAGAAGAGTTTATCTGATTTCGGAGGAGAGAGATTTGTCGTCTCCACTCCTTCCGATGATAAGAAGTCGATCTCGATTCCCATTCGAGTTCTTACTCACAACATTCGTTACGCAACGGAATCTCCATTCAAAGGAGAGGAACTTTGGTCAGTTCGATGTCCTCGATTGTGCTCCGAACTAGTGTTTAATTCCACTATCCCCGAGACTTTCATCTGTCTACAAGAGGTTCTCCACTCTCAACTCGTCGACATTCACGATGCCTTGAATGAAGGTCCTGGAAGTCAGTGGTCTCGTCTTGGAGTTGGGAGAGATGATGGCAAAGAAGCCGGAGAATATTCTCCCATCTTTTATCGTCCAGCGGTGTGGCATCTTATTCTCTATAAAACATTCTGGCTCAGCGAGACTCCAGAGAAGCCTAGCTTTGGATGGGACGCTGGTTCTATCAGAATACTCACTATAGGTATATTTATGCATCGCAAGACAAACGAGATTGTTATTATAATGAGTACTCACTTGGACAACGCTGGTCCTATTTCTCGACAAAAGAGTGCTGAAATTATCTTGGAGAAGGTCGATCATTACAAAAGTATTTATACTCCCGCTGCACTACTACTTGCTGGGGATTTCAACAGTCCTCCAGATGATGGAGCCTACAAGACAATGACATCGTCAACCTCGGGTATGGCAGATGTTCGCGATCTTCTCCCTGTGAAGAAACGGTACGGAAATGAAATGACATTCACATCGTTTGGATATGTGGACAATACACCAACTCGGATCGATTTTATTTTCTCTGCAAAGGATACACCAGTCAAATACGGAACCTATGCGGTGCTGAGCAATCGTTATGATGATGGGGTATACCTTTCGGATCACAGAGCAGTCGTGGCCGATATTGAGGTATCCACGACTCAATCTGGGCAATGAAGTTTTGATAGTGATCCGACTACTTCTGCTATTGACTCACCATTTTGTTGCAAGGTATTTGAGAAATACGAAATACTCGTCATCAAACCGAGTCATTTTCCAGGCACCCGAATACTCCAATGATTTTGGTTGCCTATGATAGTATGTTTTATGTCAACCCTAAGAAAAGATGCTTTGGGAAAAACAGGGAAGATACAAAAGGGAATGCTTCTTTTGATTGTTAAGCCTGAATACATCTATGAGTAAAAGAGTGAAGAGGGGTGTTTATGATGATATATTCGACGACTCATGGCCTCATCATTGGTTTCATGAATGTGCGTAGAAGCTACAACAACTATTTCGTACCTATTTTTTATACCAAATTGCCATTCTCATTGAATCAAGACCTCCAGCAAAATTTACCCGTCAATATCTATGAAAGTACAACTTCTTCAAAAGCTCCCGATACTCTCATTATACCCTTGCATTTACGTGTTTATGTGAGATGGTGCGATTTATTTTTATCTTTATTTATATTTCCGTATATCCGGAGGTTATAAGCCACAGGGTGTCCCCACCGTGATCTGACCGATGATCATTTGTCTCATTTACGAGCAACAAGCAAGCATCGCGATAATTAACCTGAAGATTAATGAACATTAGACATCAAGCATCAAATGTACCCTATCAATCATCAATAATTGTGCAATGAGGAATGCACGTGCTTGCGAAGCTTGCAGAGCAAGTAAAAATCGATGCTTCTTTGCCGATGACAGTACAATATGCCAGAGGTAATCCCAATGTTTAATCTATTATCCTCCTAGGTTACAATTGCTAATTATAGACAGATGCGACCAAGCCAAAAGCCGATGTGTCGTTCGAGAGAAAGCCAGACCAAGACGTGCTCGACGTACAGTACATCCAGAAAGTAGTACAAAATTAGATGATACCGGTAGCCCATTATCATCCGCCCCCTCGCTTTCTGCGGATAACCCCTCAAAAGATGGGGAGTTCTCTCTTGATCTTCCCACAACAGTATATCATGATTCATCAAAACACACTGAAATTCTTCAGAACCATCACAAACGCGTCTTTAAAGAAGATAAATCACTATCGCCTATCCCATTGAAGGATGTACTACCCGTACCAACCAAATACATCTCCGGTCGCAAACTCACATTATCCCAAGCGACACACCTCCTCGATTCCTATATCCCCAAAATTCCATTCTTTCCCTTTGTTACACTCCCCGAAAACCCGACAATTCGAACCCTGTCCCAACAAGCTCCTTTCCTTCTCTTGGCCATCCTCACCACCGCCGCTAGCCCACATCCATACCTCCACCATCAACTAGACCAAGAGTTCCGTCGTGTGCTGAGTCTCAAATTAATCGTCGAGTCGCAAAAATCCCTTGACTATCTTCTTGGTCTTCTGGTATATATAGCTTGGTATCCCGTGCATACCAAACCACAACACAATCCATGCTTTACTTACATGAATCTTGCCAATTCCTTGGCTTTAGACTTAGGACTTGATCAAGCAGAGCCTCAGACTGCTCTTTTTCGAGAATTTGATTTGAAAGGACTTGCAGATAGCGATGGCGCGTGGACGACGGAGGCTAGAAAAGCTTACATGGGATGTTATGTTTTAGGTTCTCAGTTAGTGACGTCTCTTTTGAACATAACCCTCTGTCTAAATGCTGACCTATAGTGAAAAGTCTTTCCAAGGGATTCAATAAACCACAAACTATGTCCTACGAGAATCTTCTCCCTAGCAACCCTAATACGTTCATTCCGTCACACATGACCACACCAGCAATAGCTATCGTGATACTTGAACGTGTGGCTGATCGTATCAATGATGCATGGACTGCAAAGAACTATCCGCAAATGGACGTCTTTAGCACCGACTTATATGTCCAATTGTTCACCTCTGAACTAGACACCTGGAAACGAAATGTACCAGAATCAATTACTTCTTCGCGTGAGCTAATTCAAACCTCCCAGAAATCGGACGAAAAGAGTAATACTAACAAACCCCAGCACTCCTCGCTCTATATCACAAACACACCCACTTCTCAATCTACGCCCACTCCCTCCGACTTCTCCGTCGTCCCTACCGCCCCTTCGTCCCCGGCACCACAGAAGCCATTCCCTGCTCCGAACATCTCAACACCTGTCTCCGTCTCGGCGCATCCTACTTCCAACATCTCCTCTCACTCCCCACTCCAGACTACACCCATTTCAATCTAATCCACTGGTCACAACTAGTACACTCCCTCGTCGGGCTCGTACGACTCACATTTGTGCTCGCACACGTGGAGAACTGGTCTGCGGAAACGACGCGCGAGAAGGTGGGGCTGAGTATGTATTTAGAAGCTTTATGTTTTAGACTCAGTAGTCTTTCATCGAATTCACAGGTTTCTTCCGGTGCGGATATCGAATCTAGGGAAAGCGGGACGAGGGACGAGGTAAGTAGTAAAGGAAAGAGAAAACACTATGATAAATACTTTGTCATGCATGGGATGTTGACTACGCTTAAAAAAACATGGGAGCAGAGAGTAGAAGCGATAGTTCCGAAAGCGTCAGTGATTTCTAGGGGAAAATGTCCAATGTTTGATTTGGAGATGGCGCCGTTATTGGAAAATACCAATTTGGATTTCGATTTTGGGGATATGGCGGCTTGGGATGATAGTTTTGGAGAGGGAATAGCGGGATGGGATGTGAATATGGGAGATATTGGGATGGGTACTTCTACCAGTGCAGGTATTAAGACACCGGGAGATGGAGAAACGGGCTTACAGACGGTTGATAGTCATGCTGGGACGCCTGGGAGAATGGGAACTGGAATTTTAATGTCGGGTGGAGGAATAGAGCAACAGCGATGTGCTGGCACACCGTATCATGATTTATGGACAACAATGACATGTTCATGGTCCGAACAATCTCCTAGATGGCCGATACCAATGGTTCCTGAAAGCAATGGTACTAGTAGTAATGATGCGATCTTCGGGTATCAAGTTAATGAAAGTTAGGGATGGTGTTAGCAAGAGGGGAAAGCCAATAATGAAGGAAAGTACAGAACCTTTTTGAAGCTCGGAAGTTCTGTTGTTTTGTAGAGTGTGTATTCTCTTTTCTTTTACAGAAAGTAAAGAGTACAATGACAAATCTCAGAATAAAAGTAATCAAACAATCAAATCCAATATCTATTCCTCCGCGTCTCATCCCAGGCTGCTGGATCATCAACTGAAGACGAGGAAATACCTACCCTTACCCAACTCATAAACAACAAATTCAAACCTCATCCTCCTCTGCCATCTTTCTCTCATTCCTCTTAATCGTTCCCCCTCTGCCACAAAAGAAACAGAGTCCTGACTGTAAATGTCCATACAGAAATCAATACATCCCATCCCATCCATTTCCTCTCCGTCTCATTACCACGAGACCCATAGCTCCATCATCATCATCACCTCCTCCTTTTCCCCACCGCAACATCACCGCATTACCACATAATCACCTCACACCTCTCTCGGTTCCCAGAGAAACGCAAATCTCGGTTTTTGAGGCAGCGGGAGGATGTGAAAGAGCCGGTGTCCAATTTCTTTTGAAATGCCAATGAAAATGTTAAAATCGCTATATACGATGCATTTGACGCGAAGGCTATCCTCGGACACACGAATTCAAGTTTAGGTGAATAGCAGCCTTTCTAAAAGGGATATGGATTGGAGTTTATTCTAATGATATGTGTCATGGAAGCGAAATTCGGATTTTCAACATTAGGTTTCACTTTTCACTTTTTGCTCTGGCAAAGTGCAATCGGTTGTAATACTAAAATAGCTTTGAATGAAACCTCCACTACCGATATCAAATCACTACAAATTGTTGACCATTTCCATTTCAACGAATATCCATCAATTTTCCTTCGAATTCCTGTGTCTCTCTCTATCTCTCTTAATAGATTCTTTTACTACGCTCCTCTCCAACAAAGGGGTGCTAGTTCCACCTTCTTCATCCTCCACCAATCTGAAATCCCATTTTGGTGGCGCTTCATTGATACCCGGATATAAATCAACAGGCAGATAATCTCCTACATCAAATTTGAAATGATTCCTCTCCTTCACATCCGTTTCATATATCTTATTGATTTGCTCCATTGCCTTCTTGGCTATCGATCTCGCTTTCTCCTCGGCAACTGTGCGGCGATGAACTTCAAGTATGAGGCCGTCATAAGAGGAAAGATAGTTTTCATAGAAAAGTCGCATTCCCTCCAGTTCATTCATTTGCTCATTGATCTGCACCTTTGTATCTTCCCACCTAGCTCTGAAATCATGGCCCGCGAGAATATATCTTGGAAGTCGCTGATATACACCCTCTAGAGTTTTGTATACGCTCGCAGTATGTTTGAATTGTTCGACGAGAAGTGAAACATAATCGAGGATGGCATCATGTTTGGTCTCCATTTCATTTTGACGATCGTGAAGTTCCATAACCACATCTTCAACTTCTGCGGCATCTTTTTCAAGGATGGAGAACATTTCTTCGCGCTCATGTTCAGTGAGGGGTGCTTCATTTATGTCATCATGAGAGTTGGTCATCACACCAGAGACGGATACCGGTTCGGCGCCTGGTGGTGGATTGGAAGCCGCATTTCGAACAGCAGCATAGCCTCCCTCTGTATGTCTGATTGCGTTCAAGCATAGGTCGAAATGACTTGAAAGTGATGAGAGCAAGGAAGCCATTTCTTGCGCGTGCCCTTCTAGTGTATATAAGTGATTTGGTATTGGGGAACGGGATGAAGGCTTTCCTTTGCCATTCTTGAATCCCGATTTTAAGCTGCGTATATCGCTATCAAAAGAAAGTATTGATGTACCAAACGCTGCTTCCGCTTCCTAGAATCGAAAGTCAACAATGCAAACGTCCGGAAAGCTTCGAAGAATTATGTTACCTTGGACTCATCGATCAACTCCTTTAAGCCATCTCTCATTTTCTCCACGCCTTGCTCATCAACAAAGTCTAATAAATTTCTAGGTTCCTCGCCCGCCGGTCGAAAAGCCGCATCCACCATTGTCGATCGTAGCATATTCATCGTAGATACAAGTCGAGCATCTGCGGCATCGAGATTGTGTAGGACATTCTGCGCATTTTGTGATCAACCCCGGACATTACTGCTTTGGTTCGATGACTTACGCTGAAATCTTCCTGTCCATCATTATACACAAACTCTACAGTTTTCCTTACCTTCAACAAGGTTTTCATCTGCTCATTGATACCACTTTGTAAAAACCTAGTTTTAGCTTGCAATATGGCAGTCTCCTCCAAGGCATTCTTCGCCGAGGTGACAATTTCATTGGCACGCCATACTGTACTGATAGAGGATAGAGAACGCTTGGAAGCAAGAAGATGCGATACTAAGGTTTCGAGAGGGATTTCCAGCCCTTGAGTTGTATGAGCTGGAGGTGGCGGATTCACAGTAGATATTGAGGTATGACTTTGGCTTCCCGGTGCATTGGGTGAAGATGCCATAGTTAGGTATAAACACACCAACACACAGCGTTGTGGTAGATGTTAAATGTTGGTTGGCGGGATAAAGAGCAGCAATAATAATGTTTTGCAATGGAAATTTGTATGTCAATAGATGTTTCGACCTCGTGACAGCCAAAATTAATATATTATTTATTGATTCAATAGGAATATCTATATTGTACGGCAGAGGTATATGAGAGGTGGTGGCTGGTAAATAGCATGTTACAATCTTAGAATGATAAACATCTTGAGGATATTAATTGATGATGCTGAATTGACTTGCAGCCCAGTGCAGTTCCCGGCATGAGCCGGCGCTAAAAAGAGCTATGATCCCTCACCACAACTGATCTTACCCTGCACCCACCTTGAGCAACATTCAGCTCGACGCATAGTCAAATATCATGAAATTCAATCAACTGAGATATCTTGAATTCGATGGCACAAACCACCCAACATTTATATCGAATATCGAGTTGACAAACCTCAGGAGATGATGCCTTAAGAGGTAGGCGATCGCTTATTGCTTTCAAAGAGAGAAGAAGACCAGAACCGCCTCGTACTTACTTCTAGCCCAATTCCTTCACCTTATCATCCTTCAGGGAATTTCGCAATTGATAATTCGTTTGTATGTAACTTGTTGAGAACTATTCGTATTGAACTCATATGCAATTGACATCGACTTCATACGAGTATCTCTCTCACAGGCCAAAAGAACAAGTTTGGAATGTCCAAATTATCGGCAAGATTCCAGGCATGAGTCTAGGGGAAAGCATTCGAAGAGAAGTTGTACCGTAGGACAGACCAAGCATTATGGAATGAAAAACAAGAAGAAACTAAGTCCGATAAATTTCAGCGGACCGAAGTTTCAACTGCGCCAGTGAGGACGAATATCGGGTTTGAAAAGAATCTCCCGTGGAGCTCTCTACTCGATTCCGCATGCAAGCACTAGGTAGCCAAACGTACCATGCCTAAGAGTACAAAACCAGTCCATATTGAACTGATGGTCAGGTTTCCACTGAGGACATGCGTTACATCTAACACATTTGGTATATCGCTGTGTAGAAGCACAGCGAGGAGGCTTGCAGCTTTAAATCAAGCATCAACACAATTTGCACAAAGGCTCGGGACGGGTTTTGAGTCAATCACCAATCACGTGGCTTGATCTGCCTCCCTAGCATTTCAATCTTTGCCAAAAGAAAACACACAACGTTAGCACACCCTACCTAGATACTGGCAGAAATTATTGATGTCTCCGGCTCTAGGCAACGTCGAGGCTGAATTGTGCTTGGATATTCACTAAACTAACAAGGATCAGATCCGAAAAGGTCTTAGTACTATCAAATACGGGCAGGTTCATCATGCGGGATCTTCACCAATCCGAAAACATATTCTCAGCTGACTTATATATAGAACTTAAGGCTGGTTTTCTTCTTTCTAGAATCCATTATTCCATCCCTCGAAGAACTCGCAATGCGAAGATATACGAAGCAGGCATTTTATCTGGACAAAGCCAGTCGTGATATATTCATTGCGGAGGCAGGAGTTACGGGGACCAGGTATACAAGCACAAAACGCACAAGTACCACACAAGTAATACAGCGAGCGGTCTTTAGCAGACGTGACAACCATCGAGCCCGCGGTTCCAAGTACCCAGACACGAGGAACAAGGTAAATTCAGAAACTTCAATTCGGGGAACGTCAAACGAAGAATGTGATTTGTCCCTTTCAAATTACCACGAACCCACTACATCGGTCCTGGAAATCCCCTACGCCGAGGATCTTCCCTTCGGCTTCAACCTGGAAGTCGATCCCGCTTCAATATCCTTGAAGTCTCGCTCGTGGGTTCCTGCAAGCCACAACTCCTTTATGTCGGCAGTGGCCCGAAGTCGAAATCAACTCCATCTTCCAGAAAAAAATTGGTCTCACAAAGATGATTTCTTTTTTCTTCGGGATATCAGTTATCTATATCCGATGTTTCTACAGACACATAGGTTTGTGGCTAGTATATTGGATGTCAATCCTAATTCAATGTAAAGTCTCACAATCATGTTTTCGCGACTTCGTTTGGCGATGAGTACTCGTAGGGATCGCAGGGCCCAGCCGCTAAATTAGTGGTTGAATCCACTGAACTACCAATTGTCATTAATGTAAATCTCGATAGCTCTAGTTGGTCTGACTCGGTGAGTTACTGGTACGAGTTGTTGGGTGCATAGTTTTGGAAGATATTTCTTATTTCTCTCTAATTTCCGATATATATTCCGGGATCATTCACTTTCACGTGTTCTGGCTGCCTTTGAAAATAAACATAGTCAAATCCTTAAGTGTGGTTTTTGAGCTCCTCAGTGAACGCCGCACGATCTCGAGACCATGACAGAAAAGTGATCAAGGTCTACTCTCTCAAGTTGCAATGCGTTATTACAAGCCTGGTTATTCGTTCTATGGCATTCTAGGGCTTGAACTTCGAGTTCTTCTGCAGGAACCACGATCAATCATTAAAGCTTATCGATATCTGCCGAGCATCTAGCATCATTCTGGGGTAAGGATTTAGATTTCTACTGGTATTGCCAAGCATTCTGGGTAGCCTTTGACAGACTGCATGACAGCCAAAGACGTAAGTCTCAAGCCAATGATTGTCATGTTTGAATCCACAAAAATGTAAAGACATGGGTTCGCATGACCTATGAACATCAAACAGACTTGCTCCATCAATTCGATCGTCAGTAACGACTTTTAGTGCTCTCACTTCCCCTTGTAATCTTGATATACATGCGATCCGCAGGGGAATTAATCGGTGAAGCACGAAACTGATGCCGTACATCTGTTTGAAAAGGCTCGATGACCATTATACTGTGCACTTATTGGCATGAAGACTCAGAACTTTGGTCTTCTCCCGTGTAGACTATTCGCACGGCATAATACCGAAGCAATTTACGATGTGGATTATATGTGGAACTCAGGACTGATACTCTCACCTCAACCTCAGACATTCTTAATGTGCCGTCAAGCTTATATTTACAACTTCAGTCAGGTTCGGATGATTTTTTCTGCCATGTCTACCTGGAGATCAATGCATGCAATTGAGCGTCCTGCAAGCCTATCTGATCCATCCAGGCATGGCACGAATTCAATCCCGCAAGATGCAAGTGTTGCTGATCAGCTTAGTAGCCTTTCAATACTTTACTAGCTTTTTTTGTATCTTTACTCGACTGAGTTGCGAAGTACTTCTATATAAATCAAGACCTCCTGTACATATCCGTCTCATATTCTACATCAACATTCACATCAGCATCAGATCATCGCCATCAAAGGTTCACTCTTTAATACCTTGGGTCTTGATTCTTACATTCCTTCAACATGCGGGGTCTAGCTTCTCTCGCCACTCTCCTTTTTGGGTCACTCGTTTCTGCCCAAAACAATTATTCGACCTTGCCTATAAATTTCCTGAAAACCAGCAATCCTGTCACTCCCCTTCCTCAAGGATTTCCATGGGGCAACAGGACTGCTAACAATTCCAATCCCTATAGTAAGTTAATTACCGACCCAAATTCTTGAAATTATGACTGACCATTGATCCTACAACAGCTGATGCACCACACACCGGTGTGATTAGAAGATATGATTTCACGGTTCAAAGAGGCCAAGCATCGCCAGATGGTTATCAAAGAGATGTGATACTAGTGAATGGCGTCTTCCCCGGCCCTCTCATCGAGGCCAACTGGGGAGATACGATTGAAGTAACTGTTCACAATGAGATCAGAGGCCCCGAAGAAGGTACAGCACTCCATTGGCATGGACTCCTGCAAAAGGAAAGTCAATGGTTTGATGGTGTTCCCGGAGTTCAACAATGTCCGATCCCTCCTGGAGGAACCTTCACATATTCGTTCTTGGCCGATCTTTACGGGTCAAGTTGGTGGCATTCTCATTACTCTGCCCAGTACAATGCTGGTATATTTGGTCCTATGATCATTCATGGTCCCCAAACTGTTCCATATGATTATGGTAAGTAAACTGCCCGAGGATCGACCGAATTGTGCTAATTCTTACAAGACTTGGGACCGATACTCTTGAACGATTGGTATCACCCAGATTACTACTCATTGGTTGAGGATTCTATGTCTACCGACCTCAACAGAGTTGTAAGTAGTTTTTAAATCCCTAATTACAAGAACATATGCTAACAACCATCAGCTTGTAAGTTCCGATAGTAATCTTATCCAAGGGAAAGGATTCTTCGATTGCTCTACAAAAGCTGCCGGTGATAACGCTACCTGCAATGATGAGAACTACATGCCATCTACTTTCAAGCTCACAGCTGGATCGAAGCACAGACTTAGGCTCATCAACGCCGGCACTGAAGGAATGCAGAAGTTCACAATCGATGGACACAACATGACTGTCATTGCCAATGATTTCGTCCCTATCATTCCTTACACAACTCAAGTCGTAACTTTGGGAGTTGGCCAGCGTACCGATGTCATCGTCGAAGGTATCCCGACTGAAACAACAGGATCATACTGGATGCGATCAACAATTGCTGGATGTTCACTTTTCAAGAACCCTGAAGCCAAGGCACTCGTTTACTATGGTCTCGAACCTAATTTAAACTCTACCACTACTGCCTCCGCCATATTCAATGACTCTGTCGCCAATGTCTGCGCAAATGACCCTCTTAACGCAACGACACCTTGGTACCCTATTACACCTGATCCAAACCCACCCACAACGGAACAAATCGATATTGGATTCGGACAAAATGCTTCTGGAAACTGGCTATGGTCGATGAACAATTCTTCCTTCCGTGCAAACTATAACGAGCCAATTCTTCTCCTATCTAATCAGGGTAACAACTCATACCCAGATAGTCCCGAATGGAACGTCTACAACTTCGGCGACAATAGTTCCATCCGTATCTATATTACCAACCCCACTGCAGTTTCTCATCCAATGCATCTTCACGGCCACAACATGTTCGTCTTGAATGAAGGTGTCGGACTTTGGGATGGACAAACAGTCGTTCGACCATCTAACCCACAGCGTCGTGATGTACAAACCCTTCAAGCTGGCGGCTACATGGTACTACAAATCACGGCTGACAATCCAGGTGTTTGGCCTTTGCATTGCCACATTGCATTCCATGTTGGTAGTGGATTGTATGTGAGTGTCTTGGAAAGACCAGCAGATATTGCGAAGTTAAGGATTCCGAGTATTATGGCCCAGACCTGCAGAGATTGGGCGGCGTTCACGAATACGACGGTGGTGGATCAGATTGATTCGGGATTGTAGCCTGAGAATGCAGATGGGTTATCCCATTTGATCTATGGCCTAATCGACTTAACATCTTCTCGCTCGTTGATGAATTTGTTCGCATTCATTCGTTCGTTTCGAGTTGAGATTTTAATAATTTGCTTGGGAATGGCATCACTTTCCTTGAGTCGGAATTAATAGAGTAATGATAATTGTTGGCGACAGGTGTATGCATGACGAGCGTCACAGTTTGTTTTGAGCATTACAAGCCTTTCATTCGGGTGTTCGTTTGTCTTGGGGCATACTGTTGGTTGTGGCTAGAGAGAGATTGGGTTTTCTATGGAGGTTTCGGATATATATGAATAACTAATGCAATATGATTTTCTTTTATTTCAAATATTTTTCTACACCATGCCTGTTCATTAGTTTTGAGTTTTTGATCATAGAAGTTGCACTGTGAGATTATTACGCATTATTTCTGGTCTGATCATCGAGGGTTTGCTAATTTTAGCCAAGAAGGTTGTGTGTAGTCTTATAGATCTCTGGTTCACTGCGGTAGGATGTAACTATAGATTCTATCTACTGATGTTGCAAGCCTCATACTGGATCGCTTCAAAGATTTACAAGGTGGATGTAATCACACTATCAAGACGAAATGGTTTAAAATGCAGCATCAGTGATCAAATCGAATTACTTTTGCACTTTACATAATCAAACTTTTTGGAGGAATAAATTGTCCAAGAGCTTGGTAGATCCCCCATGCCAACATACTCCATTCTCAACTTATTTTTTCTTTGCACTCTTGTATCATAAATAGTGTCTGCTTTTAAAATCAAGCCCAAGATTTTCGGGTTGTGGCCCGTAACTCAAATCCCGATCGTGCCTATTTGGTGTAGAACTACTAGGCACTGTCTGGATCAGCATATAGAAAAATCCCCCATAATATCAACGCCCGAAACGAATGTTGTGATGCGTATCTGTTCAACGGATGAAATCATATTGTTCACATTGTACATATCCTATCGCATAACCTGTGGACGAGAAGCAATTGCTACAGTGGTGAAATATCGACTCCGTGCGTCACGTTCGATAACTGGCGAAGTAGCAAGCATACAGACTTGAAAGAATGTTGCAGTTATACCGTTACAGTTTGAATTACCGTCGTCGTTGTGTATTTTGGGGTGATAGTCTTTTTTACTGTTTGTTGTGCACCCGTAACTGTCGTGATTGAGACTCGTCTGATCTCATATACACAGTATACTGCGTAGGGATACATAGCCTTTGCAGACAGAGATCGGAAATTGAACCTGTTAGGCAAAATTCGAGGAAAAGATATCCCGCGTGAAGCATCATCAGGGAGACTTCGAGGCTTCTTAGAGGCTTCGTCAACACCAATCACTACAGGGTCTGTGGCCCTAGCTTTAATTGCTGCAGGAACGGTTGTTTGGGTAGTGGTGAATATTGTTGTTTTGGCAGGGAGGGTGACTGTAACTGTGGTTGGAGCAGGTCTAAAGAAAGTATTGGAAGCGTAGAAATATTCGCCTCTGCGTGTTGTGATGGTTTTGACTACGGCAACAGATTTGGTTAAAGATTGGGTTGTACATGATGAAAGTATAGAAGTACTGGTATCAGCAATAGCTACCTGAATACTAGCGAAGAGACATAGAATTACAGCGTTGAAAATCTTCATAGTGTGTGTAATATCCTAGTAGATATTTCCTGTAACAGTCCATCATACCCTGGTTATTTTACACTCGCTTTATAATTGCCGACTTTACTTTCTTGAAAGAAACGTACCTCATTCTGTTTTGCTTTCAGAGCTCCTTGAAGATCACAAGAACCATTATCTTCTTTTGATTACTAGCTATGTGATACCCCGCAAACGTGCAAACCCCTTCTAGACAGAACATCAGCCAATTGGCTCTCATGAACAGTTCCGTGAAGTCACACCTTGGGAATAATGGCTGCAGAATTCTTCTACTAGAAAAAGGATACGACATCTAGACTTCTTTATTCTATAGTCAGCAAACATTTTTCAATCATAACACCATCGAACGCTATGATTTCTGAGTTATTTCATGCTCTCGTAAGCTGGTCGTCTAGAGGAGGATGAGTTTATGCCAAGCTCGGAAGGCTCATGTTCCGCATGTCAACAAAGAGTTCCATCATGATCTAGATCTCAATCGAAGATCGAAGATCGAGTAAATTCCAATAGAAGCTCGGTAAACCTTTCTTCAGAGGAAGTTGTTCAAAGGAGATTAAGCGCGAGACTTTTTCCATTCTTAAAGATTTCTCAATTCAGGAACGACAAAGGTAACGCAGTGAGACTTAAATGTAGGGCTGAACAACCATCGTTTGTTCCTCTTTGACGACGTTCGCTGCTGAATGCTCTTTATGGGTCAAGTTTGAGATTCGTAAACCATGTGCGTTCTTGATCGATATTAAAAACTCGAGTGTTAGTTTCCTGATTTGTGGAACAATCTATCAAGATCTTTGTTGCAGAATCCAAGTTGTTCTCGAGACGAACTCCAGCAAAAACTTGTTAATCTGGTCATATCACGTGATTACATCTCCCACAAATTTCTCCTCTTTTTCTTTTTGTTTCAGTCCGTCTTGCGCCCAATTTATCACTCGTTGTACTGTTATGCGAGCGTGTATCGGACAAGTTAATGGAGTTATAAGATAATATTGAAGCTTCTAACGTCTAGCCTTATTGGTAGGATAGGGATGCATTCTGACAAGGTGATGAGGTTCTCACAAATTCATATCATGCAACCGCATTTCTCTTTTTTCTTGCGCTTTCATCTGATTTCTATGCATCATTATATATAATCTGATGGTTACTTTGTTGTAATTTTGATCTGACTGTTGACCCCACTGGCTCTATCGGTCAAATCTGTCTTGTCATTCGACACTGATTTGACGGTTGAATCAATTGTGCAACCTTATGGCATGGGTGGTGGTTTCATGACCTTTAAACGCTCCACGGCTATGTAATCAGCATCACATTTACCAGTGAGATAGTGCTTCGTCAAATGCAAGAAGATTTGTGATCTTCCAGAATTACAGACCACCATAGAGTCGGTGATGATACGGCTGAAGTCCTTGAACATTTACCTCTAAATGTTCATCCTTCATAAAGGGTTTAGAATCCATGCAGCTTAGGAAGAGTGAAAATTCTTTGCGATATCCAGAATTCAAGTTGGCTTTGTTGTTTCAGATCATATTCGTGCAGTGCGACCTCCCAAATTTCTACTTGTATTTTAAAGAATCATTCTCAAACAGTTTATCACATATCCGAAAGTAAGTTCCGCTCCAGTAATCGAGCGATGAATGTTTATGCTGTTGATTCAATGCTAACTATTCGGACAGTAAATATTTTCCTTCGAGTGGTCGTTCATTGCTGCTATGGTCAACAGTGTCTGGCTTACGGCAACGTGGATTCTCTGCTTCGATTGCGATATGAACAGTGAACTGGGCAGGAAATGGAGACATTTTAATGTGTTGTGAGCTGCCGCGGACATTTCAGAGGCAATAAGACAAGAACTTGGACCAAACATATGCAAGTATGGCATGCAATAAAATATTACGCGAGGCTGTATGAAATCGGCGGTCTTGGACATCTAGGCTTATCCCCAGATTTGTCTACGAAGGTAAGATTTCCTTGGGATGCGCAATGTGTTAGAGGGCCATAGCCGAGTAGGCTTTGAATTTTAGGGTTCAATATGACAGCATTTTGTTGTTTGACTTTCTGCACCTTCCATCAAAATTCTGGATTCAGGAAGGCACCTTCATTTTGATGTGGGTTGTCTCACAAGAAGCACACGCGGTAGAGAAGGCAAGAGCAGGGGAACAATCCTCCTTGCTCTTGTTTTCTTGTAACAATTTAGGAGATGTTTATACCTTAAAGAAAACAGTATACTTCATCCATACATCAGTGCTTTCAAAATTCACCAGTCTCTCCTTATTTATAGGACACTTATTCTTTATAGTTTTGTCGTTGTACATTTTGAGTCTACACGTCAGATTTTGCTTGAAGGCCTAGAAGAAGGAGGTCCTCAACGCGAATTCCTCTCCGCTAAGTAGAACTAGCATACCAATAGATTTTGCCAACATCGTGGTTCTCACTCCAGCAGATTCTAGAACTTTTTGGTGACCACCATTCGAGCTAGCTTTCTCTATTACCACTAATACTCACACAAACTCGAAGATTTCCGAACAACAACCAAGGAGGATTTGAGATCTTCGTCGTTGTTTTCTAGCAACATGGGTAATTTTACAGACCCGGGATCGGTTAATTCACAGGATTCGACGAGTTTCACTTATGCAGAACAAGTTCCCCTCTTCCCGGAATCTGTCCATGGGACCTCTTCGATCGATACGCAAACAGCTCTTCGTGAGATGACGGAGATACGATTTAGTGATGATCAGAGCTACAGAAACTCCGATTCAAAGCTAAAAGAGGTAATCGTCCAATAGCTCAGTAGACTAGGTTGACAGAATTCGGACCTCTAAAAACTAATCCGTGTCAATGCGTAGGTGCTCAATCTCGGAGTATCAACACAATACTCCGGTCTTCCAAAGAGGCCTATAACTCGTACGTATTATTCTCCAAATCCATCCTACATACAAGCTCTAATAAAAGGACCCTAGCCAACCACGATCGAAGGTACTAAGCCATAAACCCAGCGAGAGTGCTTGTTAACGTTCCGTTAGTCTCTCAATCAGTCAAGACCTTCCCATGAAGTCGGTACAATTTCAAAGATTGGATGGCACAGAGTTGGTGCCAAAGGAGGATCAAGAACAAGAATTCCTTACCCGTAGATCTCAATGGACGAATATACAATCGAGGTCCAAGAGAAGAACATTTCTCAAGCGGTCACTTTCTTACAAGAACATGATATTTAAAAACGCGCCAAGAAAGTCACATCTAAAGAGCATTGTGAAAAAAAGTGACTCTGATTCTCGACCTGCGTGTCGCAAGTCCAAAATATACCCTCGCCGTTGTAAGCCTATTGCTCATCAAGTTTATCTGCAACTTGATGTCTAACACCCAGGTAGATTTTCAACCTTCAACAAGCTCGAGCTCGGACATGGTCAACGACAACAATTGGTCTCAAATTCTGGATGTATGTGCTCCTGAAAAAGCCATATGGTGATTGACTGACCTTGATCAGGAATACATCTCGCAAAGGTGTTATGATAAAAATGTCAATCTCAGTACTATTGCTGAATTCACCAGGTGCTGGCCTCCACCTCCCTCTTATGCGAACATCACAGTGGATTTTCACACACCGTTAATCTCTGATCCGAATTCAGACAACAACCACAATATTGACACTGAAAGTGAAACCTCTTCTTCCTTTACAGTATTTGAGATAGAAAATCCTGTATCGGACCGAGGAGCCAGACATCCTAGGAGCTATAATCTTGCAAAGATGCCGAGTACTTATCCAAGATCCCCTCCTGAATATCGGCCAGGTAGTGAACCTATGTTTTCTTTGTCAGAATCAAGAGTGGCTCAATCGCCTCCACAAAGCCAACTCTTTAAAGACGTATCTTCTATGGATGCGTCAAAGTCTCCATCAAATAATGATGTAAACATGGATGACGTAGGTGGTGCACAGTCCGAGGGAGACTCTTCCCCACCAAGACGCCCCAAATACGTTTATAAACCCAGGGACTATTCGTTGCGACCTCGAGAGCCCTGGGAATTTCCAGATCCTTTTCCTCTGACGCCATTACAAGGACTCACTGCTGCTAACCAGCCTGACTCATCGCAGCGCACATTCTCCACAGCCAGAGTTCAAAATGACACCGCAGACGATTTCAGAGCCAGAAGACGTCGACGCAGGCATATAATCGATGAAGAAGACTATTCAGATGAGGATTGGGACGCTCAAGGGGAACCTAGAAAGATTCTCCGTCTGCATTACAAGGAAGTGAAAGACAATGGCGATGAGTGGGAGCCGTTGACTGATGAAAAGGCCAGAGAATTAATGTTAAAAGGAAGAGTCGATAAATATCATAATGTCAAGCTGTCAGACACGACGGGAATTGAACTGTGTAAGCGAAGAGAGCTTGAAATGTATCAGCGAAGGAAGCTTGAAAATGAATCACGGAAGAATCCTTCTTCGTCTTCCTCGGCGCAACATTCAGAGCCTCACAATGGTTCCAGGGCTAATGAAGGCATCGAATCGAACACAGTAGCCATAGGTCTACCTCCAACTCCAAGACCAAAACCAAGTCAAGGACAGCGGGTGCGGGTCAACGGAAAATTAATTACCCACGAAGAAAAGACTGCCAGGGAGAAGTCCAGTCGTGAGCTGGTTGTTGAATTGCGTCATTTACAGCTTGCGTCGATGCATATCATGGAAGTCCTCGGGCAGAATAGGTCGAGCGGTGACAAAACTGTGAGAGAGCAAAAGAAGAGAGAATTACAAGATATTCGGGATGGAGCGGTATCTATGGAAATTCCGGCAACCGAAGATGATCGACAAAGGGCCGCCCGAATCATTTTTGATATAATAGATTCTAACATGCGAGCTATCGCAAATGGATTTGGGCCCGACGATGTGAAAAATTCTTCGCGCTGGTTCTCTCATGATAGGTTTATGAATTATAATCGATTAATATCAGCTCTAGAAACGGAGTCTGATCAGCTAGAAGAACAAATATGTATACTCCCCAGAAGCTCCGAGGGGTACAAAATCATGAAAAGTCGATTGGATTTTCTGCAAACAGAACATGAATATTTGGAAAAGAGGGAGGATTTCTACGTTGATGAGACAAATGACGGTGAGCAATGGTGTAACGATTACGAAAATCATAATCCCCCTTTGATAACGGGAGACCCACGCGTTAATGCCGAATACGGTGCAGCGATAGGAAAATGGAACTCACAGGCTTCACCGCAAACACTGGAGGAAGAGGAAGATGATCTTCAAAAGGCAATAAGAATGTCATTGGGTGAAACTAAACCGGTCGAGCCGGTGAGAGAAGATTCCAAGGGTAAACACAAACAAGTCAGGCCGCGACTTATTCTGACTATGCGCAAAGATAATGAGGGTTCGGCTGCACAAAGGTGCACACCAACCCACCAAAGTACCAAGCTTGCAACGGTTATGTCATCCGAAGCGCATTGGAGAGACAGTACATCACTTGCGCAATTTCAAGATGACTCAATGGATGAGACTGCAGCATTTGAGAAGGCCAAGGCTATGTCGCGTGCACAGTATCGAAATGAGAGTCCGCCACCCGACGACGATGACTATTAGTGCAGCTGAGACGATATAAAGGGAGGAGAAGGAGCTGAGAGTAAAAGAAGGGCGAAAAAACAGGTAGTAAAGGACTTGAAGTTTGTCTCATACGATGATATTAAGGAGGGTACTACCTGGCATGTGCTCAGGAACATTGATATTTGACTCTACAGCGTTAGAATTCCATTTTGGTAGAACTAATAGCTGCCCCATGGTTTGCATGGTTACTCAATTGACGACAAACAAAAGTTTTTCATCAAAGGAGTTTTTAACAACAAAAATGAGGTTATTATGGCAAGGAATGAACGTGGTTGGGTACCGTCAGTTATTTGATCTACATTCCGATGTCGTGGAAGCGAAACGGGACGGGCAGTCGCAAGGGGCTGCGGATAGTTATGCTATGCAGTGCATAGATAGCGTAGAAATGTAATGCAATTCGTTTGGTAAAACATGCACAAGGGTATCGGTACACATTTTATTTACGTGAGAAAAGGTGTGCCCGAAAATTTGGTTCCGCCGGCGCCGGAGCCGAGAGTATTCGGACCCGGTGACTTGGAAAGGCTTGGAGGTTGACCTAGTGGTGGTGTGCAGAACGAAATGCTTGTTTGCCATGTGCGAGAAGGGATTGAGGATGGGATGACAGGGCTAGAATGAATGGGATTTGGAAGATGGATGGGATTTGTTTACTGATCAATCTGATTTGTTGCATATCGGTAAGTTAAAGTTTTTCCAACATTTCTGGGCACGAAGCTTCTAGCAATTGGGGTCTAGCGGCTATGCTTCTTTTCACGCGTATTCAGCTCGTGTTTCGAGTAGGTTCCGTAAGGCTGAGGAATGGAATATGAACGCATGTTTATAAAGTTCAACGTCTTGTCGATCAGGTGCAGAATTCTGATATTGTAGCACGGTCACGTTCCAGGAATTGAAGTTAAACTTTAACACTTCCTTATTCTGTCTCCAGTTAAACCCCATCTTCGGGAAAAGCTGGACGGGAGCGTCAGGACAAAGACCACGAGAGTGCCTGTGTTCGACAGTGGCATTACTTAAATACTAAAAATTCAAAATGATTCGAGATGCATACCCCATTCTTGCCTTGAAGATGTGGGAGCGGAACCTTGATTGGCCGGAACGCATTCCTTCCATTGGAAGTGGTAGGTGTGTGGTATGATTGGAGTTTGTAGGAGAATGGGGTATTGAGGCAGCAAACGAAGGGACAAGAGGTATATAAACTTGGGGGTCCTTCCTCTTAAGCATTTGATGAATTGATAAGTTTTTATTTAGATTCCGACTCCCTGCGGACCGTCAGCAATTGGCATTTTTATTCTGGAATTTGTTTTCGTCACAATGTGTATTTTCGGCACAGCGTTTTAGCGCTCGACTCGTCATGCTGATTTATGGTAGCAAAAGAGGAAGGTCGATGCCCCCAAACTCAATCGATCCATTTTGCATCGCCGGTAACAATTGCCACGCGATTTCTCCTTTAAAATCTTACCTGGAAGCAATCTGGAAGCAATTTACAGTCAGGCAACAAGGGGGTTATTACGGCAGATCATTAAGGCAGACGGCATTGGCGTCCTAACGTAGTGTCGAGTTCAAATCGGAAATCATACGACATGAAGGCGGTTAGAGTTCAGGATGTATACTATGCCCACATAGTATGACATACTATGGAGAAGCTTAACATCAAGTACACTTGGGCGATTGTACGTTAATTGTTTCCGTTTATTCCCATGGTTGATACCAGATCGACGATATAGCCCAGAGGAATCGAATCTTGGGAAATTCATCGGCTGAAATCGCGCTTTGATCCAGAAAAGGAAGTAATGTTAAAGATATCTAAAGATCAGGGCTGTTTTCTCAGTGAAGTTGGAAGGGTCGAGGAAGGCAGCTCGAGGCAGTCAACATCAATCATTAGGCCCCACCGGAATAACATCGGATGTTCGACAAGCTCACGAATTAAATGGCTAAGACAGTGCTAAGATAAGTCGAATCAGGTATCAGCGCTTCGTTCATATATTCCTGTCGATTAGTTTGTACCATTAAGGTTCTCAAAGGCCCAGGTATCGATCCTTCCGTCTATGGCTGTGGTAACACCATGGAAATGGATCTCGTCTTCGGCACGTGGCGTTTTCATGGCTGGTGGGTTAAAGATGCGTATCCGTTGGGAAATTATTGAACTGGGGTCTTACTCGCGCTACAAGGAACAGGGCTTCGAATTGAAAAGCACTGTGCAAACACGACAAGCGCGTAGAATCACAGACATTTGCATGAAACAGAAATAAAGGATTCAGGATGAGGATTACGACTTCCAGATTCAAGATGTTCAAAAGGATTGATGTGCAAAGATACAGCGTTTACACATGGCAGACATGGTCATTGCATGGTGATATCACATCTTATCACACACATGCATTCCAGGTGTTATTATGACCTCAAACGACGGTGAGCATTAGCTTCCACCCTAATCCTTATGACGATATCACGGAATAATATCAAAGGAAGGAAAAGGACGGGACATCCGTTCATGTGACCGGTTCAAAAACAACGCTACTGTACGATATTAGTAGTCTTGGGGGTGGACTTTCTTACATCGAAGAAAGTGGACATCGTCGGATATGACTCCCATTCCGGGCTATTGTTTACCGAAGTCCTTATATCTTTCGCTGGGATATCGCCATAAATTACCAAAGGCCAAGCCCATGGAGATTGGAATTGTGAAGATCTTCAACTTCTTGGAATTGTACGTACAGAGAGTCGATTTCTACTATAACTTATGGACCCCAACGAAAATTCCCATATTTTTTCTAGCCCTCCAGCCTCACGAACCTCAAGGCAGCTATTTTATGATATTTAGGGTGAAAGCTAAACTGCATTGGCAAGTCATGTAGTCGGTTAGATACCCAGTTCTAGCAAACCCTTGACTCTATGGTTCCAGAGCTACAATAAGCGATGTCGTTAGCATCGCCAACGGCGGCACTTGATGGCCGCCGTATTTTCCATATCAAGCTAGGTAAGCAAAACTTATGGGGATTGATCTTGATTGATTGGCGTGAATCACCGAAACGCTGTGAGGGATTCGAGTAGCGTGGGAATGTTTACAGGGTGACAAGTGGTCAGATATCTGCGATAAGAATTTTCGAGCTCATGCCCCAAATGCTTAGTAAATACATCAACAGAGAAAATATCGATAAGGAAGGCAATTGGCAAATACCTAGGTAAAAAACACCAACACAGAAAATCAATGGATGCAGCGGCGAGCGATAAATATATACAAACATGGGTTTGCGTGGAGGGGTAACCTGGCGCCCTTTGATTTGAGAATGGTTGATGGGAATTGTGGGGATGCTGGTATACCATGTGCTTTGGGAACCAATTGTAACATCAAAGAGAAACCGTTTAACAAACATGATTGGTGGTATTTGCAAGGGAACGGCTGAGAACTACGAGGGTACTTTGTACGCATGATGCACCGGTGCCGATTCCTGATAGGTGATGGGTGTTAACGGAACAGACAACCGCACTTGCATTTGTAGAACCCGTGGTTGGAGAATCAGATAGAATAAACATGGTTAATGCCCGATTAATTTTTGTGCGGTATCGTCGCTATGGAAATGTTGGATATGGGGAATGAAGCCGAATGAGGTTCAAATTTCTATTCTCGTCGTGGCTAAATGCCTATCACACAAGACATGAAATTCCAAAGGATTTGTGAACGGATTTCCTACTCAACTAGGTAGCTTTACCCATTGACAGGTCGGGGTTTAGTATGTCAATTTGTCGAATTCGCAATTGACTAGTCTGACCTAACACCCTGTCAGTAGTGGCAGTGGAAATCTTGAGTAAACTAGTTGTGGAGAGCCCTGGAGGAACCATGTATTATCATGTACGTATGTGCACCATGCCCGATAACCGGTGTTTGAGTGGGTAAAACTTGGGAGTGTTAAATAAATGGAAATTGGGCCAGTGGTTAGATAGGATGATTGTCAGTGGAGTGGAAATTATTCCGTGACTAGATATATACCTTAGTGCTGGACCCCTCTTTTCCCCGTTCTTCGATATTCATTATATAGTCTGAACTCAATTACCAGTATTGGAATTAGGATAACAGTCAAAGCTTGAACTTCACTCTTACCATATCACTATCGTCGACATCAACATGTCTTCACTCACAAATTCATCATCATCCTCTCGCACATCTTCAATAAGTTCAACATCGAGTTCGAAAAGTTTGAACGACAGTACAAATGCAGGTCTTGGGAAGAAGAAGTTTTGCTGTAGTTTCGCGGGGTGCGGAAAGTCGTTTTCAAGGAGTGAACATTTACACCGTCATGCGTTAAATCACAAGGATGGAAATCATACCTGTTTGCGATGCCGTGCGCATTTTCGACGTCGAGATCTTCTTGGTAGGTGACATTATTTTGCTCCTCAAAAATCTTATTCTAACATGTCATGTAGACAGACATATGAATCGTCACAAGGAGAAGGATGATGAAGCTGGTGGTGAGGGACTAGGTGTATTGGCTACCAGAAAAAGACTCTGGAGAGACGCAGACGGAAACATTGTTGCTACAAGAAGACCATCATATGTGCAAGAAGGCACCAAACGCAGACAAACAGCCACGAGAGCAGACAGAAAGATGAAAGTCAGCATTCAATCAGATTCTCAAGACCAAGTCGGCAGTCACCAATTACTATCTCCACCAATGAACACACCCACTATCAGATCAAGGTCGCCATCTGCAATTGTGGTGGATAACGGAAGATCATATCCGGAAGCTGAAGGCCATCAGAGATTCGAATCACATCACACTGTTCCATGGAATGGTATGACTGCATCAATACCATCACCTCCAACCTCAGAATCCAGTATTCACTCAGCAGGCCAATCTCCAGCGCCTGAACTCGGTGATCTTGATGGACTCTACGAAGAAACCACATGGCCCGCCATTCCAAATGGTTTACCCCAAGCTCCTTCCCTCAATCGCCAACTTCCTGAGCCTACCGAATACAACATGGGACCTTCGCATCATTGGGGCTCGCAACCCTTCCAAACGTTCATGGGGGCAATGCCGGAGGTTCCTGGGAGCTACGATGATATTTTCAAGCCAGATCCAGGAATGTATGAGTGGCAGATGCCGCAATGGAATAATCAGATGCTGATGTCAAGAGTGAGAGAGGAAAAGCCTGGGTACGAGGCGCAAGAAGAGCCAAAGAGGGAATGGGGTTATTCATATTCTGCGCAAGGGGGCAATTTTCATAGGACCTATGGTGTTGGAAGATGTTGAGATGGGAAATGAAATCATGAATAAATGAATCAATGGTTATGATTATCGATCTGGTTCTGTTTGAATATTACTGTGATATTAGCGGTTGATACCATGGAAGTTTTGATAGTTTTTTAGCAATTAAAGACATTAGCTGTTGCTGCTCTCAATTTAGCGTTTGTTCCATTGGCAAACCCCGGAAGGACAATTTTGTGCGATTTGTGATTCTCGAGGTTTGATATCATCAACATAATCATTCTGAAGATCACTCCCAAAGCATCAGTATAGGAGATATGAGTGCACCGTAATCAAGACTTTTCATTCAGTTCATCTAGGGAATACTAGCGAAAGGTGTCACGGCGACATTGTGCACAGTCCGGAGCCAAGGTCTGAGGGCAGTTTTCCCAAGATTGCCACAGGCCAAAAACAAGACACCGAGCACATGGATGAAAGCACCACTCACGATCCCCGTAACTCGTCCGTAACAATCCCTTTTAGTAGCCTGCCTTGTCTGGGAACACGGGATGTCCATTGACATACCATACATGTACCCGCCCGATATCTGCCTGCTATCATTGGCTCCAAGGGCATGATCCCGTCCAGGTGTTTTTTGCCTGATGTTACACAGACAAGCTGCAACCGCTGGCTTTCAACTATGAATAGTTGAATCCTTCACCCCTTAGCACGTTGTCGATGACTTTAGATGCATGGATAGCTTGATTCCTCGACCCAGAAATGTGGAACCTCCGATATCATCCTTGTTCAATATACACATGCTACATCATAAACCTAGATCCATGTTTATGGAATTTTTGAGAAGACTGTTCTGTGGACCTGACGTTGGGGAAATGAGGAAGATGAACTGATAACGATTTTGGCCATACATTAGCGAGTCCGAAGAATTGTTTGGGATGAAAACCCTGTACCATTTCCAATATCAAAAAGCGCTCGAGCGAATTTCATTTCAATCAAACGCGTCTTAAAATAAAATATCAATACTAATTAGTAAACCCCTTAATAAATAGAGATGCAAGGTAAAAGAATCTAGATATCTGAACAATCGAAATCGAGTCCCTAGGAAATCACATAAGGTTCAAGGCATATTCATTTCGGCCATCAAACAAATGCATGGCGATCTATCTTCGTCGCCTACACACTAAAGACTTCCATTGGGGTTTAGTCTATACGAACTATCGTATCAGACGCGTCGAGCCCTAATCATGCTATAGTAAGCCTATATCAGCATACAATTCTGAATTTTGCAATACGTCCGTAAGATGGAATATTGAGAAAGAAAAAAACTTACGCATGATTGGAGGATTTCCAAGTTTTGTAAGCAGGAGATGTCTCCTTCCAAAAGGACGCGAGCCTCATGTTTAACTGGCTATACAACGGTTAAACCATCGACCAACCTCTTCCGTATATGCAGCAAACGATGAGTTTGTGCGATAATTTCTTTCCTGGACTCGCTGGGGTACCCACTAGGATACTTCACACTGCGACCCTAACCCCAGTAAAGTCATGATCACACGCTTAGGCTCCGGGGAAATGGTGGAGACTCGAGCATGAAAGCTTATACCACTTAGAGGTTCACCGCCTGTTTGAGGAAGGTTATCATCGGATGTCCCACAAGATGTTAACGGAGCATAATGAAGAATGTAGTTGACATAAGAATGGAGAAATCTTCCATTTGAAAATTGAAAGATAAAAGTGACGCGACGCTGCAGTGTAACATAACACGTGCTTACTACCTACTGAACAGCGAGATAATCCCGCCGCTGTGCGCAGCTGATGCCTCACGTGATCTTTTCGACACCGTCACTTCTCTAGAATTTTGTGCAACAATAGATCAATCTAAATACAAAGTGATTCACTATTCTCAAATATCAGCCTGAGACTGCTCCCTTTGTTTCTCCCTCAAATCTCTCCACTCCAAGGGAATTGCACAAATCAAGACCAGCACGGACATCGGTACTGCCATTATGAAGACATTTTGAAGTGCACTGTTGTACAGCGTTAATAATGGCTGAAGCTGAATGTTGACTCCCGCGAATTGAGGGTCATGGAATCCCACTAAGAGCTTATTTCTAAGAATACTACTCTCCACCGAAACAAAAATTGCGCCAGAAAGGTTCTGCGAGAAGAGAATTAAGGCTGTACCAATAAGCACTTCCTCTGTTATAAGAGTGGCTTATATCGCGAGGAAATATTGCTGAATCGCCATACCAGCCTTTGCTGTACCTAAAATCTCGAAGCCAACCCATCTTGCTGTTGGTGTATATTCATGCAGTGTGTACAAAAGCCCAACTCCGACTGAAGCAATTATAGAACCTGCAAGAGATGGTATATTGAGATATCCCGACTTTTTCACCATGATCGCGCCGCAAATTGCGGCAACAAAGCTGCTAGCGACGTAAGGAATTGTATCAATGCCAGACCTGAGGGGCGACGCGTTCTTAATTGCTTGAAACCAATAAGGAAGGTAATGTGTATACACAAGGACGGCTCCTGACTGGAAGAATGATGAAGCAATGGCGGCGAAAACATTCCGCTGCGTTATCATACGTAGAGGAAGTAGTGCCTCTGTACCATAGTACCATTGCCAAATCAAGAACAAGATCGAAACCACACCAAAGCCAACTACCAGCCCGATGATCCTCGAACTACTCCAGGGCATAGAGAACCCTCCCCATTGCAAAGCCAATAATAACATGATCACGGCAGCCATGGTCAGAATATTTACAACGAGATCCAGATGTAGTAGTCTTTTTTTAAGTTGTTCGCACGCTCTAAGCGACTTCTTCGGATGGAAAAAGCACAGTAATGCTACAAGAGTCACAGCTCCCACGGGAAGGTTGAAGCAGAAACACCATCTCCACGATACACGACTAATCAATGTACCGCCAATGATGGGCCCGCAAACAAAGCCGATTCCGAATCTAGCACATCAGATACAAGTGGGCAACTTGTCACAACCTTTGTTGGTTGAGGAAGGAAAAGCACGCAAATCGAACCAACTTAACCGATTCAAACGGGTCTCTTCTTCAATGGAGCGCCCAACGAAATTATGTTGAGATTTCCTGCTATAATTCCAGCTTCCCCAACACCAGAAATTGCCCGACCAACGATAAGGGCTGTAGAGTTTCGTTCAACTCCGCATAAAAGACTCCCAAATTCGAAAACCCTGAGAGATAGCAGGTAAGCGTTTCGAATATTGAAGTGAGTGTACACTCTGCCAAAAAGCGGTTGGAAGGCGCACGCGGTTAGCAGGTAAGCGGAACCATACCATCCCACATCTTCTGGTGAGCCGAAGTGTTCAGTGATCTGAGGGATAACTGTTGCGACAATCGATCGACCAAGTGCCACTATAAAAGCAGCCAGACAAACGCCAGGGAGAAGAAGAGCAAAACCAAGAGGTCCTGGATACCTAGATTCTACATCTTCGATTGGTCCACTATTGGGTGAGTTGTTATCGTGATAGTTATTTTTGCTTTCAATGCCCTCGTCAAGAGATGTTTTTTCATGGATAGAATTGTCCCTCATCATCGCTTCAAAAAGTGGATCACTAAAAGGAAAGTGAATGTGTGTAGTTTGAAGAACTGGTTTTTTTGGAATGAGACATTGGGGAGAACTCCAATTCGTAATGCGAGCTCATTAAGTCCGATGTATTTCAGCGGCGTTGACTCACATGCTTGTAAGGATAGGTGTTGCCATTATATCAGGGATGCAACCCTCAACCTGCGCACTTCTGTGTCTCGAGCCATTACAACCTTGCATGTATCGGTTCCTCTTCAAGCGAGGCCGTTAAAGATCACCGCATGCATGCATGCCAGCAGTATCACATTAATTGCGACGCAGAACTTTACATGGCAAGTACCAATTTCGCGAACACGAATTCGATCCCCAAAATTTTTGGATGTGATTATGAAATAAATGGCTACTCTACTGCAGTGTGTCCCTTTCGCGTGTACCACACACATCCTTAATTGGGATTGAATTTGATAAGCTTTCTTCGTTATGAGTTTATTGCATGAGATACTATGCATGATAATTGTTTCAATACTGTAATAGGAAAGTCAGAATCGCTGTGCATCTACCACAATTTTGATCTGACTAATATAAAATTAACAGCTTGCTTCATTGAGGTACTACCAATAGTATTGTGTAGAGAATCGGCTCGTAGATTCTTACACATCACAGAACCTTTGACGTCTTTAATCTGTCAAACAGACTCGAGAACATGCTATCTGAAGTTTTGTAGACCACTTCGATATATCTGCTTGATGCCGAATCCTCCTTTTTTCAATTTACATCGGCCCGCATTATACCTATATGCTGCTTTGTGGGAACCCTATGGTGTGTTTGGCGAGTGTGGGTATTTTCTCTCGCTCCAATATTCTGGCCAGACGAACCTCATATGCTACCTTATTCTCTCCCGATAATAGGTCAGTTCACCTACAGTCACTGAGGTTATATGGGCGCTGACTTGTACCAGGACATACGATGTCGTTCCTTGGAAACCCAGAAGAAACTCTCAATCGTGCAACGTAAGTGCAACCTCTGATAGTCAGTCGATTAGTCCCTTAGCTTTCCAAGGAAATGTTTTCAAGGAACTGCACCTTTTGCTCTCATGATCGGAGGTTCCAAATTCGTTATTATTCATGATCCGGAACATGCTATGGCAGTATGGAGAGACACGAAAGCTTTGACATTCGACTACTTTATAAAAACTTCTTTCAAAGGAATCAGCGTCCCAGAAAAATCTTTTCATTTCATGTTTCTGGAATATTCAGCAAATTTCTTTTGTTGTCAAAAGGACGCCTCATCCCATTTCATCTGTGATAACCCCAAAAGGAAAAGTTATATCGATGTTCAAGAAGATTGGATCCGGGAGCAGCTGGCCCCGGGGCCACGAATGCATAAAATAGCGGGAACCCTCCTCTGTCATATTGAGGAAATGTTACAAGCTCCGCCCTGTTCATCAAAAAAGATATTTCATCTCGGGTCTAAGGGCGAAGTTGTAAGCCTCTACAATTGGGGTCGTTACACGTTAGTTGAAGCAGGTACAAAAGCATTTCTTGGAAAGGAAATCTTCAGCATTGATGCAAACTTCGTTCAACATTACATTGATTGGGAGACAACAAGATGGAAAGTTGCGCATCAACACCCGGAGTTTTTTTCTCGAGATATGATAAAGTCACGACAGATTCTAATGGAGACTTTCGCTAAGTACTATGCTTTAAGCCCTGCTGAGCGACCCAACATCAGTTGGCTATTCGAAAGAATGCAATCTGAACAGCAAAAACTTGGGCTTAAACTCAACGAGGCAGCATCTATTAGTATCATTATGCTTTGGGGGTAAATCTCCTATTATCTGGTTCACTCGCATTTGAATCTGACAGGCTTCTAGTGTTCATCCCAATACATTTCGAATCCTTTTTTGGACACTCACGCACATACTCAGCGATCCTGCTCTCAAAAGTGCAGTAGTAAAGGAGATATCGCAAGATAGCCTTGCAGACCACTCGTTTTCCATCGACCGGTTGATGAACAATTGTCCAACACTTACTGCTGTATGGAATGGATCTCTGCGTCTCTACAACGTCGCGGCTGTAATACGCTGTGCAGAAAAGCGTACCGTCATTGGTTCGGAGACTATTCATCCTGGCGATCGCATTCTTGGGCCCTTTCGCCTCATGCACTCATCCAAGGAAAACTTTGGATTAGACGCCCTGTGCTTCAGCGCTGATAGATGGTTGAAAGACAGAAGCTTGACAGAAAAAAAGGGTTATTATCCTTTTGGAGGCGGACATACACGCTGTCCCGGTCGAATAATTGCAAAGCAAGAAGTTTTCTTTTTCGTAGCAACGGTCCTTATGAAATTTGACATTAATTCTGTAGGAGAAAAGGAGATCGGCGGTGATCAGTGGAAAGTGCCTGGAATCCCCAAAAACCCGGCGCTGACTGCCATGGATCCAGATTGTGATTTCCTGGTTAGAGTCGCACAAAAATGAATCCAGTCTTATAAGAGTCCTGTTAGTAGAGATTAGAGGGCTGGAAATGCCAAATTAATTAGTTCTCGCACATTTGCATATTCACAATTTGCCAGTCTCAACAACTTTAAGGATTGAAAAGCACACATTGCTGCAATGGAATGAAAAACCTGGCATAAAAATTCTAAGTCAAGAGACAATGCTTTAAAACTACCTATAAAAGTTTGTGATCATAGTTATGTATGTTCAACTTAGCCTGGAAGTCCCGAACCATCTTCTCCTCAGTGATCCAGATATAATCAGGAGAATCCTCGGCAAAAACACAAACTACACACGCGGACCATGGTATGATGCGCTGAACATCGACCCGCACCGAGCAAATTTAATTACGGAGAGGAACGAATGTAAGCATCGTGTCTTACGGCATCAGATGAAAGCAGGTGTAAGTCGTGCACTCTCGTCTTACTGCTCATGAGGTATGTCTAATATTCTGTGAGAAGTATGGAGGAAATGATATCACGAGCCTAGAGCCAAATTGGACAAACGCGTTAGAGAATGGATCTCATGTATTGGCAATCATGCAATTTCCAGTGACTTCAATACCAAAAAGTTCGACATGGCTCGTAGCATTCGGTATCTTACCACAGATATAATTTCTCATTTATGTTTTGGACACCCGTTCGGCTTCGTCAAATCACATACAGATGTTTATGGCTTCATATACACTCTCGAATCTCGGTTATCGATCGTTGAGAACTTCTCTGTGATTGTTGAATTGAACAGAATGCTTGGGCGGATTTCATATATCCCGTGTATCAAACGCTTTCTTCTCCTCCAACCCACCGACACATATGGGCTTGGAAAGATCATTGGGGTCTGTTTTCTCACCACAGCTTTCACATGATAAAAGCTAAGTGATTTCACAGATCTCCTGGAGAGTTGTAGAAGAACTGTTTACTCCAAATACTCCAATCAAGAAGGATATACTTGGCTCATTCCTCAAGCATGGCATCTCTCGGGAGCAAGCTGAGTCGGGGATCACTATTTCACTGTAAAAAGCAACTATTTAACCACGAGAACCTACTAACGTGATTTCACCACAGTTTTGCTAGGTCAGATACAACTTCAAGCTCGCTCCGCGGGACACTACTGCATGTTGCCACTTTTCCGCGTGTTTATACGCGTCTGAGAGAAGAATTGTCCGGTGCATCTATGGCTAACGCAATTTCCACCCCGATAACTAATCAAGAAGCCACGACACTTCCATATCTTCAAGCATGTATCAGAGAAGGGCTACGCATATTTTCGCCTATCACTTTGTTTCGCGAAAGGGTCGTTCATCATAATGGAGATACAATTCTGGGCCACTTTGTGCCGGCTAATACCAACGTTGGTATCAACATGACAGGCATGCTACTCGATGACGTCTTTGGACTAGATCCCGATATGTTCCATCCTGAGCGATGGTTCGAGAAGGAGATTTCGAAATTGCGAAAGATGGAGCAGGTCCAGGACTTAGTATTTGGCTATGGCGGCACACGTTGCCTGAAAGTCCGCATCGCAAATATGACGTTGAATAAAGCAATCGTCGAGGTCCGGTCCATTGTTATCAAATCCGCTATTTTACATAGAAGCTGACCAAAACCATTCAGATAATACGAAATTATGACATCGCGATTACAAATCCTACAAACCCATGGAAAAGCCGCTGCCATGGCATTTTTTTCCAGCAGGACTTCTGGTTGAGGATTACGCGGCGCTAAATGTGAGCCGCATGTGAGACTCATGCTCATCGCGTCGGTCAGCATCTCAATTGGAAATACTCATCAAATTAGTAGTTCCTGTTTTCTGTTAGAGTGAAGATGGGCGTTGATTACGACGAGCATTGGCATAGTTGCGACTTGTAGCAGACCTTTGAAAATATATGTGGTCTTTAGTTTGGTCTCCATAGCTCAATTACACTCATAGTTGAACTTTCTTGTTCCCATCATTCCTCTGAATAGTGAGACTTTGAGCGGAGATATATTTTATTCCCCATAAGACTATTGAAAAATTGATATCATGAATATGTTCTTACAGAACAGAACACATTATTTTCAATTCTATGCAGGGTAAAAGTTGTGCTCTTATTACGATAAATCTCTTGATTATAAATGAATAGTAGACAATCAACTTGACAAGATGGCAAAGGAGTTTTTTTGACAGAACAAATTTGATTGATTTTTGAGGAATTGTTGCTTGTTTGAAGAGGGTAGTGGCTAAAATGGAGTCGATAATCGCCAAAGGTACATAGTGGAGAGTTTATTACGGTATTCAAGTACTTCAATTGATATCTCGATGCTATGGCTGCGGTAGAATGCTATAAATGCCTTGTAAGCTGGTTATGGGAGGAAGGGGTCCGCTTTTGATGACGCGGTTCGGCCAGCACTAGAAAATCAAGAAGTATCAATGTAAAGCATGGAACTGGGAACCTAAGATCTCTGGACAGCCCATATAAACCTCAAAACCTCAAAATTGGTTTGGGAGACAGCACAAAGTGTTTAGAAATACTCTTAAAGGTACATTGAGCTGTAGAATCGAGATTTCCGGTCCGAAAATCTCGTATCGAAGGTTTTGAATGCCAACTAAATTCCATTCTAGAATTCTACAGTTTATGATGTTTCATAATGCCCAACAAACTCGAGAATTTAGTACATCATCATTATCACCCTTAAATGAATGAAATAAATTGATACCCCCAAGCTACCCAACGAACCCCCCGCCTCCAAATGAAAGTGCACCTCCGAACGAAAGAAAGTCCTGGCCAAGAGATGACAGTTCAAGACCCACAGGGATCCTACCACGAGTTAGTCTTGATGCAAAGTTTCGTCTGATTATAACTCACCTTCTACCTCCGTAGTACTACTTCTTAGCTCTCTTCTTGTAACTTTCGTAACTTCCATACACTCCATAGTTACCATATTCTCCGTACGCACCATAAGGATTAGCCGCCGTGGAAGTTGTGACAGTCGCCGTAATAGCACTTGAAGACGTTGTGCTTGAGGTCGAAGTCAAAGTCCCAGTACCACTTGCACTAGCATCTAAAGCACCGGCCATCACGCCAGCAGCCATGTCCAGCGCCAATGCAAATTCATGGAGGAACTTCATGGTATGAGTATACTGGGGATTCGAGAGAGTAAGTATGGAAATTTGGACGCGAAGGTGGTTTGAGAAGGATCGGATGGGAGGGATGAGATGGGAGGGACGATGGTGATGGAATTTGACGAGAATATATATAGACCCAGAGAAAGAGGATGATGATGATCATGCAGACCATAGACACCAGAATTAGTATGCTGGTGATGAAGTTGGTTCCATCATACATAACGGGAAGAGAGATTGCAGGAGGTTATGTGACTGCCGATGAGGTACAGTTGGCTGAACGATGAGAGTTGAATGTTATATTGGAACGATTTGTTCAGTTATAATTACATATGGGTCGGAAAACGATGAAGTATCATTTAGAATACAGTAGTAGTGATAGATATCGAAATGAACAGTAATGGATACGCCCCTCAGCCAGTTATCATTCGCAGTAGTACATAACGTAAACAGAGTTTAGACAAATTTTATGGACTGAGTATCCCACATGTACGAATCTAAGCAAAAGCATCTGGCATGTGAGGCACTTCCACGTCTTGACAGGAAAATCTATCAGAAGATGTCTTGGTTTTTGATAGCCTTCAGAGCAACCACCACATAAGAATTGTGTAAAGGTGTTCCATCTCATGTTCCATAATACGAAGTGGTACTTTAATACAATGTAGCACTTTAGTACAGATCTAAATTCTGGGCGCACAAGCTAACTGTAAAGTGAGCATATCACCGGTGTCGTGATACAGATTTAAATATTGGATTGCCAAAAATACCACCCCAAGATAGTTCGTCTCCAGGATTATGAAAGAGCAAATGGTTAAAGATGAAGTATCTATAGTTGAAGTTCTCAGGTTCAACATGTCGCGATTGAAGGGGTATAATGAGTAAATAAGATACTGCTTCACAGATGTGGCATAACGACGAAGATCTGAAAAACATCCAGTCCTAATTTTCGATATATAATAGCTTACTCAAGTTGCACAAATGTTTCATACTCTTGAAGACATTGTTTTGGAGAGAAAGAATCACTAAATCAAGCGGTGGAGCAGGCCAATACTGACTTCAGATTATTAGCTTACAATAGATTCAAGCTCATCACCTCAGACATTAGCCATACACTGATGCAGATCAATAATTGTCGAGAAACATCATCCATTTTTCTGAAGTCCCAAGATGCCGTTTCCTCGAAACCATCCTAATACCAAACACCACGTACTTTCATCTTCTTATGAGCAAGTATTCTTCTTTATAATTAGTCGATAATCAAACTTTCAAAATGAGAACCAGGCTCACGGATAAAATTTATGTTTTCGAAGAGATTTCTCGTCAAGCGGGGCCAACAAGTCGGACACCCCTTCTGGCACCCGAATATAGAAGGCAAGAAGTAGAGGAGGAGGAAAGTCTCTGCTCGCAGATTCTCCTAGTCCTGGTCTTTTTCATCTTTTTCATCAGTATCTGCTTGATTGGTTTCTGGATTGGTGGACGTTGGGGTCGCAGCACTGAAAGACTATGCACGGGTCATATCTCACAATATTGTAGGCTCACTGTTCTGCATGGCTGTCTGCCAAAGGAAGTAATAGCTAACAATATTATCATAGCCCCAGCTCTCGAAGACCTGAACCTTTCGTATACCACGACGATTTTCAATGGGTCACTTACACAACCCAATGAGTATCGCCAGGATGCAGGTCAGGAAGTTGATGCGGCCTGGACTGATTTGGGAATTAACTATCGTGACGTCGTCATTCCGGCAACATTGGCAGTGAGGTCCGGAATCACTACTGATCATGTAACAATCAATGAGAAATATGGCGGCGGCTACCTAGCTCATGTTGAAGGTTTAACCCATCTTCATTGTTTGAATCTTCTTCGACAAGGATTGTGGTATAACTATGATTATTATCAAAAGAAAGGAGAAGGCGCTTTCGCAAATGACATTCCAATATTAAAGCTCCACGTTTGTAAGTCAACCATGAGGGAAAAATTCCCTAATAAATACTAACCTTTACGGTTTTGGCAGCCCATTGCCTTGATATTATTCGTCAACAATTGATGTGTACAGTTGACATCGGCGTTATGGGTAAAATCTGGGTTCATCCAGAAGCCCCAGAGGCATACCAGGATTTCAGTACAAAACATGAGTGTCGAGATTTTGATGCTGTGAAAGATTGGGCTGAACAGCGACAAATGCCTGCGGACGTACCGGCCGACTATTTGCAGCAACCAGAGGGAGGGGAGACTGTATATCCGACATATCCATGAGCTACAATGTCAGACCTAGGGGTGCGACTTCATTTGTAGAAAATTTCAGATGTTGAATGTATTGTGTCACGAATGATTTAATGCTGTCCGCAGTGAAGAGATGAAGATCAGGGGGTATTTTGGAATATTCGTTCTCGGGCTCTCCCGTTGATTGTATCATTGTATCAATTTAGTGAAGTTTCGTGATCAATTTATATTAGTCAGCGGAACTTCGAAATGCCAAGCCTTCCATTTGCTCACAACGCGTTCATAACATCTTACCTTGAAAACAAACACTCGTAAAATCACACTCCTGATTCATCATGTCGTCCATTTAATATCAAATAATCTTCATAACTGAATGCTCTACAGGTTCTCACGTTCAGCGTCAATCAGAAATATGGCAAAAGTCCTTGGGAAAATTAATGAATGGGATTCTTATTTATCTTGAAAAAAAAACCTAACACCGACCCCCTCCAGATGAACCACCATAGCATTCTTCCTTATGATGCCTCCTCTCAATACTGAACACCGCTAGATATTCCTTCAGCCTCGAGCCTTTCCTTTTCTCTCTTCGCCTTCTGGATATCAAGAGACATCTTTACTGGTCTGACGCCTGGTGTCTCAAACACAGTATCAATTTCCTCCAAAGTCAATTCAGAGGTCTCTGGGAATACGAAATATGAGAGGACCAGTTGTATGAGATTATACCCAACATACACGACCCAAATCTTGTATCCGATTTTTTGAATGCCAACCGAGATACCGTAATTCTGAACTGTTCCAGCTGCACCCTGCACGAGAGCATACAAACCCATACCTTTCGCTCTCATATCAAGCGATAAAACTTCAACAGGGTAAAGGTTATGCATTGTTGCGATGAGCAAAGAGGAGCAAGTTTGGAACAAGAAAAGCCAGGTCACAACAAGTCCAGCATCCACTTTGCTCTCGGTCAACGTGTATTGCCAGGAGGTTATTGTAGCGGCAGTTTGCAAGAGAATAAAACTGATTAGTCCAGCAAAAATCAAAGTTCTCCTTCGGAATCTATCGACTATAAAGGAACCACAAACAGTAAACACCAAATAAGTCGCATTGAGTCCGAAGTTCATACCCAGCTGCTCGATGGTTCCTGTAATTCCGACAGTGTCTAAAGCAGGTACGAGATACTGCCCAATGATGCCGCCACCGTTCCACTGTTGAAAGATTGAGTACAGCACAAGAACTAACACTCTATACTGTGCTGGTCTACCATGGAACAGCAC